CGTATGAAGCGACACTCTGGTTAAGTCCCGGTTTTAATCTCCAACCTAGATGCAATCAAGTAATAATCCTGACACGCATTAAATCTCTAAAGGATACAATGAACTTTGGATTTTTAAGTTGACGTAATCCAACAAAACTAGTAGAGCCCGTACTTACGTTCTCTATATGGTGACTCGTAAGAGTTGGTTCAATATATTGCTAATCTGGATAGCTTTGCAGATGGTTATGAGATCAAGCATCTCATAGTCAACGTTGGGGCAGCTTCTGTCAGCCTAGGCGATATTTTGTTAATCCTTAATGTTCATCTGGCAGTAACAATCCGGGTTCACAATGTATGTAAGAGTAGTTCGTCTGTATGCTAGACACTGCCAACAGAGGGTTTTTGATGAATCACGGTAAACCATAAATGCTGTCTCCAAAAGAGCACTAATATTTAGTGCGACACTTTTTCATGTTTGATATGTACATATGTCATGAAATTTTTACACCATAAAGCATGGTTTATATCACAAAATCCTATGTACATTATGTTTCAGCACATATTGTCTTTTGTCGTTGCTGTGGAATAAAATAATTTGTCGAGTAACTTAAGGAAAAATATTTTTTCGATGGCAGCCATGAATTTGCATAGTCATAGCCACTGATGTTGGCTTGATATCGCAGACTTATTTAAACCTACTTGAACTGAGTGGATTTCGTTAGTTACACTTATCCGACAGTTCCTAATGTACAGTATATAGCTTTGTTTGGTGAGATTTTACAAGCTACGTACTTATTGAGGCAGATTTCAGACAGCTTGTATTTTGGTTTAGGTCGTTGTTCAGGTATGGAATCGGTGCTTTTGACCTAGAGCTAAACCGAACTTTCATCTGAACTGACCGAAACTTTGGGATTATTATCTGAATTTAATGGAGAAATGCGTATTCCCTACATGATGATAATAGTGGGTGGTCTTATCACGATACAAAATATAGTTAATCATAAACATGGGATTGTCGACTACTGCAGGACGTGTAGAAGACATGGCCTCTGGAAAAACCACTATATTGAAACCAAGTTGTGACTTCGAACAACAACATATGTATACTCCAGTAGATTACGAGTCAATATTCCTGCGATATTTTTGCCAACTGGTGACTCCTTTGTACTTGACTGCGTGCTTATTACGAACTACAGACATAATACGTCCACTTGTATCTATCCAGTCCTCCTGCCTTTGAACTGTTTTGGGAATTCTTAGCTATCAAATCAGTTTGGTTACTTCTGATTATCATACTGGTGTCGCGATTGAGCCTGTGATTGGACAGTTGAACATACATTTCAATTGTGAAATCTTCGAAGCTTACACTGAAAAGTTTGAAATCTTGAGCACTAATAAAAAAGATGCTAAGGATAATGACATTGTGACTCATTTTTTTAAATTCGTCGGAAAGGATGTCTGCAACTTTGAAGAAGATTTGGAATTTTCAGATGTATCTCTTTCACTTCCCTGTATAGCTCAAATAACAAGTACTAAATTATGTAAACTATACAAACTTTGAAAGCCGTGAAAGGGCAAAGTTCCATGAAATTATTCTTTACGACAACCAAAGTGTTAGGGATTTTATGCTCGAATTACAGAAATAAGCAGTCACGTGGAACTTGGGTAGACAACTTCAGGTCCAGCTGCGTGAAGGAATAATTGAAAGGATTGACACACCAAATGTGGAAAGAAAGCTTATACAAGTTCTGTGGTGTTACTTTAAATATGCTAGATTTGTTTGCATTAACTATGAGGATTCGCATGAAACTCAGTTCAAAGATATTAAGAATTCTACTACATCAGTTACTTACTTACTTACACCAGTCACTCCCAATGGAACATAGGCCACCAACCAGCATTCTCCAACACACTCTGTCCTGGGCCTTCTTTTCTAGTTCTATTCAAATCTTGTTCATTCTTCTTATGTCTGTCTCCATTTCTCGGTTTCATGTGTTCTTTAGTATTCCTCTCCTCCTTTGACCTTGAGGATTCCAAGTGAGGGCTTGCGTTGTTACGCAGTTGGGTGCTTTCCTCAATGTGTGTCCTTTCCACTTCCAGTGCTTCTTCTTGATTTTGTCCTCCACTGCGATCTGGTTTGTTCTTTCCCACAGTTGGTTATTGCTAATAGTGTCCGGTCGACGTATCCGAAATATCTTGCGTAGACAACCGTTAACAAAAACCTGTATCTTTTGGATGATGGCCTTCGTAGTTCTCCAGGTTTCCGCCCCATACAGTAGAACCGTCTTGACGTTTGTATTGAAAATCCTGACCTTGGTGTTGGTTGACGGTTGCTTTGAGTACCAGATGTTCCTCAGTTGTGAATACGCTGCTCTTGCTTCGCCGATCTGCGCCTTCACATCTGAATCAGATCCACCCTGTTCATCAATGATGCTGCCCAAATATGTAAAGGTTTTTACATCTTCCAAATCTTCTCCGTCAATTGTGATTGGATTGGTGCATTCTGTGTTGTATCGGAGAATCCTGCTTTTTCCTTTGTGTATATTGAGACCTACTGCTGCTGAGGCTGCTGCTACACTGGTCGTTTTCTCCTGCATTTGGGATAGAAGGGCTAGATCATCAGTTAGTTGTCCTAATTCGATTCAATCTCAAGGTCATATGAACAAGCGTTTGACTAGCGACCATCCTCGGTCTCGCGAAAACATGAGAAACAACTTAGGAACTGCAAGGCAGAAACTAATGGTGGGAACGAGACCGAAGAATGTTTGTCATGTGGCGAAGTCCCCTCGTGTAACTCATATGACTTTCGTCGCAATATATAATTCAATTATGGTACTTAACAACACGATAAACCTGAAGAATTACACTCAACATTTAACACATGGCAAAAATTGTTAACTCAGAATATTTGATCTGTATGACATAGCTCGATTTGCAGCTATGGTCACTCAATGTAATCTGTATTCCATATGAAATAATTCGCTCTCTATCCATCCCAAATATATTCTTCAGAAGTCTTTAGAAGTAGCCGCTGGCTGTCCTGATTGGAAGAGTCGGTACGTGCAATAATTTGAATTCCACGTAAACTCTGACGGATTAGGTAGCCACATCATGGCAGTGCTACGGTTGCTGAATAAGTATATTTTTCTAGCACAACAGATTACTGTGATAATACCGACCAAGGTCATTACCCAGGAGATGACCCATTTTATTTCACTCATTTTGTATTTCCTGAGGTCAACCGATATGATTTTCAAACGGAACCATATGATGATGGGACTGATGTTATACAATTTGATGGAATAACTAGATGGTATCTTAGTTTTAATCATTGGATTTAACTTTCTTCCATGATAGTGTCTTTGAAATGAATAGAAAAGTAATATTTTCCGTTGAGTAAACGATTTAATGTATAACTACATAGTTTCTGGGGCGATGGCGCATTACCGTTTGACCTTTTGGTTTCAAAGTTCAGATTTTCGGTAGTATTATTTTCTGATGTGTCAATACAAACGGCAGATATGACGTTCGTACCTGAGCATGATCCATCTCCACACAAAACATTATCCACAAATAATTCTGCACTAATTGCCGCACCAAGAACATCACGCGATTAAATGTTTTAGGGAACGGGTAGGAGTCGGATTTCGCTTCTTGAATATGCATGAACACTCACTTTAAATACTCAGGTTTGTAAAAGTTTCCTTTACATGGATCACTATGGGACACTGTCACTTGACTCAGAATCCTAAAGTTCATTTTTCTTAATCAACAAACTCTAAGTGCATTTTTCGAACAAACTATTTGGGAGGACCACAAAATAAATAACACGGGATATTTATCGTTGTACATACATTAATGACGATTATTGATTTGTTCTGACTAATAATAGTAGCTGTAATTGGGCGATTCTAACCCTCTCAAACAATGGAAGAAATAACTTCGATAGTTTGCTTCAAAATTTGAAAAAGACCGAGGATTCAGGTTAACTTAGGTGTTGTATAACCCGGGCTCTACAACAATATATGCATTAAAGGCTTCAAAAATAAAATCCACACATGCATGCAGGACGTATTTTTCGATTGGTTGCAGCTGAGAAAATACGAGACATATTACTTTGCAGGATAGGAACTCACATGGGTAGCAGTGACACACTATCCGACAAACTATTTATTATGACATTATTGATTATAACAGTGGAAAGACATCGTCAATCATTCCCCCCAATTTCAGTGAAATGTTTGCTGTATTTAGGCGAAATAATTGAGTTACTGCTTGCGAGCCTGTAGAATGCATTTTAAGACAGAATTAAAGTCTGAGGGGAATACTTGAGGTATCTTATGGACGTTTAGAGTAACAAATGCATCAAAAACATTAGCTCTGAATTAAAATACATTGCACAGTTTGGTTTATTTCGGCACTGCTATAAATAACGAAAAACTTTGCGCTAACCATAATGTAGACTTGTGTAGAGGAAGCAATACACTGACACATTCAGTAGTGGGCCATTTCAAAGCACTTTCCGGGGAACAATACAACTTCATCTGCGGTGTATTATCGTACAGACTTTATTCTCAAAATCAATTACATTGTTTATCATACTATTATGTGTATATAGACTTAAGCTGGATATTAGACGAAAGGTTCTACAGACGTCTTTCTTTTCTGGGGAAACTTGGATAGGACTAATCATTTTCTGTTAGATATTTGGGTCCTCGCATCTGTACACAAATAATGCTACCGATGCGAGGTACTGGCACAAGGACCTCGTGCCACTTGTATTAATCTAGCCGTAGAAAAAGACTGTCATATTACTGTTTGTGATGAATCGTTTGCTACTTTTCGTCGAAATTCCTAGACCAATGAAAATGAGGTATTGTTGGAATTCTTTTCGAAGATGTAGGCAACCCGACCCACTGATAAGTTTTCTCTACCTTATTGCTTGGCCGTTAGGGATGAGATTTTTTGTTATCATACCTTACCTCTGAGAAGGATATTGTCCTCTCATTTCAATTTCAGAAGACATCCACTGGTAAGTCACTGAAACTACGTTTAAAGTTTGTAATTCTCTAAAATTACTGCGGTGAAAAGGATTGAGCAGCCGCCTTGATAATTAAGTGTGTTTCGGATTCTTTTCATTCAGTTAAAAGGATTGACTGGTAAAAGTAATTCAATGTACACTAATTTTCTAAATTTAGATTGCATATCGTATTGCATAGCGGAATTTCAAACAGGTGATGTTCGGAGCTTTTAGGATCGTCTTGGCTTGTAGTTGGTTTTAAGTAGCCTATGTTGTTTAGTAGGTCGTTGAAACACTGTAATTGTATCACAAATTTTGTGGTCATCAGTATTTTCATGTTTCATCTGCAATACAGAGCAACTAGTGGTTCCTTCGCATGTGACAAACATTATGAAGTTGGTTGTATTGTTGCATACATACATTGCAAACATTATCTATATGAAACAACAGAGTAGACTGTTTAATTTATACGGCATTTTATTTGTTATGTAGTTAACGATTGCTATAATTTAGTACATATATATATAGCCCTTACTCTAAAGGAAGTGTTTATGTTGATATCTGTTGTGGCTATGTACGCATGGCGATGTTCGAGCATTTTTAGAGGGAGAGCTGACTCACCACCCTCGACCTTACCAGGGTATTTCGAGGACTCGTCTAAGTAAATCTGCATTTTGCCTGCTGTTTTTATAGCAAAATCACTGTTATGAATCTTTTTCCATGTTCAGATTCTTCAGTCAGTTTGTGTTATCAGGTTGTCTTAAAGAATTATTTCGTCGGCACCACACTTGTAGGTGCGTATCATGTTATCCATTTTCCATGAACGAAATGGTTTGTGTCACAAATTAAATCAACAACTCACTAATTCGCTGTAGTCACCAGGGAAGTTTATGTGATTACTGTAGCGATAAAAAGTATTTCCTGGGATAAGGCAACATCCTCTTAAATCTAAAAAAGGTGTGAAGGCGTTGACTTGTAATTATATGCCGTGAAAATTATTCATGAACCTTAGTTGATTCTCAGAATCATGTAACTTGACTCTAGAAGTCGAAATCACTGCTATGGTTGCTTTCTACACTTAGCTTACTCTCTGTTAGTAAGGCAAATTACTTCTATAGACGGTCACTAAAGTCCTTCGCTGAAGCTTTTAAGCCAACATGCAATCCAAACACTCGCTTCTTTTTATCGATAATGGGAACTCAAATTTGCTTATACCAAAAGGGGATTTATTCCATCTTGAGAAAATGCTGTTCTGTTTACTGTATGTTAATTAGTAAATGTTGAAAAAATCTCATTCGATTAAGTGTGAGATTATTTAAATCTGTCTAAACATCTTCGTCCCGTCTCAATGCTTTGAGTATGACGTCTTAATTCCCTTATTATTTAACCTCTGTTACTTTGATATCAATGAAGGTTTAAATGTTAGATCCGAAGTTTAAGATCTTGTGTTAAATTGAAATTTCTATATATGCACTACAGGATTGGTAGAAAATTGTTTCCAAGTCTTCCCTTGTGTTAAACGTTTTGTAGTATGGGCTTTTGACTGTTACCCACATAATGTTTACCTCTTCATAAAACATCCAATACTTTGCTCAGTTCATAGTTTTATTCTGTGGCAGTGCAAATCGTAGCAACCTGTTGCCAACAAATCAGGAGGTAAGACCATTTAGTTGGGCTTTCCTACTCGCTTTTAAACAACAGTATGTGTGACTGCTCTTTGTTTTCACAGTAACTGAAGCCACTATTTTAATGAATACAACTAGAAATATTGTGTATACATATTTTCTTGAAAGTCATTTCTAGTGAAATATGTATTATGTTTTCACACAAACCTGTCTTTGCATATTCATTATATTAAAATCTCTTAATGTTCATGTAGTAATAGTAGGATTAAAATCTTCCAAATATACACAACCAAGTAAAATTATAAACTTGCATGCTAGATTATGAGCCGCCTTGTTGAGATTTTATAAGAGTCAGGTTTGTTCGAGCTAGTATTTTAATTATTTCTCATCGCCTTTACCAAGTAAATATTCGTGTATTTGACTTTGAACCACATTTTAGGTGTGAGGGGTAGTAATGTAACCAGGCCACCTAAACCGCAGTAGATATAGTGATGGAATGACTCAGTTATTTAGTCAAATACTTGAGAGTATCTAGAAAAAGCCAGTAATTTTTAGGTAAAACGTACGCATTCAAACCCGATTGACGGATTGTGAAATATTTAACTAAGAGACAATTAATAAGTCGAATGGTGACATTTTTGGGAGGATTAGATTTTCAGGGTTAATTTACGGAAAGTATTACTGTAACATTTAGTACTAAATGTGAATGAATTTTAAAAGGTATGATTTATGTTCCACCCTTAAATTTTATATCACTATATTCTCGCGTAAAAACTGCAATGTGTTGGCTATCATAAATGATCAGATTTTATTTATTTAAACAATTACCTAGCATTTGAAATAAAATATTCTTTCTAACAGATTGTAAAAATGTTACGACTGGCACTATTGCAAATGTTCGTGGGTGCAGATAAGACTGCCAATATAAAACGTGCTTCTGAATTAATTAGTCGAGCTGTATCTGAGCATTCACCTCACCTTGTATGTCTTCCGGAATGCTTTACCTCCCCTATTGGTGCAAAATATTTTGGACCCTATGCAGAAACTGTTCCAAACGGTCCGTCATGCCAAATGCTATCAGATGCTGCTAAGTAAGTTTAACTATGATTGCATTCTTCCACAATGAAGATTTCAGTTAAAGTTATTTCATTTCTTTTTTTTGTTGTTGGTTGGTTTTCAATGGCATGTGCGTTCTTTCACTGTTGTGCTTGCCATTTAGACTGCATAATTCTGTGCATTAATAGTGTTTCTGTAAGATCGAGATTACTGCAGTACTTAACTTTATATTTGTAAAAAACCATAAAATCGTAGTTCATTTGTATTTGTTGTAAAGATGTAAGTTAATCATACACTTGAATATCGTTGTCAAAAACGTCTGTAAGCTGGAGGCTACAAAACGTGACACCGTAAATTACACAGAGATACAATGACAGTTTACTGTTTGTCCTTAACATTTAATAACAAATAGGTTTTGAAACAAATACTTGTTCAATCATTTACAGATCTCATAAAATATGGCTTGTCGGTGGTTCTATCCCTGAACGTGGACCTGATGGCAAGTTATATAACTGTTGTGCAACATATAATCCAGATGGTGAACTAGTTGGCTTATATCGTAAATTACACTTGTTCGATATTGATATACCAGGTAATCTAAAGAAACTGTCGAATTTTTTTCAATAAAACATAATTGTTCTCTAGTATTAAGTTTCCGTTTTCTCTTCTAAACTAACAGTCGATACAAATCTAATAAATGACAAGTTTATCCAATGGTAAAATCACTAACTTATAGGTAAACGTATTCAGGTCAACCATGTAACAGCATGATTTGTAATAAGGTTAGACGCATAGTATTAGGCAATGATGGTAAATCATTTGACGAGGTTGTGAATCTTCATCGACTGAGATGCTTGAGCCACGTCCTACGTATAACTGAACACCAATTACAATGACGTGCAACGCTGATTAGTGTTGGGGATGGTTGGAAGAACGTTAGGGGCGGCCAAACCAAAATGTGGCATCAGTCCGCGTGACTATCGTAACCAATAGTTGGAGACTTTGTGTGACATGATTCAGAATCGATAACAACGGTGTAGGCGTATACACTCTCTGTCTTCCTTTAAACTATGAGATTAAAATCACTTCATATATTTCGTTCTACGAACTAATTCTTTCTTCCTGTACCATATCTTTATATTCAATCATTATTTTATATATTACCACCATTGAAGTAATTACTTCTATGAATTTGGTGTTCACCTTATTGTACTAATGAGGTGTGACAATTTGAACCGATACATATATGTGCCTTGTCCTACGTTGCAGCTGACTGACTGTCTGACTGAGTCAGTCAAAACTACAGAAGTTATCCTAATGGTTTTAAATTACCATTTCATATTCAAATGATGAAATTATTTATTATCTGGGATTGTAGTCAGCATGACTTTCAAAATGTAATCAGTTTCATGTCACATTAAATTTCAGTTTTCAATGCTAGCATCTGGTATAAATTTAATGAGAATATGTGTTGTGTGTAATCTCGTGTTATGGTCACATAATTCTTATGTCATAATCTGTTAGATGTTGTATTGTAAGCTTTTGGATATAAGACTATGTGAAACCTGGAAGCACTGGACGGCTGTTTTGTCCTATCATGGGACTTTTCAGCAGTGAGAAACAGCTATCCAGTGCTTCCAGGTTCTCCATGGTGGTCTAGCTTCAATTGACTCATGATCTCAACTATTAAAATTATAATATCCACAACCACCCTTCTGATAAAACTATGTATTTGACAAAAAAGTCAGCAGAACTATTTTGTGTATGATCGTAAATGTGTTGCAGCAAATTGACTCTGTCGTTTATAGATCCAACTTTCAATTAGTTTGTTCCTGTCTCAACTCTCGCATCCATTTAAAACCAGTATGTCTGTCAGAGGAGTGATCTCTTTACCAATCACATAATAAATCCGGTTTAAAATAATAATTTATTGTTAATAAGAACCTATTTCTATTTTTTCAGCTTAGTCTAAATGACAACAGCGAAATATATTTTGTAAATTTTTATTGCGTTTACACTTTGCTTTCAATCAGCTATGTTGCGAATTCGAATCCTCCTTGGACATGATTAAGTTTTTATTAGGAAAGAGATCTCATATATATGGGTGGTCAGTAATCAAGATATTGTTAGTTGTGATAAATGTCTTAATTTTACATACTAATTGATGAATTTCGCCTAGTTGAAAACTTCAGAATTTAAATCACGAACTTATCTTAGCTAGACCAACATTTGAAAAATCCTAGAAGCACTAGGCGGTCGTTTTATCCTAGTATGGCACTCCCAAGCAATGTACACCCACAACCTGACCGAGGATTAAACACTTCATTCTTGTACGTGAACTCTAAACCTCTAGACCACTGAGCCTGCATCCAATAGTGTAGTGGTCTAGTTTAGATCAATTCATGATTTAAACTATGAAAATCCTACAATCTCCACAATTCTACATCCATACTAATTGAAATTTATTAAAAATTGGATTAGTCGATGTCAATGAATCAATGTGAAAAACTTGACTTGAAATATTGTTTTCGATAGTAAGTGAATTAACATCTCCCTTCTCACTTACATCAAGTTGTATCTAGTTACATATAGTCTGTCTATTGATAAACTGTTTTAGTTAGATTTCATTACCGAGGTTTAATTGGGTAATTTAAATAAATTAAGCATTGGGTAGATTGTTACTAATAAAAAATAATATATTTGTAATATCCCAATAGGTAGAAAAGTTGGATTTTTAGATTTTCCGACATTTCGTAACTCGTTGTAGGCCACTTCTTCAGAGAATAATTAAACACATCAAATTAACCCAAGTTTAAATAGTACAAAGGAATTAAGCAAGAATATTTAGTGCGATGGTTCAAAAAACAAGTTTGACCAAGTCAGTGTCATGTCATTTCGGTCAGTGTGTTTTATGTGAAACATGTTTGTATGTGCATGTGTTGATGGATGAAAAATGTGAAATGATGAGACAGGATTTGTATGAGAATAGAATCAAACGTGGTAGCTCAGATAGATGGTCCATGTCGGATGTATACTTTTACCTGTTCTATTGAGGGCAGTTAAGCAATATATGGAGAGCTTTAGGTATCCATCTTTCTTTGTAGTTGGAAAGACGTTTTGTATTATTTCGATATTTTTAATATCAACTTGATGACTCTAATGGTCTAAGAATTGTTCATTATTTCACAGACAGGAGTCTAAGCAACCATGAAATCACAGAACACCACTTAGTGCTCTTGAAATTGCTCCAATTATAAAACAAACTATCGGGAAATAGAGTCTCATTTAATACGTCAAAAAACATCGCATATTTTGACTAAAAAAAAACCTTACACCTAACAGTCGAAAAGAAGAACTGAGAGCTCTACACTTTAACACAATAGTAGTCATGAATAAAAAGTATTATGATACTGAAGCTTTTGAACATCTTTCCACAGAAGCATATCAAAAGATTGATCTAAAATATCTTCAAACGGTTAAAAATACAGTCAAATCAGGGACAAGTCAACCTTTGAATGAACTAAAATCAATCTGTTTATGGTTTAATTTATACCCCAAATCATGCACTGTACCACGTTTTTATGGTTTACCTGAAATTCATAAATCAGACACCTCATTAAAATCTATAGTAGACTTTACAAACACTCCAACATATTCATTATCTATATATCTAAGTAGTATATTAAAGCCACTTCAACACAACTTACATAATTCTCGAAAAGATTGAAATTATGGTAAGCTATAAGGTGGATCATCATACACTAGTATTCCTATTCATAGATGCTTAGATTTTATTATTGGTTTACTAGAGAGAGAGAGATAGAGAGTGATGATACTTTTTCTGACAGATATCCTTTAAGCATCAGTCCGATCATGAAATCCCTAAAACTGTGCTTAAATCCAACCTTGTTTACTGTTAAGGGGACATTATACAACCGAAAATGGAATAGCAATTGGATCACCAGTTTCCTTGACTGTAGCCACACTGTTTATGTCACATTTAGAATCAAATATTTTCGTTGATGACATTTATTCCTATTTATTTATTTATTTGAACACATAAATATTGGTACAAAAGGGCATTGAATAGATATGCGCCACACAAATCACTTGATTTGTGTGTAGGCTTGATACCGCCCGGTTGCTCAGACCGAATCTAAACTACGAATTTGTCTCAGATATGTAGTTGATACCTTTGTTGTCATGAAATAGACTCATATAAGATCTTTTTTCAAAACTGATCAATACACAGCCACAAAACATCAAAAAAAATTAAAAATCCAGTTTTTCTACCCGTTGGGATGTTACAACTGTATATATTTGTTGATCAACATTGTTATAATTAGATTGGAGATAGCATTTCATATATACGTCATTCTAGAGATCTATGTTCCTCTTTACACGTTACTTCGTAGTTCGTTACCAGGTTATGAAACAAGATCCACTCAAAATCAAACATTAACCTACAGTCAAATCAGTTGGTGCCGTTAACGGAATTATCTGTAGTCTTCTTACATTAGATTATGGCTAATAACCGAGTAAACCCATTTAGTCTCATTTGTAGAATAATTTTGCTAACTTTACGTCACTATTTTCATCGATTCACTGTGTATTTTATTCTCAGTTAACAGTTTTAACTGATTCAGAAATATCAGTATTTTCTTCATTATATTTTATCAATAATTCGCTTTTTAAAAGGCGCTCTTGTTATACATAAAAAACTTTATAGTAAATTTACTTTCTTTTTCTTCTTGTACTATGGCTCTGTGGTTAGATCGTTGGATTTCTTTGCCAGCAGCTCGTAGGTTCGAACTCTCGTCTATCTATTCCTTTTTAGGTAACAGCGTAATATCACTTACCCTGATAGACGTAGAATCGGGCTCAAATCTGTATTTTACAGATGAATTAATAATGATATCAAGTCTAATAACACTGAATTTTCATTTTGTTCTGGCTGGTTACACCTGTTACTTCACGTGGAGGAACATAGGCCGCTCACCAGCACTCTCCATTCAATTCTGTCTTGGGCAATCCTTGCCAGCTTTTTCCAGTTGTTATTCATCCTTTTCATATCTGCTTCTATTTCCCTATGTAATCTGTTCTTTGGTCTTCCTCTTTTCCTCTTCCCTTGAGGATCCCAAGTTAGGGCTTATCTCATGATGCAGTTTGGTGATTTCCGTAATGTATGTCCAATCCACTTCCAACGTCTTTTCCTGATTTCCTTCTCGGCTGGAAGCTGATTTGTTCTCTCCCACAGTAGGCTGTTACTGATGGTATCCGGCCAATGGATGTTGAGTATCTTGCGTAGACAACTATTTATAAATAATTGTACCTTCTTGATGATGGTACATTTTGTTGACTCATCTATTTTGTTTTATCTTTTCAGTTTCGATATCATTAAATTAAATTTCATTTATCTTTATTGCTTTTTTTGTTTAGGTCAGTTTACATTTAAAGAATCAGCTTCACTTAGTTCTGGTAAAGAGACATTCTCTTTTGAGATACCTTTAAAAAATGCCGAGAATAAAATTTCAGTAATACGAGTTGGAATTGGTATATGTTATGATATTCGTTTTCCGGAACTATCACTTCTTTATGCTAATCAATTAGGATGTCAATTACTTTTATTCCCTGCTGCATTCAATCCTAAAACTGGTAAGTTTATGATATATCTTTCTTTTCTTTCCTCTTTTTTTATGTGTGTTCTGTAGTAATATATATATATATATATATATATATATATAATGGATCCAAGTGACTGACCGTCTTCAAGTGTCTAACTATTTTCTAATCATATATGTTTTTCTGCCCTGGTACGGCTGAGAGTGGAGAGAGTCCGCTCTCTCTCTTGAAATGCTCTCGCATGGCCACGCGTATGTAACCTCTGTCAGGGAAGTCCTACTCACTTCCTTCTCGTGGCATTACTACTGTTTACGAAATCGAGAGGACGGAAAGCGAATGTCCCGTGCTTTAACCGGGTTGGTGGATAAAGTGGATCCACCTAGGGGGGTCGGAAAACCCCTGATCCTAAACCAGTGGTGCACATGGGCTCTAGGATTCCGAGGGAAGAACGACGTATGAACCAGTTGTTAGTCACCGGCTACTATGGGACTGCATCTTCTTACGATGCTCCACTGCCTTGTGGATTAGACCTTTAGATCGAAGGCTCCGTGTATAGCCCCCTAAAAAAACCACCTGCTTCGGTTTGGGCACCCGGAAAGTATCACAGCCCTCACACATATCGAATGAGATTTGTGTGACGCATATGTATCTGGTGCCCCCTTGTACCAGTATTTATCTGTTCAAATAAATAAATGTGGGCTGACAACTTACTTGTCAGATGAATTCCAGTCGATATTTTCTATTGGTACTCGAATGTCAAATACGAAATTCATTGTACGAATATTTAACAAGCATAAATATACATATCTACAATTATCTTGCATTGTGTAGATACTACTACTACTACTACTAGAACAATTAGAAGATAGAAATTTATCTTTATAGCGTTTAGCTAAAATGAATTCCGTTCGAAAATGTAAATGAATGCAATAATATCATGCGATGTAATATAAAATACATGGAGTGTGGATAGCAATACAATCAAGGATGTGCGTTTAGTCTTATTCAGGGCACATCAATCGAACTTACCTGTGTCCCAGAGTTTATATTCACTCTGGAACTCAAACCAAGTACCGTTCACATCAAATATCATCACGTTATCCATTTAGCTTCTAATCTCACATAATCATTTACTTGTTCAACTTTTATATGGTTAATTCAACTTGAAATGGTCTAAATTATCATGTTGTTGATATATCTTAACAGAAATTTGATGAATCTTACGTATTGCATTGATATAACAACTATATCATAGCAATCTACATAGGATGCTGCTTATATACTAACCAAGATTTAGCAAATTTCAGGCAAAAAGAAACTATCAACAATTGGATAAAACTATTTCAAACTAAATTTATACTCTAGATGTTTGCTAGTTTAACATCTTACAATGTTCTACAAAAGTGATGATAACTAAGACTAACTAAAAAAGAAAAATAAGTTTTGAAGTTTTCAGATTACTATTATAAACAAATGAAATTTCTGTCAGATTCACAATGTTTTTCTCTTGGTCTTTGTGTGCTATGTGCTACTTATATCGACATGAGTAGTATCTAATGATAGTCAAGATTAGAATGTCTGGCTGTAGTAGGTCAAGAAAGAAAGAATGGGAACAGAAATTAATTGATATGAAAATGCAGGAATAGTCAAGTTTGAGATAATCGATTGACATTTTACAAATTAATTATTCACTGTATGGTTCTCAGATTTTACTTTGATGTTTTATAATTTTGTCTTCAAATACATTCGATTAGTTGCTATGGCGTTATCCACTTAGCTACTGAGTCCTGATAGCCACATTTGATTAGTCGCTATTTGTGTTCTCATTTAGTGCATTGATAGTTCTAAACTTTAGTCAGACAATTTAGTTATTTAATATTATATACGAAAGAAAAGAGTAATTCTATTCCATTTTTTTCTCATATAGTTGTTACCCTTGATTATCTTTTATCGTAAAGTAAAAACAAACACCATTGTTGAATAGAATGGATTTATTTGATTTGGTGTATTGTAAATTTTACTCATTAATATAAGTATAATCTCTTTATTTATTATTTATTTATTTTAACACATAGATGTTGGTACAATGAGGCACCAAATACTTATGCGCCACACAAATCTCATTCGATATGTGTAATAGCTTTAATACTGCCCGGGCGCCGAAACCGAAGCAGGTGGTTTTCTTAGGGGGCCACTCCCCGAGCCTTCGACCTGAAGGTCTAATCCACAAGGCAATGAAGCATCGTAAGGAGATGCAGTCCCATGGTAGCCGGTGACCAACAATTGGTTCATACGTCATTTTTTCCCTCGGAATCCTAAAGCCCATGTGCACCATTGATTTGGTTTGGAATCCGGTTAAATCGCCGGACATTCGCTTTTCGTCCTCTTATTTTCGTAAACAACACCCGTGGTGCGAGAAGGCATTGAGTAGGACTTCCCTGACAGAGGTTATATACGCGTGGTCATGTGAGAGCATTTGGAGAGGGAGAGCGGAACTCTCCCGACTCTCGGCCGTAACAGGGCATTTGGGGGCAAGTATAATCTCATCTATGAAATAAACTGTCTCAGCTTCATGAAACATGAATTTGAACAAAGTCTACACCCTCTACATCTTCATCTGCCATGAATATCAGCTTAACTGTTAAATGCTATTACGTTGTAGCTTCGTTTATATCGATGGACACGTTCGATTGTAAAAACATTGACATTTTTGAATAAGGGGTGTATAAATAGGTCAGAGAATTTTTTTCGTTTTTAAGAAGCTTAGTATTCAAGTAAAACAATAAAAAAGAAAATCGTAATCGACTCAATTTATCAATCGATTAGCAAAATCACATACACAAATATAGAATCAAGAATCAGATCAATAAGAGAATTAATCAAAATAGATGTACCGACAATGACAGAAATAATGGTTAAGAATAACGAATAAAGATCATAGTTGACAGGACAGGTTGTCAGTTCTATGTAGAGCAATTTGAATACCTCACTTCTAGCTGAAATTTGTGCTGATGATGTTGTTCAAAAGGAGAAGAACAAAAGCTTCACGGCCAAACTATTCAGTTCAGAGGACGAAACTTTACTCAAATTGGGTTCATTGATTATTAGTGACTAGGTAGTGTGACGTTAGTATGCTTACATAAATTAAACATTAAGGATTAATTAATCCCACTGGATTTCATTTCTCGATCAGAATAGTTCTGAATACACTACTGAGAAAACATCATCTCCCTAGATATTATATAGAAATATCTTGTTTAATGTCGATCAGAACAACTCGAACCATTTTAACGTTGAACAAATATGAATCGAGTTGTCAATGCATTGAATTATGATCATATATTACTTGATCGATAAAATTATGATTGGTTATTATTATTTATTGTACCAATTTTCGGGATTGTAGATGCTCACTGCTGAGGAGTCCCGTACTAGGACTAAACAGCCTTCCAGTGCTTTCAGATTTTTAGTAGTGGTTTTACATTGATCCATTTATGATATCAACCTAAACTCAACATTCTCCACAACTATATAGTGATAATTTTCATATTGATATTTACATTAATAGTGTCAACTTGACTTGGTATGATTTTTGAATACTTTAACTTAGACAAGGTAGTATAGTTTTTATTTGTGTCTATTTATGTACTACGTTTAGTAATAGTTTTGTGTGAAACTTGTGGTCTTTTTCTGGGAAAAAAATGTTCTTGTAACTATGTATATTTTTCACTTCAATAGTTAGAAAGTATACTTTATTTTATGTGTGATATCTCTTTTCTTTTTCAATTGTCACTTCTCCTTCCCCCCTCCTCCTCCAAACAATCTCAGGATCTTTACATTGGGAATTATTGGGTAGAGCACGTGCTTTAGACACACAATGTTATGTTGGAATGTGTAGTCCAGCTTGTAATCTAGAATTAGACTATATAAGTCATGCTGAATCATTGATCACTTCACCATGGGGTATAGTTATAGCTAAAGGCGGTAAAGAGGTAAGTATTTGATGAATAATACTGATAATAATTCATTGTATTTCACTATTCATTTGAACTTTTCAGATCAATTTTATGAAAGTAAACTATTGATAGATTTATGTAATCTGTTGATGGCATCAAGTTTTGAGGAGTCAGCCACACATACGCAACGTAGAACCTGTGCATCGATTCAAGTTGTCATATCATATTGTATTATCCCAGCAAGATGAGATAATCAGGAAAAAAATGTCAGATTCATTCAAAATATTCGGCATAGACATTATGATTCAGAAATAAAAGACTATAAGATAGTTTTAAAACTTAAAATTCAAGATGGAAGACAGAGACTGAATGCATTTGTGTGATTGCGATCGATTCTCAGTCGTGTCATTCGACGTCTCTAACTACTGGTCACAATTATCGTGTGGGACTCAACTAGGTGGTCTACATCAATCAACAGAGTTTTATTTTGTGTTCTTCTAGTCTTCTTCCAACCTGATCATACATAGGCAAATATTGCACGTCATAGTTGTCAGTGGTGGTTGGAAGAGAAAACAAAGCCATTATCAGGCAGAAAAACCGGATGAATGTTTACAATCACAACTGTTTTGTATCATTCTATCTCCAATTAAATACACAACTTGAGTAATTATCAGTTTAGTTGATAGAGTTTTTCTTAATAGAGGTAAACAGTTGTTTAAGTTAAACAGTTTTTTACTTACCATTACTGTGTAGTACACTAAAGGTGTTGTTAAATATAAGCACATAAAATACACGGTATTAATAGAGATGATCTAATTATAAAGTTATTTAAGTTTTAATGGTTGAGATCATAAGTCAATTGAAGCTAGACCACCATTGAAAACCTGGAAGCACTAGACAGCCGTTTCATCCCATTGTGGGACTCCTCAGCAGTACGCATCTACGATCCCGCCTCGCGAGATTCGAACCCAGGACCTAGCAGTTTAGTACACACAACATTCAACTGGCTATGATTCTCTAAAGTCTGGCAGAGCATAATCTTACATGTAATTGTTAGAGACTATATATTCCAATCATCAATACACTTGAAATTCTATGCAGTTTAATTATTTGAAATCTAGTTCCCCTGATGAATTCAACTTGAAATGTAGAAGTGTTTAAATGATTATGTAGTAAGAAGATGCAAATATATTAGCTTAGTACATTTTGAATAATCTAATCACTCGTATACTTGTCATTGAATAGTTATGTATGGAAAACAAAAGGAAATAATGACAATTAAAAAAAATAATATGAAAAACAGTCAGTAACTCACCATTCTAGGTTATAAATCAATATTATCAAGGTAGGTTTGCGATGTTGAAAACATACTGTTTCTGTATATATAAGGGGGGGGTGAATGTTAGTATGACCAAGGCCTCGATGAACTCTAGACAACTTTTGTACAATACTACAAAGTCTAAGTTAACACATTAGTCTGATGACCTGTTTCTACTATATGTTTGAATTTATTTATTTCTGCAACCATTTTGATACATATCCAGAGACCCTAACTTACAAGTCACGGTTGCTCATCATGTATGTGTGTGGTCGCACACATGTAAATTGTTAAAAAAAACCGTGTGATATGATGCAATCGTTTACATGCTGTTTAGGTTTCCGATGAAACATGGACCTTGTTTTTCCAATGATAATAACTTTTTCTGCACAGTACATTTTATTAACAACTGACTTGAGCCTATTTAGCTCATCTTCGTATGGTGGGATGATGTAGACAAGCTTTTGTGTGTTACTTTCTCATGATTTACTTTATATAAATATACAAAGATGAATAGTGGCTGGCAGTGGGATCCAGTTTGACGCGAGTTTCGTCGTATTCGGAACTCGTCAGCTGGATATACCTGTATCTCACAGTTGATGTTCACTCTGGGACTCGAACCCTGTATCATTCACTTCAAAAGCCATCGCGTTATCTACGTAGCTTCTGAGTCCTGATAGTTACTTACTTGTAGCTATCACAGTCCTAAACATCAATGGGACGATTCAAACAAACAGTGCCAAGTGAATTTATCATTTAAATAAAGTTTAATTTTTATCGCTCAGTAATCTCACATCATGTTCTTCGTTATTATACTGCCTTCCATGGCACAGTCTCCTTATCTCGGTTCACTTAATTTCAGAGTAACTGTTTGTCATCCTTTAATAGATCTGGTAAAATTCTCAGTCAATAATTTGTTTTTTATCTCTAAAAATTTTGGTCTGAGATCAGAGAGTAAAAATTTCTCTTGTTTATTCTCCGTAAAGTAGTTGATACTCTGTAAGTATTCACAATTTGCTATTACTGTATTTTACTAGATCAGTTGAATCCCACTAGTTTACTTGAACGGTATAATATACTGTAAATGAACCCAATAATTCACTAAAGATGGTGTTGTTTTGCCTAGGGAAACCTATAGATTGTGTTGTCTGGCACCTAAATCTTGTTCATTTTTATGCACCAGTGTGTTTTTTTCGTGGCTCATGACACTTTTGGCACCATAGATCACAACTTTTAACTCTAATTGGACAACTGAAATGTATTGGTCATTTGTCAGATATAAACCAAACAATACTAAGTGAATTCAAATTCACTCCATCGCACAAGCAAGTGGCTATCAGGACTCAGTAGCTGAGTGAATAACGCGATGGCTTTTGAAGCGAATGATACTGGGTTCGAGTCCCAGAGTGAACATCAACTCAGATGCAGTTACATCCAGTTGTCGAGTCTCAAATAAGACGAAACGCGCGTCCTGGATTCCACTGCTAGCCACTATCCAATATTGTTCGTTTGTTTCTAAAGTATCCTGTAATTTTGTTATTATCATTGAATTTGTAAAATTGTTTGTAATCATTGAAAATCTTCAAATTTTTTTATTGTAGGAGGAAATCATAACAGCTGATTTAGACTTTTCTGAATTGAAATGCGTTCGTGAAAGTATTCCAATTGGTCGACAACGGCGTTTAGATATTTATACTACACCGAAATTAGTTAAAAAACAATCATAAACATATTTGTCTCTTATTTATCGATTACATTCTTTGTGATATATTATTTGACTGTTGATCATTATACACTTTATAAACTTGATTAAATTCTGTATTACACATTACTTTTGTCTATTAACAAAAAATATTCTCGAGTGATATTTTGACTTCAGTTGTTTATCCTATTCTGTGTAATCCATTGGTCAGTCATAATAACCTGATGATGATAAAGTCGATTATGAGTCACTGGGTCTTTTATCATTTAAACATGAGGTTTTTGATAAGGCTCTGTAAGATCAATGACAATCTAAGGAAGTTAGTGTAATCTGAATCTAGTAGTGATGGCTGTTTCCAGTGGGTTTGATTGTAATCCTGTTGTGATGTGAATGTTTCACACTAACAAACAGTCGGATAGATGATGTTTTCGGTATGCAATAATAATTATGGAACACAAAGGAAAACAGTACGAAATAACATGTATTTTGTCAACGAAGGTTGGTATGGCTAAAGTGAGATTGACCAGGTTTAAGGTTACCTGAAATACTGAGGATGTGCAGCTTAGTCCGGAAAGCCACCAACGAGAAGGTAGTTATGGTCTAAATCTTAAATCTTTCTACTCCGTTGGAATATGCTTATTCAATTTTCTGACCCACATATTTGAATCGATAAAATAAGCCTGTTACTGGGGTACAGAATTCCAAAATAAGATTCTGAGCTTGACAGTAAGTGAATTCTAACAGAACGAACAACTATGATAAGTAGTTGGATTGAATGCAATAAAAGAACTAGTGTCAACCATATTTGTCCAATGAGCACTCGAGTGACCAGAACACGAGTCAGAGAAAGAAGTGACATTACGAAGGTATTATGTGGCAGTTCAAATAATATGCACAATAGGGCATAGATAACCACTGTTTTATTTCGACAGTTTAGTAGCATACCACGACGTGAAAAGTCAAAAACATTAATATGACTCAAGCCAGTTGACCACTTAGAGCTGAGTGTTTATATTGCCGAAATTGAAAGCAAGCCAAAATGATTGATCCAATCAACAGCTTTCGAAGTCTCAAAATGTTATGACAGTACCAATCTTTTGATCAGAAACGCTGACCAAAAAATCAACCGTACCGAGGATGTTGGCGACCCCGAATAATACTTCTCTAAATTATCCCATTTAAAATCAAAAGGAATTTCCCAATGAGAGGTAGTTGTGCGAGATATCTGATACTAAGAACAGTTTACCGTACTTTTCCCTCTCTATACGTACATTATGATAAAACATTGATAAGACTAATCATGTTATATCAGAGCCAAGATTAATTTGGACAACTTAGTCCTCTACAATTCCAAACTATATTATGACTGTGATGTTTTTGATGCTGAAACTGAACATGACATAGGTATTCGGATTTTGACAATGCCTTCACATACAACACCTTTATAACCGGAGTATCCTAAACCAGTCAAATCAGAAGTCAAAGGCTAAGTGGTTCGAGGTACATATATCAAGAGGCAACGGATGTAAGCTGATTAGGTGTTGCAAGCGATGTTTAGCCCAACGTGTCCATTCTTAGGCAGTTGTAGATGTGTGACCGGGCACCTTCGGATAGGCGTGTCCAGTAAAACTAATGAGGTTACAATCACGGAACTTTTTATTCAAGGACTTTTTCCTCGTCACCACAAGACTTTCCACGAATTTTTTCATCTATTTTATTCAAAACATCTCATAAGACGAAAATATAATATTTTCCTCTTGGATTAGTTTTACATAAAACTGATGAGAATATCGGTTTGAGGTCTTAAGTTATAATCCTCATCCTCTAGTATAAAACATTTGGTGACGACCATTCGACATGCAACAACATAAAGTATTTTGGCGATCCTTTTGACCAGTTGAAAATGTTGGTTTCATACGGAACTTAAAGAGATAACATTCGTCAACTAGCAGTGTTTTGTGGAAACTCAATGCATATTTATATCAATTGGGAACGTAAGAATACTGCCTGATATACGGTATTCTGAGCGCACTTTCCTCCAGAACATCTTACAGAATCGCGCGATATGTTTTTTCCGCGGAAGAAATATCATTTTGCAAGATGTACCAGAAAACACGTATCCTGACCACACTAACAATATTCGGGAATGTAAATTCATCAAGCAGTCCATGAAGCTCAAAAACATATTGACTCTACAAGTGATGAAACTAATCAAAAAAACTGAGATTCTAGACTTCGGCTGATGAAGAAAATCTTCCCATCCTCCTATATGGCGGCTGCAACTCTGGAAACACTTCATTTTCGGTTGCCATCTGGAATCCATGCGCATCCGGATAGGCCACATGACGCTGGGATCGAGCACAAAGGCAAGTTGGAGCTGACAATTCCACCTATGAACTGTCTAAGTTATTAAATAAAACGTGGAAAGGACAGAGGTTACTAGCCTGAAAAACCTTGTAAAGTTAGGCTACCTGTCTATCCCCGTAAGAATCATACAGGCAAACAGAAAGAAGCTCACGCGTTTCAAATTGAAAGCATAGACTCCTCATACATGAAAGCCGCGTGTTTACCGAATAAAATGGTTGAGGTACGTGAACTCGGCAATGCTAACAATGCTCGTCTGATAGGAATTTCTGAAATTTGGATGTCTTCCCAGTTTATGGACCAGGAGTCGGCAATACCCGGAATGTCTTTGTTTCGCAACGACAGAAAAACAGGAATTGTAGTTGGAGTAGCCTTATACTTACGATCCTGCCTGGAGGTACATCGAGTGCACAACCAGGAGTTTATCTTGATGAATCTGTGTGGTGGTGTCTAGTTGGAGTCATCTACAGGATGCCCACTGGCGACAACGTGTAGGACAATCGTATGCTGGAATGATTATATCGCTCTGTGCGTCTCGGATTTACTCATATTCCGATTCATGTGGACTTCAATCTTCCTAAACTCAGTTTCGCGGAACACACGTACATTCGAGGTGAAAACTCTACTGAAGCTCTGTTCTTCGAACTAATTGCGGATCTGGGATTATTTGAAGATGTGAAGTCGGTAACTCGTTGAAGAAAGTCAGACGCCGCCGCGCTTAGACTGTGTACTTACAAATGAAGAATTCCCGATTGATAATCTTTCGATCCTGGCTCCCTTGGGGAAAAGCGATAATGCCGTCCTAGCCTCCAGTTTTGACAGCAAAACTGAACAAAGTTATCCTACAAACAACAGGTACTGGGATTTCAAACGGTTGAGTGTGTCAGCTTTACAGGACTATCTGCAACAAGTGGATTGAGATGTTCACCCTCAACTTGATTTGGATGCCCATTGGGCTTTATTACTGAACACGCTCATATGTGCTACAAAGCAGTCAGTTCCTCAAACGTTCTCCAAAAGCTACAAGCAACCTACAGTCATTAAGAACCGCACTCTTCGTTTGCTAAGCTGCAAAAGACACTGTTGTGCAGAATACAAACGAACCAATATCAACGACGCGTGCAGGCAGTACAAACATATAAGGGACATATACACGAAGGCAATAAGAGAAAACAGGCTTCAGTACCAGATAAAGCTTATGGATAGGTTTGTCTCCAATCCGAAAAGCTTATTCGGCTATGCATCCTCTCTTCGACGCCGCTGACTTTCCGGCTGAACAATATGCTTGCACATTTCAACCGACTTTCATTGACTATATTAATGGAAGCTTCATCCGCAACTGCACAGGACTTTCCTAAGTGAACTTGAGCGCTGATTTGGTGTACCGGAAACTGCAACACCCAAGAAAAGACACTTCTCCTGGTCCGGCTATGGTTTATTCTGCTATACTGATGGAAGCACTTTCAATCCTGGTGACACCGCTTAGCGTGATGTTCTCACACTCACCAAGCCGAGGCAAACAACCGGAGATTTAAAAGCTGGCTCACATCACACCAATTTTCAAAAGGGGGTTGACGTAGTAAACCTTCAAGTTATCGATTGATGTCCCTGCTCTCTATGCCATATAAAATTATGGAGTCCCTGATATGAGGCGGTATACACGACTATTTATTATCCGTAAACTTCTTTCCACCTCAACAGCACGGTTTAGAAAGTTTCATTCTTGAATAACTGACCTGCTGACTGCGGTGGGCAGATGGACAACTACCTTTGATCGTAAGGAGAAAGGTTGACGTCGTTTACCATGAATTCTCAAAAGCTATTGATAGGGTTTCATGCCGGCTGAGCCAGTCCAAACGACTTCCCAGGAGTCCCGTAGGAGGAAACTCGACATATTCTTAAGGACTAAAGACAGTATGTTACTATGATTTGCCGGTTTCCTTTTCCTCTTTTGTCGTTAATATGCCCAGGTTCCTACCTGAGGGTATTTGCACACCGCTGCTACTAGACACGGAATCCTGTTAAACGAAAGCTTCTTCTATCCCGTTCACAACCATTCGAACCATCTGAACTTTTATAATTCAATATCAATTCATGGCTGCTTAAAACTTTTCTGGAATTCTTCTACTGGATCCCGAAGTGACAGGATGATATTTAAAATGGTTTATAATTATCCAAAAGCACTCAAGATTTTGGGACATCTAAAATAACACTTTTTTTAAAGATTGAGAATTGAAGATTTCGTCGTGTTTTCAAGACATCTCGGTACGGAGTAGTAAAAGGTGTGGTGTAAGTGAATAGATCCACCATCAATAAAAGTTAAGTTCCATTCGAATAGGTGTAAATTCTTTCACTTTTTTGTGGCTGAGTGGATTTAAAATCTTGATTATTTGTATGTTGTATGGCACAATCATTTAGTCTAGCACCCCGCAACATGTCGCAGTAAGTAAAATCGCAAGAGTTGAAGCCACGCCTGAGAGTATACTCTAGGTCATTCTAGGAAGAAGACATAAAACAACTTCAGCCCAATCATCTTTAACGTAATCAGCGGCGAATTGCACATCATTGAGAAAATGCCGAGCTAAAGCCTCTGTTAATATAGGTCGACCTTACTTGCAGTCCTCTATCAGATGGCGTGACGGTAATCACTCCACTAGATGCTTCTTTTAGAGGGCTTGATAGCAACGTCTGGATCATGTGTACTTGACACTTGTCTCGTGCCCTAATACTATCCTGTTTTCGCGCCATGTTGCCTCTTTCCATTCTTGCTAATTTTTCTCACAGTTCTTTATATTGATCACCCAGTCGGTTCATTTGTTTATGCTAACCGTTGTTTTCTCACATGTCTGCATTCTAATTCCATAACTTTTCGTAATGTGATCAACCATTTTCCTTCCTCAGTATGAGGTTATAATCTGTGGACGACCTTTGAGCGACGCCCGGGTGAGCTTAAGAATGTCCATCTACTTACTAAGGCCAAATGAGGTTCATAAACCAATGTGAGAGTTAGGATCATAATTTTCTGTTGATGGTTAGCGTTAGGAATTAGATTTTGGTTTTTTTATCACGAACTGACATCAGCTGAAATAGAAAAACGATATTTAACCGAATGGGTGGATGATTTTCGCGCCGAAATCCGAGACCTGTTATCTTATACCTAATCGGTTCGTCCACAAATTATAATTTTCATACCGCTAACTTTGCCATATCGGACGATACCGAAAACGTGGAACTGTACAGTAACATCAAGAAGAGATTACTAAAAAGTCAGTAACTTCACACGGACTCATCACAGGGATACTGAATGCAAATGAAAATTAAAACTAAATTGTTATTATCATACGTCGCCCCAAGAAAACCACTTGTTTTCATATGGGCACCAGGACAGTATCTCAGCACAAACAAATAAATAAATTTTACTTCATGTGACATATGTTTTGGTGCTCATTTGTTTCAGTATTTAGGTTTAAATAATTCTACATTAAAACTGCCCCTACTTTTCAAGTGTTAACATTATCAACATGAGTTAATGTTCGTTTGCAACTGGATATGATGTTAAGTAACGTTGGAAAAAAATTCACTTTGTTATTTCCCTAACAAGTTTCAGTCTAGCCTTTCAATCTTTACTTATCTGGGTGCCGAACTCAAGGTAGTTTTCCCGTCTTTCTTCTTTCATGGGAATAAGTAAAAGGATTGTAAGCATGTACTTCCAATGAGTTTCGAGGTTTCTAAAATCCCGTTCTGTTAGTAATAATACTAATATAGTGAGTTTCGGGTCTACCACCAAACCGATATAATTTTTTTATGACTTGATCGCTTTTTTAATTTCTCTATTCTATGTAGTCATAAGAACAAATGTTATTAAAGCAGTTTTGCAGTTGGTAACCACTAATTCAAAATCTAAAACTGGCTCTTTGTTCCAGTTTAAATAATCTGTTTGTTACCCATTTACATGAATCTTAACATTTTCAAATACTTGGTGTTTCTGCTTGCTAATAAATTATTCTTGCTTATTAATTTTCAGATTTTATGCACTCATATATAATACAAACTTTCATACCTGCTAATGGATATTGAAGATTTATCTGCCGAGCACGATAGACCAGAGACAGAATCTTCTGTACTAGTAAAGACAAGATTTAGAAATAAAAAGCAAAATGTTACTGAGGATTTGTGTCTTAGTAGTAACTTACCTGGTTAGTATTTTTCCTTGTATTTTTTAAAAAATTTATTTTCCATGTATGATTTTTATTCACGTAGTAATTTCTTAAACTTTCACCTTTTTGAGCTGATTCATTGACGTATAGTTGAAGATCCATATAAGTCCGCTTAGTTTAGTGTAGTGAGCCATAATATGTGAAGTTTGAAAATATCTGTGCATCTTTAGATGCGAGTTAGAACACAGACCACGTTGATTGAAGGATGGCTTAGTCAGTGAGCTTCAACTTCTCGGACGCTTCGAAATTTAGTGACACTACTCTGTGAACTGAAAATGTTGACTGGTATCAGGTGATTACATGCAACCTACAAAAGATCCTCGTCATAGTTTTTTTCTGCTTGTTGACATCGTTCCAGTTCCATCAAAATTGTAGTTAGATAATGTTAATGATTGTTGGCTAGGTTGAAATCACTACCAAGAGTTTATTCTCGAGCATTCCAACTATCTTTGATCAAATACATCACTTTGTCGAATTAAAATTCAGCCATTTAAACAGTTGCCTGCTTTCTTTTCGCCTTTCACCTTGACTGTACATTTTATTCTCGTTTTACTTGTTTATAGTGAACTTTTCTTTCTTTTGGTATTTTCTCACTCGCCATTATAAATCGAGATGCTTTTGTATTCCGTCCTACGTCCCTTATAAGTTTCTGATTCAATCACGAGTTATCATCTCATTACAACGATATTTTTAATAATGTAGTGTGTTATAATAACAATACCTAAGGAACAAATACATATTTCGACCTCGATATTTGAGAGAATTACAAACTAGTTGATCTGTGTATTGTTTGTTCTGTATTCAAGTGTTTTTAACATTTTCTAGAAAAGTTTCATGTTTTTGTACAAACATGGGGTTGTGCACATAATACTAGTGACAGTGAATATATGACCGGACTACTAGCCAAATATGGATATCAAGTTACACTGGATGGTTCACAGTTTACAAATGGTTGTGAGTCGGCGGGAGATATCAGTTCTACAGCAGATTTAGCTTGTGCATGCCAAGACAACGGTGATCAATGCTGTTCAAAAGAAAAAAACTTCGATAAAAGCAAAGCTGTACTTTCAAATTGCGATGCGAAAAAGAATGCAGATGTTTGGGTTTTGAACAGCTGTACAGTTAAAGGTCCAGCCGAAGATCACTTTCGAAATGCTGTTTTAGAGGGAATAAAACTTGGCAAACGTGTTGTTGCCGCTGGTTGTGTACCGCAAAGTCGACCAGGTGCAGATTACTTAAAGGTTCGTAGCACTATGTGATGTTTTAGTTATCTGTTCCATGTTTGTTCTCTTCTCAGTCCTTCAGATTTTCTAGATTTAGTAATATATACGGTTTTTCACTATCTCTATATGAGAATATTTTAGATCACTTTACTTAATGTTTTCTGGCTCCTGCTTTTCATCTATCTTCTTTGTAAGGATGTATCTCATTGTATACAGTAGCTCTCTCATTGTTTTCAACTGCTATGCCAAACTAATGATATTGATTTAATGAAAACCGAACAGTATGTTGAGAGCAGTCTGTAAGCTTTAGGGAACATGGGTCAGAAGATCAGTACCGTAGTATGGATCCTACTAGTAGTTTCATTGGTTTTGCTTTGGAGTTATTAATCATTTTATGAATTCACGGACTAACATTAAAATGATGAATATTGGTTAGGGCTGTTATATATTATGTCGGTGCGTTAGACAGAAACATCAGCTGGGAAAAAAGTTAGTTAAATAAAGTTAAAAACGACCTAAATGAGTTACTCTTTTATTTCTGTTGTAGAAATATTGACGATTGTTGCTCTCTAAAATGGTTTATCTACCTCTGTCGGCACCTATGTATCTCTACTTCTTACACCATAAATGTGACTCAGAGTCGGGTACACAATTCTATATTCGTTAAATGACTTATGAGAAATTTGTGATGGATCAAATATATATCGGTTCTAGAATGACGATAAAGTTATGACCGAAAAACGTTGGAGATAATTGACAGTAGACCTGTGTACTGCATTTTGAATTCCTCACTTAACAATTATTTACCCAACATCATTCATTTCACTCTAGAAATGCTCTCACATGGCCACGTGCATACAACCACTTCCAAGGAAGTCCTACTCACTGCCTTTTCGCGGTGGCAGTGTTATGTACTAAATTGAGAGAACGGAAAGCGAATGTCCGGCGCTTTAATCAGGTTAGTGGATATGGAACATCCATGTAGGGGAGTTGGAAAACCCTGATTTCAAACCAATGGTGCACATAGGCTCCAGTATGTTAATGGAACAAATGGTGTATGAACCAATTGTTGTTCACCGGCTGCAATGGAACTGTATGTCCTTACGTTGCTCTACTGCCTTGTGGATTAGACCTCTAGATCAGAGTCTTCGGGTGTTGCCGTCTTAAAAACCATCTGCTCCGGTTAGGGCACATGGGTAATATTACAGCCCTCAGACATATCAATTGAGATCTGTGTAGCGCATATGCCTCCTTGTACCAATTTCTATGTGTTAAAATAAATTATGAAATAAATAACTAGTAATAGTTAGAGTATTTAGTGTGTTAACTGATGCTGTTATTTGTTGTCAAATATTTTTATAGATGTACAAAGCACTTTTCAAATTACAGTTGAGATTCTAGTAATAAGTCAGTATCTTATATGTGATTTTAAAAGACTTCACTTCTGAACAATTGTGTCATAGGCTTTGTATTACATTTCACACTTCTTTAAATCTTGTGTCGAATCAAACAGCATGTTTTACGACCTTAAGCTTTATCTGTTAAACCCATATACTGGACCCAGGTATGTTCATTTACTCGATCTCATCGAGCCAATATGAAAGAGCTAGCCTAGTTCACCTATTTGTATTCAGTGACCAGGCTATAATTCCCTTAGTCTAGTGGATTCAGATATAACATCATGCTCAAAGTAGATCAAATATTTGCCGATTGGGTTGATTCTGTGAGATTGGATGAAATTGTAAGAACTCAGTAGGATAGAGGTACACACCATTGCTTGTTCCCATTCTCTTTTCAAATTGACTGTGCTAATGTAAATCGGGATAAGTTAAACCTATGCCCATTTTTTATGTCAAAACCTATGCTGTTTATGACTGACTGTTAGATTATTTGTTAACTATCTGCAATATGTTATTTTTATTAACGTGCCTAATTATTTTTCTGCTCAGGGTGTTAGTGTTATTGGTGTGCATCAAATTGATCGTATTGTTGAAGTTGTTGAAGAAACATTACAAGGTTAGTTATTGTCTACGTGTATTTGTCCCAATTTTCAGTGTATTCTTATGCCGTCACTATAATAAGCCTTATAGGTCAATATAAACTAATAATCTGAACTCTGAGTATTAACGCTCATAAATACCATATCTATTGAACAAGTTTTGATGATTGTTATAACTTAATGACATGATGGATGATAACATTTTGACTTTTGAAACGATAGGGATACGGACACATATCTAACTGAAGTCTCTCAACTAAGAATTAATATAAATCTTGAATCCTACTGCTAGTATCTATCCAAAATAACATTTACCTACAATAGCATTTACTCTAGTGCTTATGCATTTTATGTGCTTTTTATTCCGTAATCAATGGGCATTTAAATATATGCAGTTTGGATAATAGCGTTGATTGTATTTTGGTAAGATTGTGCGAATATTGTGGTATACAAAGTGGGGCTCTATTCAATATGTTTAACTTGATCAGAAACGTACCCAGTTTCATCTAGTTCTAAGTCTTCAATGATGCTAGCTGATTCTCTCTTGTTAAGTTAGTAGCTTTTATATTGGTAATATCATGTTTGTTCACAAAATTTTCAATTGAAGTCTTCGTTTGTCTGGTTAGTTAGTTTGAAAACAGTTTAAACTTTTGAATAGAATCTATTTCATTTTCTACTGAAATTCCGTGACAGTAGTTTACTCTTTGTTTATCCCATGTGTAAAATCTTTTAACCATATTGACATAGCCCCCAAATGCCCTGGTATGGCCGAGAGTGGAGAGAGTCCGCTCTCCGTCTCGGAGTGCTCTCAGACGGCCACGCGTATGAAGCCTCTGCCAGAGAAGTCCTACTCACTGCCTTCTCATGGCGTTACTGTTGTTTACGAAATTGAGAGGACAAGAAGCGAATGTCCGGCGCTTTAACCGGATCCCAAATTAATGGTGCACATGGGCTCCAGTATCCTGAGGGAACAAGTGGCGTATGAACCAATTTCTTGGTCACCGGCTTCCATGGGACTGCATCTCCTCACGATGCTCAACTGCCTTGTGTATCAGACCTTCAGGTCGAAGGCTCGGGGTGTGGCCTCCTAAGAAAACCACCTGTCTCGGTCTGGGCACCCGGTCAGTATCACAGCCTCCACACATATCTGTGTGTCGTATATTTATTTGGTGCCTCCTTGTACCAATATCTATGTGTTAAAATAAAATAAAGTAAATTATATATTGTCATAAATGTTTAATGTGTGATTTTTGCATATCATCTACACTAGTTTCACTGTATATCATCACCGAATTATATGCGTTTTTAAATTTAAGTTTCCTGCAGTCATAGACCTTATGTTTATTTGTTCATTTACTGCTTTTTTAATATGCTGCTTTTAACCTACTTCCAAACACATTGTAGATATATTTATAGAATATTTCTTGACAAATTTCAGTGTTTTTCGGTGTTATTATAAAGTAATCTACCTAAAATTTAACTTCCAAGTTTCTTGGCGACTGAACAATAGAATACAAAGTTGTTTATATTCATTGTTCAACTATATGAGATCAATGATCTCCTGGGTTTGATTCCCAATTCCAGAGTCATGAGCGTGGACTACTGAAAAATCTTATACTAGGACGAAACAACCTTCCAGTGTTTAGATCAGTTTTTGATCTCAGTAAAACAGTAAACTATTGATCCATATTTTGAAAATGTCTAGAGAAATTCCTGAAATTTTTATTCTTCCTAAACTCAATGAAAATGTTCATTTTATATAAATTATTCAAATAAGCAAAATATTAATGTTCATCTTTGTCACTGTCTAATAATCAGTAATTTTGAAATTATAATAATTCACTTCTTAATAAACTAATTACATATCAATCCTTGTTGTTCAGTGTATTCAACAGTCTGTACTGTTTATCTATGCGCTTCTAAATGCTGTAGTACGGTCGAGAGTGGGGAAAATCAACTTTCCCTCTCGAAATGCCCTCACATGGCCATGTGCATGCAACCACTGCCAGGGAAGTACTACTCACTGCCTTCTCGTAGCGGGGGTGTTATTTACTAAATTGAGGGGACGAAAAGCGAATGTCTGGCGCTTTAATCAGGTTAGTGGATATGGAACATCCATGTAGGGGAGTTGAAAAACCCTGATTTCAAACCAATGGTGCACATGGGCCCCAGTATGTTGATGGAACAAATGGTGTATGAACCAATTGTTGTTCACCGGCTGCAATGGAACTGTATGTCCTTACGTTGCTCCACTGCCTTGTGAATTAGACCCTTAGGTCAAAATCTTGTGTTATGACCACTTAAAAAACCTATTTGCTTCGGTTTGGGCACCAGGGCAGTATCCAGGTCCTCACACATATCGATTGATTTATGTGGTACATATCTATTTGATGCCTTCTTTTACCGATATTTATGTGTCTAAATAAAATAAAGTAAAAGTTTATCCATGTATGTTTCTTAAAAACATTGAGAAAACTATACAACCCCGTGTTCATCGCAAGTACTGTTGATTTTTGTGTTATTCTCATTAAATACTTTATACAGTGTGTCTGTTACCAGTGAAAATTTTGACATCTATAGATGTGTAAGTGAATATGATTGTTTTCATATAGTTGTCAGTCATTTTCCCTCTTTTATCTCTTTGGTGTTTAAGATCTTTTACTAGATTGGGGCAAACGTTTAACATGTATTTTCTGTGTTTCATAAAAACTAGTTTTATTGTAAGTTTTCATCGAATTATTAGGTTTGGTGTGATTTCCTCTAAATGTTAAACATGTAGTCAGTTTATGATATAGGTCCATAGTATTGGAGAAAGCTGTTCAAGACTAGATTCCTTGGGATGGTATGACTCCTGTAGCTTAAAACGTTTTTAAACATGGTTCAGAATAGAAGCCAATGCCAATCATGTTATAGTTTTCTTGTATATCATTTATCAAAAAGTGAGGAACTCATTTAACTGAACGTTTTCCTAGTTTTATTTTTAACCGAAGTGTATCTTTTATCATATCCTATTCTCCGTTCCCCTATTTTTATTCATTTATTGTTAAATCATACTCTCTCTTCCTCTCGTGTTTCTTCATAATTCCATCTCCTTATAGTTGTGTGGCTCATATCTGTTTCGGTGCTCATTTATACCAGTATTTATGTGAATGGAATAAAATTCAACAGAGCATATTTGGAATAGAACTTGTATCTGATAAATCCATTTAGATATTACTGACTGTGGGTAATAATAAGTAGTGTATAAATTGATTCTACTATTTTCGATATGACCAAACAGACTATGGTACAATAATCAGAGCGGATTTATACTGATCATTTTAAATCAATTGTGTTATTTGATTGTTAACTCCTAGAATATTATATTCCCATTGTGTCATGGAATATAAGAAGATAAAGTTTGAGTTGTCACTGCGAATCATTCATATTATTTACCTGTGGTGTATGTTGACAGATCTAAGTAGTATATAACACAAATCAAAAGTGGAATGTCTGACAGCAGAAGATTGAGAAAATCGAATTAAAGAGAACAGGAATGAAGAAACGATGAAGTCTTTGGGAGACACCTAAACAAAGATGTGTACATGAAGTATTTAATGTATGATTTTCATATTTTATGAAGGCATTCTGTAATTTTGCATGAAACAATAAATTGGTTATTCTTACCTAAGTTCTCGTTCACCATACACCAAAGAACACATTACGCCGGGAAATGGAGATAGACATGAGAAAAATGAACAAGAATTGAATGGAACTAGAAAAGAAGGCCCAGGACAGAGTGGGTTGGAGAATGCTGGTCTGCGGCCTATGCTCCATCAGGAGTAACAGGCGTAAGTAAGTAAGCGATTATCTCAGTGAGTCAGCTACAACATAGGACCAGGCACATATATGCATCGGTTCAAGTTCAGCTAAATGTCTCCGTCATCGATTATCTAATGAGATCTTTTCCATTTTCTATCATTTTTTGTTGTTGTTACAGTTGATTCCCCCACCTTCATTGTTTATGTATATTTATATATAATAATTTAGGAAATGTGGTACGATTTTTGGATAAAAAGTATACATTATCAGATATATCTAATGCAATGATAAATTCATCATCATCACCAGCTGGTGTAGCATTAGATTTACCGAAAATTCGACGTAATCCATTAATTGAAATATTGGCTATAAGTACAGGTTGTTTAAATGCATGTACATATTGTAAAACAAAACAAGCTCGTGGTATATTGGTTAGTTATCCTATTGAACAATTATTAGATCGTGCTAAACAAGCATTTAAAGGTTAGTTTATATTTATCATGCATTTATTTATTTTAAATTTAGATAATGTATCCAACATCTCACTTTTCAATTTTAACTTGTATTATACTTTCTATAGTCTGTCAGTTAGTCAGTCAGCTACAACGTAGGATCAGGCACATATATGCATTCGTTCAAGTTGCCATACCTCATTAGTACAACAAGATGAATACCGGATTCATAGAAGTAGTTACTTCAATGGTGATAGTATATAAAACAAAGATTGTGTATAAGGATATGATACAGGTAGAAAGAAGTGGTTCGTAGAAAGAAAGATATAAAACAATTTGAATCTCACAGTTTCATGGAAGATTAGGTATGTATACATTGTGACACCATTGTGATCGATTCTAAGCCATATCACCTAGAGTCTCTATAACTTTTGAATTAACCGCCAAACTATTAATAAGAGAAAATGAATTAATGTATTTATTCTTTATCCCAACTGATGATGGTACATGAAACTAAAATGTGTCGATGTGTATATTTATTGATGTATCTCAGGGAATAAGCCATTCATTATGATAAAAGTTTTGGGATGTATTCTGTTCGACATTTAGAGTGGAGGATAATTAATAGAAAATTCTTTTGTTTTAAGAATCTTTCTAATTAAATCTTTTCTCAACCTTTCCACCTCTACAAATTATATTAGTTTAAGTCCATATATAAAAACATCCTTGTAGATATCATATAAGATTAAGATTAAGGTATTTGTCAATCATTTAACTTAACCTATCTAGTGTGATAATTCTGTACAATTCACTCTCCAGTTTGTCTCATATCTCTTATATCAGTTTTCTGTTTATTATTAATATGATGATAATCTTGCCCCCAAATGCCCTGGTACTGCCGAGAGTAGGAAGAGTCCGCTCTCCCTCTCCAAATGCTCTTACATGGCCACGCGTACACAGCCTCTGCCAGGGAAGTCCTACTCACTGCCTTCCCGCACCACGGGTGTTGTTTACGAAATCGAGAGAACGAAAAGCGGATGTCCGGTGCTTTAACCGGATTTCAAACCAATGATGCACATGGGCTCCAGGATCCTGCGGAAACAAATGGCGTATGAACCAATTGTTGGTCACCGGCTGCAATGGGACTGCATCTCCTCACGATGCTCCACTGCCTTGTGGATCAAACCTTCAGGTCGAAGGCTCGGTGTGTGGCCCCCTAATAAAACCACCTACTTCGGTTTGGGCACTCGGGAAGTATCACAGCCCTCACACAAATCAAATGAGATTTGTGTGGCGCATATGTATTTGGTGCCTTCTTATACCATTTTCTATGTGTTGAAATAAATAAATGATGATAATCTAGGTTTTGCGCATATAGAAACTACGTTCCTGTTAAGTTTTCTATGGTAATTCAATGGATTAAACAAGAAATAGATTTGTATTTCATTGCTTTTCGTTAGTATTCTCCCTATTTTAATCATAAACTGAGAATAAGATTAACTAGTAAGCTTTTTAAGAATATGCGTTTAGAGAATGGATAATAATTTATCAACCAGTGAGCTGTTCGAAGCAGACAACGTAAGATGGTTACATGATATCGCGAATTGATTTACGTTAGGCTTGTACACCGTTGGTTACCGATTCATTTAGACGTTTGGGGCGGGGCCCATCGTCCTGAGTTCGACTGCTGGTTGCATGGTCATGAATGTGTATTACTGAGATTTTAAAATGTTTATTCAATGATCATATAGTAAGGCTGTGTCTTATTACTCAATGACAATTGGACTTGGTTCTCTCAAAGTGATCTTTGTCAGGAAGAATGGGTATGAAAAGATATGAGGATAAAATATACTTTTCCAAGTTTATTTTTGACCAAAATTATCAATGGTTTAAAAGAGTATTTTATTCAAAATTTTAGAAGGTGTTAAGGAACTATGGCTTACTTCAGAAGATCTTGGTGCTTACGGCCGTGATTTAGACAGGACTACATCATCTCTTATTTGTCCTGGATTATCTGAAAAATGGCCTCATCACATTACACTTGCTGATCTATTGGCTGGTCTTGTCCCAATTATTCCTGCTGGGTGTATGTTACGTTTGGGTATGACAAATCCGCCATATATATTAGATCAATTAGTTGAAATCGCGGAAGTATTGTCACATCCTAGAGTGTATTCATTTCTTCATATTCCTGTTCAATCTGGTAAGTTTTTTAAAATTTATTTTCATGTTCTGCTTATTATGGAATCTTTATATCAATATATAGGGTATTTCAGTTTTCTTCAATCAAAGTTAAATAGTGGCATCCTTGGCAGGTAGTAGTCTACTAGATGTGGCATTTTCTTGTTATATAATCCTTTAGTTCTGAAAACTTTCCCGGAGAACATTATGTAAATGTGACATGTAATGTCAGTAATAAGAATAGCTCTGATAATAGTTTCTACATCTATACTTCTTAGCTAGTTGCTCTGTATATATAGTCAAGGTATACTATACTGACGGTGTTGAATGAGCCAATCAGAATTAAGATAGAGCTTCATGGTATATTCGTTAAAAATTGAAAGTTCAGTGAATGATAGCTTGTATGCTATTATTAACCAGGCAAAAATTGACACTGTTTGGTTCCTAAAATATTTGAAATGGATAGAAAAAATATCTAAGCAAGCAAACAATGAATATAACACGATTTATTATTTATTATTTATTTTAGCACATAGATATTGGTACAAGGAGGCACCAAATACATATGCGTCACACAGATTTCATTTGATATGTGTGAGGGCTGTGATACTGCCCGGGTGCCCAGACCGAAGCAGGTGGTTTTCTTAGGGGGCCACACCCCGAGCCTTTCACCTAAAGGTCTGATCCACAAGGCAGTGGAGCATCGTGAGCAGATGCATTCCCATGGTAGCCGGTGAGCAACGATTGGTTCATACGCCATTTGTGCCTTCACGATACTGGAACCATTGATTTGGGATCTGGTTAAGGCGCCGGACATTCGCTTTTCGTCCTCCCATTTTCGTAAACAACAATGATGCCACGAGAAGGCAGTGAGTAGGACTTCCCTGGCAGAGGCTGTGTACGCGTGGCCATGTGAGAGCATTTCGAGAGGGAGAGCGAACTCTCCTCACTCTCGGCCATACCCGGGCCGATTTTGTGTTGAAATTCTTCATGGAATTCGCTGCATAGTCAAAGTTGTTTTTGTAGCTACGTAGTTTTCTCTCACTTTAAATTCTGACTAAAAAATATCAACCGCTAAGTAAATCAAATGATAGGCAAGCATCATTGCATTATAGTTGATGTCAATTAGTGACAAAACTCCTATAGGTTTTTGACTAAAACTCACAGGGCTAACTTGAATAGTTCAATGTGTTTACGTGAATTCATTAAATCCAAATAATTGTTTCACTGTAAGTTTACTTCTTTTTATTACTAATTATTTTGTAACTAAGCATTATTTTCTTATTAATATCGATAAGTTATTTAAGGTCCTGCTTCGATTTGAGCACCCGGGCAATATCACAGCACTCACACAAATCAAATGGGATTTGTGTGGCGCATATATATCTGGTGCCCCCTTGTACCAATACTTATGTGTTCAAATCATTAATAATTAATTGAGGTCTTCAGCATTTTATCACATTTATCTTCGTATTTTGAAAGTTAGAATTATATATTGTCTGGATTACTTAGGGTGAAGATATCCAAGACTACTTTACATTGGTGGTGGAAGTTATAGCTTGAAGGAAATCAATTTTCTTGTATTTTGTTTTGTTTTGTCACAGGTTCAGATGCTGTATTAGACGCAATGAAAAGGGAGTATACTATAGAAGAATTCTCAAATGTTGTAGATTATCTTATGCAAAATGTGAAACCGCCAAATTTGTAAGTTATCATTTGCTTATTGATCATATTTAAAAATGCAAGCAAATAAACGTTTTGTAGTCCCTTGTTAGTCGTCATGTTTTTACTAGTCTCTTCGTTTAATGGTACCGATTTTAATCGATATGTATTAAGATTTGTCCGTTTATAGACCCCCAAATCCCCTGGTATGGCCAAGAGTGGGAAAAGTTACCTCTCCCTCTCGAAATGCTCTCACATAGCAATGTGCATACAACCACTGCTAGGGAAGTCCTACTCACTGCCTTCTCGTGGCATTACTATTGTTAAGGAAATCGAGAGGACGAAAAGCGAATGTTCGGCACTTTAACAGGGTTGGTGGACACGAAAAGTCCATTTAGGCGAGTTGGTAAACCTTGTTCCCAAACCAATGGTGCACATGGGCTCCAATATCCTTTGAGAACAAATTGCGTATTACTTGTAATTGTATTGAACAATGTATTATCTAATGTTAATCGTGTTCTTTATTCTTGGTCGTCCATCCTGGTTCGGATATAACGTGACTAGTCTCATCGTAATATTGATGAGAAAGAGAAAAAAAAATCAACAATGAGATAATTCAAATCATTCCAAATTGGATTATCAGGTTGAAATTTTGTTGTATTTTGTGAGGACGGTAGCTTCCCGATTGGACAGTGCTAATAACCCCCTATGTGTGGATTGGATAGCTACAATGATGATTTTGTTTTTACTAAGAAAAACTATAAATACCTGACAGTTTTGTATTATAATTTGACACTGTCTGGAATAACATTTCTTTCACTTGTCTTCTGTCTTCTTATTTGCGAATTGGAAGGGTTCTAGCGTTCAAGTGCTCAAGTTATACGCGGTATATCAAGAATATAAGCTCTAGATATAATACATTTATAGTACGCTTTTGTTTTACTGGTTACGGATTTTCTCTTTTGTTGATTTGGACGATGTAACACGTTTACTGGTTTGAATCAATTGATGGTTGATCGTATTAAGCTAATAAAATTCAACGTATTTCATATATGGATGGACTACATCGAAAACACTGATTAATGTAACATTTTATATTCAGATTTTGTCAAGTTGTTTTAAACATTGTTCATATGTACACTTTAACGAGGTTGTAAGCCCTAATAACTCATCTTATTTATAGTTATCAGTATAAGGTTGTCGATAGAGAATGCTAGTGAGCGGCCTATGCTCCTCCACGAGAGTTAACACGGTAAGTATAGGGTTGTAGAGATTGTCAAGTCATAATTAAGATCATGAACCGATTTAAAAAAACAAACGATTTACTTACACTCTACTAATTATTTATCCATTGATTTTCCCCATTATCTTTAAACTTTATTATTAGACCTCCTGGTGCAGCACATGATTCTGTAAATGGATCTGGGGCGCTTACAATTGCCACTGATGTGATATGCGGTTTCCCAACTGAAACGGATAAAGATTTTAATGAAACTGTTGAATTAATTGAAAAGTATCAATTTCCTGTATTACATATAAATCAGTTCTTTCCACGTCCCGGTACACCTGCTGCTAATATGCCAAGGTATTTTCTAAAATTAGGAATTTTTTTCTGTTAATTGTTTATATTCCATAAATATTATTATTATCAGCATGGGGTTGTGGAGATTATTATGTTTTTGATTGAGATCATGAACCGTATGACGTTGGAACACCATTCAAAACCTGGAAGCTGTGACGACGGACCACGGGTGAACTCGAGGAAGCTGTAAAAGGCTCAGAAGGAGCCGAAAACGTTCCATCCAATCATCTTTCGGAAGAATATTCTAGAATTTCTACATGTAGCTTACCGATTGGATACTGCTAATAGCCCCCTGTATGCGGATTGGAGAACTGTAATGATGATTTCGTTCTCACTAAAAACTATAAATACCTGATAATTTTGTGCTATGATTGACACTGTTTGGAATAATATTCCTTTCATCAGTCTTCTGTCTTATTATTGCGACTTCGAAGGGTTTTGGTGTTCTAGTGCTCTGTTATACGCGGTATATCAAGAAATCAACTTTCAAGATATAACAGAAGCACAGCCGTTTCGCGCGCGAGACCGAAGGACCTGGGTTTGAATCCCGCAAGCGGGATCGTGGATGCGCACTGTTGAGGAGTCCCACAATAGAACAAAACGGTCTTCCAGTGCTTTCAATGGTGGTCCAACATCAATTGGTCCATGATCTCAATCATAAATATTATTGCTTGGAAACATTTCTAAGTGTTCCTTTGAGATTTTTAGGCTTCCAGTTCATAACCAGAAAATGTGTGATCCTGTTAATTGTCACACTCGAATTTCAGTTATTTAGTAATGACTAAATTTTGCATCAGGAATTTACATTTCAGTAGCATTGTAAAATATGACAATCATATACTGAATACTTTGTTTGCAAACTTCCATCATTTGTCCTTTACACTCTATATGATTCTTCCAGTTCACAATTCATTTTTATTTCTCTTTTTATTCTCTTTAAGTACATCTTAGCCTTCTGCTGCCAGCTATTCAACTTTTGATTAGTGTTACATACTACTTATGTCGACAGACATAAGTAGCATACAACACAGTATATGTAATCTTCACAGAGCGGGTTTAATTCAAAGTTTGCTGTTCAGTGAATTGTATAACAGTTTATTATTTGAAGAATATATATATATTCTCTAACTTATCATGCCATCTAATCTACGGTGTTGATTGAGTTCAATGTGAATTATGTATATCTATCATTCAACTGAATATCACGTCATTGAATTTCAATCAGGATTGAATAGCTCGTTACTACTCTCGTTGAGATTTCAGCTTTGATCAGTTCTAAGTTTCCTTCGAATTATCTATGTAATTTGTCGACGTTTTTATACCTCTAATCACTTAGCTAAACAGCGTTTTTTCTGGTGAAGCTTTATTTATTATTTATTTGAACATATAAATATTGATACAAAAGGGCACCACACAAGTCCCTTTGTTTGTGTGTGGGCTGTAATAATGCCTGAGTGCCCAGACCAAAGCACGTGGTTTCTTAGGGGGCTAAACTCAGAGCCTTCGACCTAAACGTCTAATCCACAAGGTAGGGAAACAACGTCAGGAGATGCACTCCCATGGTAGCCGGTGACCGACAATTGGTTCATACGCCGTTCGTTCCCTTAGAATCCTGGAGTCCATGTACACCATTGGTTTGGAACGAGGGTTTCTAACTCCTCTAGGTAGATGTTGCATATCTACCAACCCGGTTAGAGCGCCGTACATTCACTTTTCGTCCTCTCAATTTTGTTAACAACACCCCATCGTCGCGAAAAGGCATTGAGTAGAACTTCCGTGGCTATGAATGTATACGTGTGGCCATGTGGGAGTATTTCTAGAGGGAGCTGGCTCTCCCAACTCTTGACCGTACCAGGACATTTGGGGGTACTAAGGTATATTGCACATTCCTATCTATTTTTCATTTGAATTACTGCTATAAAATAACGAAATAGGATAATGACATTTCATCACCCTTTTATTTCTTCAATATTAGCGTACAAAAAATAATTGTTTATTGAGAGATTATTCCCAACTATATCATTTTCATTGGAACGATTTTATTGATCTGGAAAACACGATTCATTTGATTGACCAAACTCGGTTGGGACATACCTTCCAACAATTACGAAAAACAATAAATCTAGTCAGCTAACACTACCGATTTTCTGTGCATCGTTAAAGGGAATAAAAAATAACAGTGGTAACAAAACAAAAGGTGATTTTGTTAGAATGATAATCATTAAGTTGTGAATGTTACCCCAACAATCGGAATATCGACTTTGTTCCGCGATCATTACTAGATAACTAAAGAGAATTGTGTACATACCAATTAAAATACTATACGAATGCTAGTGCTATTCCGCAGATTGAGCTCACTCTTGATACCATTAAATGCCTAGGAGTACTGTAGAACTGTTTCGTCATAATATCCCCATCTACAACCTGGAATCGAACTCAGGGCATTCGGTCTTGTGCGTGAGTGCTCAACCTCTAAATCACTGAGCCGGTATCTAATGGTTTACATATATAACTTCAGTCAGTTGACGACATTGCGTGAGCGTCTCTCGATTGTAGAATTTTCATAGTTTCGTTACTTGTGTCCGAGTCGTTGGTTCACACTGTTCAAGAGTCCTATACTAGGATGGAACAATTGTCCAGTGCTTCGTGGTTTTCAATGGTTGTTTTGCTTAGTTTGTTTCGTAATTTGAACTATGGTAAATTCTACAACTTTCACAAAATCCTATACTGAAAAAAGTATTTTTGCTTCCAATGTCTTCTGTATACATGAAGCTCAACTTCTGTGACACCTCGTTCATACAGTGACCAAAATCAATACAGAATGTATTATATGTTTATTTTTAAGTAAGAACATAGTTGATTGTAATGTTAGTGAAGATAGTCAAACAATTTACGATACTCTATTATTGTTTTTCTTTATTTATAGAAAAGCTAGTTCTTCCGAAGTAAAATCTCGTACACGTAGATTACACGATCTTTTCAGAAGTTATCGAACTTATGATGGTCGTATTGGTTGTGAAGTTCGTGTTCTTATTACTGAACCGAGTTTTGATGGTAAATTTTGGGTTGGTCATACAAAAGCTTATGAACAAGTATGTGTAAATTATTAATGCAAATTATCAACATACTTATATTGCTTGTTGCTTTTTGTATGGATGTTTTTTTTGTCATTTTATCATCAAGAAAGATCAATATGTTCCATGAGGTTTTCATGGTTCTTGATGTATCAGGTCAACTCATTTTAAAACTATTTTTTAATAATATTGAATATTTTCAAAGTTGAATTCACGAGTCATTCTAAGATAGACCACCATTAAAAACCTGAAAGAACAAGACGACCGTTTCGTCCTAGTACCGACCTCCTCAGCAATGCGCATCCACGATCCCGTACGCGGGACTCGAATCTAGAGTGTCTGTTTGATTTCATTGCCTATATTCCTCTGACTCGCGAGGACAAAGAATGGGCTTAAAGTTCTCTTTCCATTCAGCGGTACTGAATTGTGCTCAACCCTTCATCTATTGTCTTAGGTGGATAACTGTCTCACACCCGACACAGATTGGAACCCACGTTCGCGTGCAGGATCGTGGATGCGCACTGTTGAGGAGTCCCACAGTAGGACGAAATGGCCGTTCAGTACTTCCAGGTTTTCCATGGTGGTCTAGCTTCAATTGACTCATGATCTCAACCATTAAAATTACTATAATATCCCACGTTCACACGTATGGCAAGTTAATTTGCCTTAAATATCTACACTAGATTCCCTTCCAGTGTGTCAATTCTACAGGACTTCAATACTACTCAGATGATCAAGAACACGTGATTAGCCTGACTAGAATGTCAATATATTTTCACACCAAAAACCCAATACAATCCAACAGTAATCAATAACCAATCAATCAATAATAATAAGAATAGGGTAATATATAACTCATCTGACACCTGTCAGACTGCTATGTTTGAAGCTTTCACGAGTTCACTTAATCTGCGAACGAGAACAAGACTCAGTGACCAAAGACCAGCCCCGCTAACTAGAGGGAGAAGTCAGAGCTTGGAATGGGAAGGATATTCTTCAAAACAGCCAGAGACGAGTGATAACAACAAACACAATTCAAAATGTATATATACAGTGCAAAACTGTCCTTTGTAAAGTTACCAAATAGCATACCAAAAGACGCACCGGACCAATAGCATTTAAGATATTTCCCAGTGGGAAATACGACATGAAGGTGACAAAAGCGCCTTTGGCGCGAAAATAAAGAAATTAAAATTTTCTAAATAAAATTACAAAATTAGGTCCTTTCCCAAGTAAGTTCTGGGGATCTAACGTCCCCAACACAAACTATCTACATTGTCTGACTAGGCAGACAATCAATCACTACCGTTCTCGTCCACACATCTTTGTTTCTTTTTTCTTTTGGGGTGGTGTGAAATAACTACCTTAATAATACTTACATTTATTTAATTATTATTCCAATTTCTATGCTTATTTTCATAGATTTTATTACCAAAAGATCCGGATGTTTATGGTCGTATAGTACTTGTACGTATTATAGAATGTGATAAATTTTTTATGCGTGGTATCATTATTGATTCTGGACCATTGGATTCTATTATTTTCTCAGATAATAATTTCAATTTATCATCTTTACCTTTATTAGTACAAAATTCAATTCAATTATCTAAAATAAATTATACTACTATGGTAAAACCAAATCAATTTAGTATATATACGTTGATTAATTCATTACGAAGTGATAAAACATTGGTTAGTAAATTTGTTTTAAATATCATATAATATATGTATATTTTATTTTATAATGTGAGTGCAAGAAGGCATTAAATACATATGCAATATACAAGTCACTTGATGATATATGTGAGGGTTGAAATATTGCCTGGGTGTCCAAACCGGAACATGTGAGTCACTTCTCGAGACTTTGACCTAGAGGTATAATTCACAAGGTAGTAGAGCAACGTAAGGAGATGCAGTCCCATGGTAGCCGGTGACCAACAATTTGTTCATATACCATTTGTTCTCTGAGGATTCAGGAGCCGATGTACACCATTGATTTGGAATGAGAGTTTGCAACTCCTTTAGGTGAACTCTCTGTATCCATTAACCCGGTTAAAAGCGCCGGACATTCGCTTTTCGTCCTCTCGATTTCGTAAAAAATCCATCTGTCGCGATAACACAGTCAGTAGGACTTCCCTGACAGTGGCTGTATACGCATGGTCATGTGAGAGGATTTGGAGAGAGAGAGCTCTCTCGACCTTCGGCTGTACTAGGACATTTGGGGGCATAGTATTTGTAACTCATACAATGTATATTGTTTGATAGATGCGAATGAATTCATGAGCCGATCTAAGTAGACCACTATTTAAAACCTACATGCTCTGAATGATCATTCTATTCTAGTGTGGGATTCCTCAGTGGCTGTGGTATGTGTCCGAAATCCCACAGGCGGGAATCGGATGCAGGACTTTCAGTCTTGAAAGAGGGAAGACTATAACCAACTGCATATTGTTCACCATTTCACAAAGATTCACGTTCATTTGTTACTACAGAAATCTATGTATCACTCACAAAAAGTGCATAGGAAACTGGGTTCAGTTTATTATATATACCTTATGCCTAAAGAAATCATGCAAGAATGTTTGGGATGAGTTTCTCATACTTTAAATACAAAATGTTGTTTTAGATCTAGTCTGTGCCAGTGCGTTGACTACCGCACTTGTAGTTGAAGCCTCAACTTATCTATTGGGTCCGTACTTAACAAAACACTAACATATATACAGAAAACTTGATTTACCCTTCCAAAATTGTGCTACCTGTTGTACAGATAGAATGTCCGTCTGCCAATCAATGGGTGAGTGCACTTGGGAACTGTTTTTTCTTCATCAGTATATGGCTATTAAGCATGGCTTATAAAATTGGCCACTGTTTATCCTGGTTTACAGATCGCGATACTACGTATTATTGTTGAACCATTTATTGAGTGGAATTCATCACTGTATATCAACCTCCTTGATTATGAGTAGGCGTTTGACAGTGTGGATATATGAACCTCTTTCGATACTATGGTGTATCTAAGAAGATCGTCACTATCACACTGACTTCTTACGACGAACTACACTGCAAAGTGGTGCATGGAGGACAGCTGACAGATGCATTCCAAGTGGGGTCTGGTGTCAGACAAAGCCGCTTACTCCGATTCTTCGTTCTTCTGCTGGTCGACTGGATTATGAAGACCTCCACAACAGAAGGGGAGTACTTAATGCAATGGATAGCTTGCATGCAGCTAGACGATTCGGACTTCGCAAATGATCTAGCTCTTCTATTCTATACACAGGTAAAGACAGCGAATATAACAACAGTCTCTACAACAGTAGGCCTCAACATACACACCAGAAAAACCAAGTTCCTTAAATACAACACGGAGAACGCCAACCCAATCACCCTCGATAGAGAAACTCTGGAAGATGTGGAAACTTTCACGTGCCTGGTCAGCATCATCGATGAACAATGAGGATCTGATGCAGACGTGAAGGCAAGTATTGGCAAATCAAAGGCAGCATTCTTACACTTGAAGAGCATATGGAACTCAAAACAAATTTTAACCAATATCAAAATCAGAATCTTCAATATTAACGTCAAGTACGAAAGTCAAGTATTTATAAACAATTGTCTACGCAAGATACTCAATGTTCGTTAGCTGGTTATCACTTGCAACAACCTACTGTGTGGGGAGAACAAACCGACTTCCAGCTGAAGAGAAAATTAGGAAGAAACGCTGAAGGCGGTTAAGAAATACATGAAACTTCATCACGGTGCACGCCCTAACATGAAAAATGCAGACCGAAGAAGACGTTGGGCTTGGAGTAGGATACAGATATTAAAACAATGAATAACACTTGGCAACAACTGGGAAGGAGATTGGAGTATAGAGTTGGTTGGAGAATTCTACTTGGCGGCCTGTGCTCCACGAGGATTAACAGGCGTAATGAAAAAAGGTAGTGGCAACTGATCTGAAACAAGGGATTTCGACGAATGATATCATCTTCATCTCTATGTTCATATATACATATATATAAACATGTTTTCATTTTATTATCAATCTTATTTTTCTTACTATTATAGGCATTTTACATGGGCTATATGATACTTATAATAGCTGGAATCTGTTCCGCATGGAAATTTACAGATTTGGATCTATACAAGAGGTTTTCTCTTACTTGATTCTATATGTCAATGAAATGTGATAAATTGACTATGTATATACATTTGATTTTTGTTCTATTTCGAATAATACATCTATTCAGAAGTAATTGTTTGATTCTTTTTTTTTTGACTAATTCAATAATGACGTGTGTATGTCTGTGAATTTGGGATCGCATAGTTGTTGTTTTCTTTTTGAAAGAAAAGGCGATTGCATGTGATAAAGTGCTCTTCATTTCATTTGATCCGTTCCACTTGTGAATTTTTCCTATGATACCCCCCCCCAGAAGTATAAGAGAACAAAACTTTTGCCTGAGATACTGTCAATTAATAGATTTTGGCAAATATTATTGTTAGACAAAAGTAAACGATCTCACAGTATCGAACGTCTTGACAAATTCCAGTAATAGTGCGTGGACAAGAGCTTTTTGATCACATCACTCCTGAACTGATGAGGCGTTTGTGGAGTGCAAGACCTGAGATTAGGGAGTGGAGTGTTGAAGAAAAAGCATGAAAGACATATCCAACTAAATCGCCTGGTATGTTTTTGATGTTACAAGCAAATAAAGAGGATTAAGCGTCTGCTACAAACAACCGGCTTTTACCTCGCAATCTTCGTGACCATCTTTGCAGTCTGTTATTGTGTCAACTTTGTTAATTTCTGGTAAAAAATAATCTCTGTAACATATCGAATCTGTCATTTATTACCGTATTATAGACTTGGGTAATCGTTTGTTTCTTTATTTATTTATTTTTAAACATTGGTACAAGGAGGCACCAACTAGTTATGCGCCACATAAATCATTCGATTCATGTAAGGGCTGGGATATTGCCCGGGTGCCCGAACTGAAGCAGATGGTTTCCTTAGGGGGACACATCCGCAGCCTTAGACCTAAAGGTCTAACCCACAAGGCAGTGGGGCAACGTAAGGAGATGTTGTTATATGATAAAAGGTGACCAACGATTGCTTCATACGCCATTTGTCCCTTCAGGTTCCTGGAGCCTATGTACATCATTAATTTGAAATGGTGGTTTTCCGACTCCCTAGGTGAACCCTCCATATCTATCGAGCTGGTTAGAGTGTCGGACATTCGCTTTCCGCCCTCTCAATTTCGTAAACAGTAGTAATGCCGCGAGAAGACAGTGAGTAGAACTTCCCTGGCAATGGTTGTTGTTCATAATTACTCTGTATCTATCGATTTTTTCAATGTTGTTTTTTTTAGATTTGTCAATATGAACTATGGTAATCCAAAAAACTCTGCTGCAATTTTAGAAAAAAGTTTGACTAAACTACGTGGTGATGTAAGTTGTAATTTTCTTATACTATATAAATTTCCTTAGGTTAATATCGCGTCTTTTGCTTATTTATTTGTGGAGTTAGTCAAATATTCAATGCGTAATGTATCCAGTATGGATCTTGTTCAGAAAAGGTAAGTTTTTCTTGTGTAACGTGAATAATTTATACTAAAGCCATGGAAAATTCCAATTATAATGAGATTATCTATTGGTATTTGGAGGTTAATTATAATTTGTTTATGGTTAGTGAGTTAGTTTCCTACGGGATGGGGTCGCTAACCCCATGACTGACTCTCCAACTTTATCCGGGCTTGGGATCGGCGGTAGCCTCAGAGGGGCTCTGTGTGAAGTTAAGTATAATTTGCGGTAGCCATCTAACCCTTAAATGCCAGAACACTTTCAGATACATGTTATCCAACTTATTATACAGTTTTTGTGAACGAGGTCACAGGTAGGAACAACCATTACAGACTATCTTGGTAAAATCTGAGAAACATACAGTAATCCTTCATTTTCAAAATATCCGTCAATTGTCTTAGACTTTGTTGCTCCTTCGTTTTCATACCAATCACTCTCTGTTCTCGTTCTCTTTGATTTTTTCAACCTTCTGTCGCTAGCCTTTCCATTTTCAATTGATGATACATACCACTTATTTCTGTCAACATCACTAGCACTCATCATGCAGTCTCTTACTAAACGTATTTATTTATTTAGGCACATAAACATTGGTGGAAAGGGGCACCAAGATTTCTATGCACCGCATAAATAGTTATTATTCAATATCTATGGGCTGAAATACCTCCCGTGTGTCCAAGCCGAAATAGATGGTTTTCTTAGGGAGACACGCTGCGGGCCTTTGACCTAGAGGTCTAATCCACAAGTCAGTAGAGCAACGCTATGAAATGCAATCCAATGTTAGCCGATGACCAACAATAAGTTCATACCCCATTTGTTCGCTCAAGATCCTATAACCCATGTGCATCATTAGTTTGAAATCATAGTTTCCCAATACCTTTAGGTGAATTTTCTTTACGAAAGTGAGAGGACGAAAAGCGAATACCAGGCGCTTTAACCGGGTTGGTGGACATGGAGAGTCCATCTAGGGGAGTTGGACAATCCTCATTCCAAATCAATGGTGAACATAGGCTGCAGGATGTTGAGGGAAGAAACGGCGTACAAACCAATCGTTGCTCACCGGCTACCATGGGACTGCATCTCCTCACGATGCTCCATTGCCTTGTGGACCAAACCTTCAGGTCGAAGGCTCCACGTGTGGCCCCCTAAGAAAACCACCTGCTTCGGTCTGGGCATCCGGGCAGTATCACAGCCTTCACACAAATCAAATGAGATCTGTGTGACGCATATGTATTTGGTGCCTCCTTGTACCAATATCTATGTGTTCAAATAAATAAATAAATAAACCACTAACCCATATGAGAACATTTCGATTAGTTTCTTTCCATTATCAACTGTACCACCAGATCATTGACAATTTCTATAGTCCTATTTTTTTAAAATTATAACTCCTGTTTAACCCTAATGCCGAGTACGGCTAAAGGAGGAGGGTTGAGCATAAAGTTAGCAACACCATCCTGTAGAAAACAGCCTTATTAAAAAACAAACACCAACCAGTAGTCCTATTTTTCTGTTTCTAATTATAACTCTGCCTATGTAACTCTTCTAGAATTACTGCCCTAATTCGAAGCTCGAATCAAAGAGAGGAGGATTGGATATGAGATCACCGACCCTCCCCCCCCCTCATCCCATAGAAAACAAACACTAACCAGTAGTCCTAATTTTTTTTTCTTTTTTCTTTCAATAGATTATCAGATTTTGGTAAATTCATTGGTGAACGTATGATTGATGTAGTTTATCTACGTGATAAATCAACTAAACGTGATATACGTTTATATAATGCCTTAATTTTTTTAAAATCAAATTTTTGGAAAAATTTATTCAATAAAGAAGCTGATGAATTAGAACGTGATGGAATTGATGAAAATATTTGTAAAATTAAAATAAAATAAAACTCATTTTTTTTTTTTTTTAGTTTATATGATTGAACATGAACCAATAGTGAATCGATTTACTCGATTTACTTATGAAGAAAAAGATGAAAAACGTAAAACATGTAAGTTTCTCTTTCTTGTTCTTGTTTTTCTTCTTTTTCTCTAGTTTATGATAATAATCGGTTTTTTGATTACGTCTAATGTTGTTATTTACAGTTAAGGCTTTATTATTTTGATGGAATTTTGTTCTTTGAACTGAATGGTTTTGTCGTGGAGCTTTCAGCGTTCTTCTCCTGAACGATATCATCATCAGCGAAAACTTCAGATAGTAGTGAAGTCTTTACACGTTTATCTTAGATGTATATCTACACTAGATTTTCAACTAACCACCCCCAATCCCAGTGTATTTATTCTACAAGACTTCAATACACCTCAGATAGATGATCAAGAACACATGATTAGCCTGACTAGAATGTCAATATATTTCCACACCAAAAACCCGATACAATCCAACAGTAATCAATAACCAATCAATCAATCAATCAATAATAATAAGGATAGGGTAATATATAACTCATCTGACACTTGTCAGACTATCTACATTGTCTGACTAAGCAAACAATCAATCATTATCATTCTCACCCACACATCACTTTTTCTTTTTAATTAATTATATTTTATTCAATAAATTTTAGCTGCTCCATTGAATATTGCAGCGTTCAATGCTGGAATTGTTGAAGCATTCTTATCAACTATTGGTTTTGTAAGTTATTTATGTTGTTAACTGTTTCTTTTTCTGTTTTGGTTTTCTAGAATTTATTATTTATTTGAACACATAGATATTGGTACAAGGAGGCACCAAATACATATGCGCCACACAAATCTCATTTGATATGTGTGAGGGCTGTGATACGGCCCTGGTGCCCTAACCGAAGCAGGCGGTTTTCTTAAGGGGTCACACACGGAGCCTTCGACCTGAAGGTCTAATCCACAAGGCAGTGGAGCATCGTAAGGAGATGCAGTCCCATGTTAACCGGTGACCAACGATTTGTTCATTCAGGATACTGGAGCCCATGTGCACCATTGGTTTGGAATGAGGGTTTTCCAACTCCCTTATGTGGACTCTCCATATCCACTAACCCGGTTAAAGCACCGGACATTGGCTTTTCGTCCTCTCAATTTCGTAAGCAATAGTAATGTCAGGAGAAAGAAGTGAGTAGGACTTGCCTGACAGAGGTTATTTACGCGTGGTCATGTGAGAGCATTTCGAGAGGGAGAGCGAACTCTCCCCACTCTCGGCCGTACCACGGCATTTAGGGTTTTTCTAGAATTAATGGTTATATAATTGTTTTTAATATGGAAGGTAACTTGTATTATAGTGAACAAAAACACACAAGTGGGAACAATCGATTGTACTTCAGCACACAATTACAGAATATCTTGGTAAAATCTGAAAACGTTATAGTTAAGAACTCACTGACCGAGATCGGCTACCCCAGTGCGTTCATTAAGAAGTACATGTATAACATAAAAAATAAGTCGGAGATTTCTACTGTTCGAAAGAAGTCTTTATACATGAAACTACAATTCAACGGAGATGTGGCTAGTGATACTCTCGAATATAGGTTAAAACTTATGATTTGTAAAGTCGATTCACTAAAGAAAAACAGCCTTATTCAATATTAATCAAGAAGTTTGCGTTGATGATGTTGTTCACAAGGACGATGAGAACTCCATAATCAAATCCAGCGTAGAGAACGAGACTCCATCAAAAGAAAAAGAGTTTAGTAAGTGTTTATTATGAATACAGATTGTATGTTCTATAATACATGAAAAATTCATTGGATATTTCACCTTAAGAAGTAAATTGCCTTTCTTTATTTTTTCTATAGCCTTGTACAGTTACGGCAACCTGGTACAAGGGAACTGCTTATGTGATTAAATTTGACGAGTCCGTGAATATTCGTGAAAGACAATTGGATAATCGATGAATATAATTCGTATTAGGCTAAGTTGCATAAAAACTTTATCAAGATCTGATGAATGACCTAACTTTCCTGTGATTCTCGATTTACTAAATACATTGATTTTTACATCAGTTTTCTACAAATATTTTATTTGTTACCGAAAGCATTTGAATACTAGGGATTTCAAGGTTTATAGTATGTTAATACAAATGTCAGTTCGAAAAGGAATGGTATCGATTTATGTCATAATTACTTAGCCCTAGAAAACACAGAATCGGTGATAGTCATCGTAAAGTCATGGGATGTTAACATTTCCGGTAGTACATTGTACACTTGTGTATTCAAACCGCTCATATACAATAAATGTATGTCAACATTGAAAAAGTTAGTTTTTGGTTGAGGCAACGGATACAGTTAGTGTAGCTTTCATTTAAAACATGTTGATCCGCATAAACTACCTCTACTACTACTCTACGCTTGTTCTCTTAAAATTGGCCATTTAGAAAGGTGATTTCAATTAGCGAAATATTATCACCGATCTCTTTTAGGCTGTTATTTTATATATAATGCTGTCGATAGAAAGCCTTAATCAGTAATAACGCGGAAACACTCTTCCGAATCAATCAACTAACATATTTGCTAAGTTTATTTATGATGATTTTAGACGCAGGGTATTAGGGAATGACGGTAAATCACTTGATGAGGTTGTTAATCTTCACCAACTGAGATGGTTGGGCCACGTGTTGCGTATGCCTGAACACCGATTACCATGACGCGCAATGCTGACCAGTGTTGGAGACGGTCGGAAGGAAGTTTGGGGTGACCAAACCAGAACGTGGCATCAGACTATAAAGTCACTAACTTCTGGTCTGAGCCATGTTGGTAGATGCAGACTATCGTAGTCAATAATTGGATACTTTGAGTGACATGGGCCAGCAGTGGAATTCAGGACGCGCATTTCGTCCTATTCGGGATGTACCTGCATCCTAGAGTTGATGTTGTTTGCTTATAATGCTAGTTACTCAAGGCAATAATCGAGGTAGTCTGCACAGGATGCACGTATGACAATAAGAGATTGGTCAATTGCAGTCCTAAACACCCAATAGGGAAATTCGAAGAAACAATACAAAATGGATTTATACTTTATACCTTTCTTCCTACGGACTAATTCTTTCTCCCTGTATTACATCCTTAGACGCAATCTTTTCTCTATACATTACCACCACCGAATTGACTATTTCTATGAATTTGGTGTTCATCTCGTTGTGCTCATAAGGTACGGCAACTTGGACTGACGCATATATGTGCCTGGTCCTACACTCGAAGATGACTAACTGTCTCAAGAACAAAAGATACTGATTTAACATAAATAGGTTATTATTATTGTTTACAAAACTTTTTAAGAAATGTGTGCACAAACACTGAAAACATTGTAGGAGACAAAATGTCTACCAATTGGGTTGTGCATTGGCCAAACGACGCATTCGTCTGGGGAAAGGAAAGAAAAATGTATGGTGAAAATGAGGATACAATAGGTATATAAACTTTTAAACATGAAGAATGTGTGGTTGACGAAATAATCCAAATAAGGTTTAGATCAAGTAATCTGTTAAGAGTTTAGATTAGTTGAAGTAACTTTTTCGTACGAACTGAGAAAACTTTCATATCAGACCCATACATAGGAGAGTCAGTCAGTCAGCAACAACGTAGAACTTCGTACGTACGTACATCAGTTCGAGTTGTCATACCACATTAGCACAGAGATACAACTGTCGATTCAAATCCCGTAGTGGTAGAGGTAATAAAAGTGTAAGCAGTAGTCGGAAAGATTAGGGTTTGAAGATGTTATTAAAGGAGTATAATCCAGTCAAATAAATTTGGAAAGAGAAAAAAAGCAACATGAAGAATTCGGGAGAACACAGAGTGGATGCACCTGCTCATATTATTGAAAACGATTTTGAGCCATATCATTCAAGGTCTCTAACCATTAGTTGCTATCGTTTCGTAGATCCCAACCAGGTAGTCTATACCTACCAACATGGCTCAATACACTTGTCAATGACTTCATGGATTTGTGCCATGTTATTAAGTCAGCTGATTGCAATTTTGTTCTACGTATAGTTGTTTAAAATAGGTAGTGAACATGATTATTTATGGTTAATAAATCTGAATGGGCCTTTGTTCATTGACAGTACAACATTTTCACTAGTAGTACTAGATGCCATATCACAATCTAAACGAGTATTTATGGTATGTTTAGGATATATAATAGGAACTAACAACAAAAAATGCCTAAAATAAATTTGAAAATCATCAATAAAAGTGAATTTATTCGACTTTACTTCTCATTCGACATAAATGAAAAAGATAAAAATGGGGACAATGTGCTTGTTTGTTTGTCTTGCGCGCGAACGCCTAATCTTTAGACCATTGAGTCGGCGTCAAATAGTGTTAATGTCTAACCTCAACCAATCCACGAAATTGCGCAACCATCTTCCATTGTACTGAGGTAGATACCTATCCCTACCCGACACAGATTAGCTCTACTGGTCACGGTTTCCCACTACAACTCCGGGAATCCCCTCACGAAGATAGTCACACAAATGTAATCAATCTGAGCTATTTTTTCCGTCCATCAAAATTCATTCAGTTGTTTACATAAAATGTAGAAAGGAAAAATTAACAATGATATGTCTATCAAACTTCTATGCTTGAAGCGATTGCAAATTCACCTAATCTGTGAACGGAACAAAGACTCAGTGATACAATGACCAATAAGCTAGCTATTCCGATGTGTCCTAACCCTGCTAACTAGAAAGAGGAGTCCACGTTCAGAAGAGGGAAATATATTCCACAAGCAGCCAGAAGCACGAACAACAACAAGCACAACTCAAGTATATATATCCAGCATAAAGATGTCCTTGGGGAGCGTTACAAAATAGCATAGTGAAAGAGACAACGAACCAATAGCATTTAAGGTCCTCCCAAGTGGGAAATACGGCATGAAGGTGAAAATGGGTGCTTATGGCGCGAAAACAAGAAATTCAAAATAGAATTACAAAAATAAGGCATTTACCAAGTAGGTTCTGGGGATCTAACATCCCCAACAGCTACTAAACATAGTATATTCAAATTAACCAGTATTGATCATTTTCTCTGCCTCATGGTGTATAATGAGGAATGTGAAAATATCACAATTTCAACGGCAAGACTATTATTTATCGAAGAACCAATCAGATTTAGGTTATCAGGTCTTGAACTATGGCGCGGAATTCGTTCACTTATTTGGTTAAATACTACTTTGACATTATAGCTGATGTCATTTCATGATGAAAACCATAAGTCTAATTCCTAACCTTAACCATCAACTGTAAATCATAATTCTAATTCCCCATACTGGTTTATAACTCTCATTTAGACCTAGCTATTACGTGGACATCAACTTAGAGTCGGTCAAAGGTTGCCCGTATATTAAAGTCCCATGTCAAATTTGCTAGATTCACAAGACTATTAAACTTAAAGATAGATCGTGAATTCAACATATGTTGATTTGTCAAACTCAAAGGACTTCCTTTTACTATGCATTAATGATTTATTTGATTGTAACTTTCTATAGTTGGGGCTATAGTGATACTTACCTGGTATTACGATCTTGATCGCGTATCTTTTTCTCCATTTCTGCATCCGTAAGAACTTCAACAACTGGACTCCATTGATCAGCTTCATTTGAATTACGGAAAACTACATCGACTGTCGGTAAAGGAGATTCACTGGAAGAGTAAAAATGAAACTTTAAAAAGTGTTATAACATATGTAAGCAGTTCATTGTATCATTTGGGAAAAGCCGAGAGTTATGTAATTGCTTGTCAAGTTGTACATTCTACACACTTTAGATGTCGATGAGTGTTATATTATTAAGCCGATCGATTTAATCATGAAGTTTTCACCATCTTCTTAGACAAAATGATCAGCACAAATGTAAATCACTACACGTGTACTAGAATAATAATGACATAACAGTATCATAGATACTTTAAACAGAGATGGATGATGGCCCCACGTTTCGTCTTACTTGGAACTCGTCAGCTGAGAGTACCTACGATTAATAAATAGAACGAAATCTGGATCCTGGATACCACTGCTCACCACAATCTATCTCTGCTTTAAAGACTTGTGACTTAGTGGCGATATCGAGGCAATCCGCAAATATGCCAATAAGATACTGATCATTTGCAGTTCATTTAATCTGTGAACAGGTTATTTCATATTTTTCGAACAGATATGATCTGAGGAATTTTAACGCTTTATATAATTCTCGGTAATGATAAACAGACCCTGTACTTGACTTAGACAGATTCTGTGTATGTAAAGTGGGATACCACACTATCTAAATCAAAGTAGTAACTAGACTATTTGTTTTACACTGTGAAATACCATAGTAACTATTAGTGTGTCTTGTCGATAATTTATGACATTCCGTATAACGTATCAATGTAGTGTACCGTATCATAGTACTGATCAATATAAGATTGTCTTGAATACATCTACAAACAGTGTACAACAGTGAACCGATTGAAATCATAACAGTTATGGTAGAGGAAATTGTTAAAAACAAAAGAATGGTATTACTATTATGACTGATGGAAGAACACACACAAACTATACTTAGGCTGTTGAAAAATACAAAATATGCTATACGTGTGTGTGTGTGTGAGTGAGTGAGTGAGTGAGTGAGTGAGTGAGTGAGTGAGTGAGTGAGTGAGTGAGTGAGTGAGTGAGTGAGTGAGTGAGTGAGTGAGTGAGTGAGTGAGTGAGTGAGTGAGTGAGTGAGTGAAAAGGTAGCCACAACATCATTCATATTATAAAATCAAACAAAGTAATTACCTGAAAGCATAAATTTTCTGATGCCAAGCAAGTTGTCCACGAATACTATAAGCAACAGCTGTAACAAATTCTCCACCTAAACCTAATTCAGCACAAAGTCTTGAAGCAAATTGTTCTGGTGAATTATTTGGTTCAGAAAGATCCCATTCAAATTGATCCACTAAAGAAATATTGCCTACATGTATATTTAAACGAATAATAACTCGTGTATCAGTTTGTCCAACTAGAAAATCATTCATGGGATGAGCATCAATCTGGGGGGGTCAAAAAGGAAGGAAGAATTTACCGAAGACAATATAAAGAAGTTTTTGTGGAGATTTAACGGACAAAGACACTTATATTAATGGGGCAAGTGAACCACTGGAAATACAAGATACATTAGGCAGTCGTGTGTTTTTGTTCAAAAATCGGGATATTGACCACATTAAACGATTAAGTTCAGATCTAATGATGAGTGTGTTACCATTAAAGATGACTTATTTTATAAAAATAAACTGAGTGTATATCATGGTGTATGCTATTGATGTCTGTCGACATCAGTATTATGTAAAACCGATCGGAAGTAGAAAACCCTGGCAGCAGAAGACTAAGAAGATCAAGTTCAAGAGAATAGAAAAGAATTACGAATAGGAGGAATCATACAGAATGTAAAGGACGAATGATGGAAGTATTCAATGTATGATTTTCATATTTTACCAAGATATTCTGTAATTTCATATTAAAATACATTGGTTATCCCCCACCTGTGTTCTTGATCACAACGTATCTGGCAAAATGAAGTTTGATATCACTCACTAACATGATGAGAGAATCGAAATATTTTGTGTTTGTCACGTTATAACTACTACTACTACTATTCTATGATTTTATGACCGATAGCTTAGATTATATTATCACTTGACTCGATAATCGATCGACACAGATTGGATCACTGTATACCAGATACACAATTCACAACCAAATATAGAGAAATAGAGCATAGATAAGACAATACTTTATCTAACTCAATTACAATCAGTCTACAATCTGTGAGTTCACAGTATAAATTAATGATAAGAAAGGAAATTACAAATTAAAATAGACAATAATCCGTATTTGTCTGTTCATGCTCAGTAGTTGATCATATGTTGCTTTCACTAAGCACATATCACTTATTTAGTAAGTACAGTTCCTTTATTCACCCAATTTTAAGAATAATATGTGTGGTAAATTAATCAATTGAGATAGACAAAACTTATACCAAAGAGATTGTGATTTCTCTGTTAACAAACATATTGAGATAAACGAGGTAGTTTGACCTAAATATGTAATTTAGCTATACAGAAGGAAGTATCTGTGTATGCTATGTATATATGACCTGAGTAGTTCAACTAGCCTAAACATTTGAATTAAATTTCATTAAGGATTTCAAGAATTTAATCATCAATCCAATATTCCCTATATATGTTGCTATAAGGTATTTTATTATACTATCAAACGTATGATATAACCATTGAGTACAAGTTATAATATTATATTAATACGATGTGATGAAATTAGCAAGATAAATAGTGAATGAGTCGAAATAATACCACCAAATGCCCTGGTACGGCCGAGGGCGGGGAAAGTCCGCTCTCTCTCTCTCTCTATCTCCAAATGCCCTCACATGGTCAGGGAAGTCCTACTCACTGCCTTCTCGTGGCGGGGGTGTTATTTACGAAATCGACAACAACACGTACAGGTAAATAATATACTCGCTACCAGTAAGCCTGACTATGATACCTAGACTTGCAGAGACAAACTGTATGAACTTGGTTGGCATGTAAAACCTTTCTCCTGCGAAGCTTTTCTGTTTACGTTCACTTGTCAGTTGGTATAATGATATATTATAATTATAATATCTTTAACTGTGTAATTCAGGAAAGGTTCCGCCTTCAGGCGATTATATCTAATCTCTACCTTCATGATAGAGAGATATAGTCGAAAATATAGAGAAATAGATTTGCAAATCAGCGACGATGAGTACCTCGGATGAAAGTGGAGTAAATGATTGAAGTAAAATTAACAACAGCTGACCGTCACGAAACAAGCACGATTCAAATCCTAATCGATATATAGGACTACGTTCGAATACTGAATTATATTTATGGTACTATTTAGCCTTTATGATTGCAGCTTACACTCAAAGCAGTGGAGTTATGGATGCGCACTGCTGAGGAATCCCATATTAGGTTTAAATAACTTTCCAGTGCTTTCTACCTGTCTAACTAAGGTTACACTATGATGTTAACTATAAGATTTAGAGATCTCTCGCAAACACCTATACCAATCAAAACCATATTATTTGATTATAGTAAGAAACTCTTAGCACAAGATATTGCACTGTAATAAGTTTCCTTATGACTGTATAAAATACTACACTTTTTTTACCTGTTGTCTCATAGCATTCACAATAGCTGGAACAAAATTTATTGGATTCAAATCTAAATCATCACAAAGTACTTCAGCCATTTGTTCCAATGTGATTAATTGTTCATTACGATTCCATGTAAAACAATCACGTAGTTTAACACCATCACATTCTATATCTAAACGAATCGGTACTAAACATTCCGGTTGACGTGCATTTTCATGAAATGCAATCGGATCAGAATCATCCAAACAAAAAGGAAATGTAAATGATTTACTTGTCTGTCTGGCTACAATATGGAAACGGGAATAAAGAAAGAAACAAGGTGCATCGTTAAGATTTTTAAGTTACAGACAGGTATAATCATAGAGAATCTTACGTAGTATCCCTGTACTGAATGAATGGGAATACCGGGTATCGCCGCCTTTTAATTCTGCCCCCAAATACCCCGTTAAGGTCAAGGATGGAGAAAGTTCGCTCTCCCTTTCGAAATACTCTCAAATAGTCACGCGTATAGAGACATTAACAGAGAATTCTTACTCATTGCTTTCCCGCGGCAGCGTTGTTGTTTACGAAATTGCAAGGACAAAAAACAAATTTCCTGCGCGTTAACTGGGTTGGTGAATAAGAAGGATCCACCTAAAGGGTTTGGAGAACCCTCACTCCAAACCGATGGTGCACATGGGCTCCAGGATCCTCAGGGAGTGAATGGCGTATAAACCTATTTACAATTGATTGATCACTGGGTGGTAATCAATGTCACGTATGTCAGATCCTTCTTTGTGCAGATCGAATCCTGTCGACCAAGTTGCAATGTGGCCACTAGTCTAGGTGACTCAACATTGCGTGCACTATGTTGGGATATGGTGGTAGTTGGAACTAGTCAACAAGAAACCTTGAACCTAGTTTTCGTGCTACTTGGCACTCGTCAGCAAGGTGTATCTGTAATCTTCAGGGAACTGATGCTTCCTGACGGATTCGATCCCATGTCACCCAGCTTCACAGTCAAAGACGTTACCAATGAACTATCAGGGTTGCGACTGACCTCCTGTAATAGTGAGATGTATTTACAATTCATTGATTACTGGGTGGTGATCAATATCATGTCGGGTCCTTCTTAGTGCAGATCGAATCCTATCGACTAAGTTGCAATGGTAACGTCTCTGACTGTGAAGTTGGGTGACACGGGATCGAGTCCGTCAGGGAGCATCAGTCCCCTGACGATTACAGGTACATCTTGCTGACGAGTGCCAAGTAGCACGAAACCTAGGTCCAGGGTTTTCTGTTGAATACCTCCAACCACCATCGTATGAACCTATTGTTGGTCACCGGCTGCCATGGGCCTGCATCTCCTAACACTGCCACATTGTCTTTTGTATTATACCTCTAGGTCAAAGGTTCGAGGAATGGCTCCCTAATAAAGCCAGCTGTTTCGGTTTGGGGACCCGGGCATTATCCCAGTCCTCACAAATTTTGTGTGACACATACATATTTTGGTGCCCTTTTGTACCTATGTTTATGTCGAAATAAATAAAATTAGACTTCATGTTATTGGTTTAATAACTTACTAATCAACTACTTGTTAGTATGTAAACTGAAAGTAGGGAATTTAGATTTTTGAACTCAAACTGTTGGGGATGGTAGATCCCCAGAAATCACTTGGTAGACATTTTATTTCTATAATTTTATCTTGGAAATTTGAGTTTCTTGTTTTTGTGCCAAAAGCGCCCATCTTCATCTTCAGATTGTATTTCTCACTTAAAGGGACCCCAAATGTCATTGGTTCGTTCCCTCTTTTAGTATGCTATTTTATGACGCTTCCTAAGGACATTTTTATGTCGTATATATACGCTTGAGTTATGTGCCTGTTGTTATCCGTGCTTTTTGCTGTTTGTGGAATATACATTTCCCTCATCTGAACCAGGTCTTCTCCCTCTAGTTAGCAGGGCTGGGACGCATCGGAATAGTTTAGCTTGGCTTGTTATTGAGTCGCTGACCTTTCGTTCTGTTTGCCTATGTAAGTGAATTTGTAATCTTTTCAAACATGGCATAAATAATACTAATAATCAAGAAAACAGATGACTTACCAGTTCTCAATCGACTGATAGGGGTTGGACAAGGAACTGAGTCCAAATGAAATGATGTGTTTGGAGTTGAACCAACACCAAGCCACCTGCTATCTCTTCTTGACTTAAAATTCCCACTTGCAGTTGTATGATCAATGACACCGGAAGTGTTCATAACACCTGGTAACGTTGCTGACGTCGCTGAATTAGCACTTGAACCAAGACTTGTTCGACCGACAGATGCGAAACCAACATTTGATTTAGGAGTCGCATTCGAGTTGAAATTTCGTAAACTACTGGAGCTCGTATTTAAATTATTAGAGATTGATGAACAGTCTTTTGCAATAAGCTCCCCACTTTTTAAATCTGCTAACCGATCTTGATCACAAATGATTTCATTGACCTCATATGTGCGTAAAAGCATAGCATTAGTAGCAGTTATAGGAGTTGCCAACCCTATTTTGTGTTAAATAAGTTAAAATAAGTAAAAAAAAATTCAAGAGAACTATATTTTACATTAGTTAATGCAAAACAATTATTGAGTACTCGAATTTGAGTCACAACTTTTAACATGAAGATTAAATTGATGTTTAGTCTCCCAAGTTCAAGTTTATGGGACTTTGTTGATCATATAACCCACTACTTAGAAAATAAGCATTTCAACTGCTAAGAATGAATGGTAACAATTTAAATATCTTTACAGTTTTTGAGCAACTAGCCTCATTTATTTGAAGCTCTACAATGTTGAATGGTATATTTCATTTGAATGATTTAGAGTATATCGAAACCAGGATAAAAACTACTACCACATAATAGAGAATTACTATCAACCATCATCCATACAATATACTCTAAGTAAAACGTATACTACTGTTCCTTTATCAGCATTCAAGCAAACTTGAATCACAGAGGAGAACACATAGATATTGGTACAAGGAGGCACCAAATACATATGCGCCACATAAATCATTCGATTTGTGCAAGGGCTGTGATACTGCCCGGGTGCCCAAATCGAAACAAGTGGTTTTCTTAGGGGACCACTCCCCGAGCCTTCGACCTGAAGGTCTGATCCACAAGGCAGTGGAGCATCATAAGTAGATGCACTCCCATGGAAGCCGGTGACCAAGAAATTGGTTCACACGCCATTTGTTCACTCAGGATACTGGAGCCCATGTGCACCATTGATTTGGGGTCCGGTTAAAGCGCCGGACATTCGCTTTTCGTCCTCTCATTTTCGTAAACAACACGCCGGTCACGTGAAGGCAGTGAGTAGGACTTCCCTAGCAGAGGCTATATACGCGTGGCCATGTGAGAGCATTTGGAGAGGGAGAGCGGACTCTCTCCACTCTCGGCCATACCAGGGCATTCGGGGCTTTACTTATAAATTCAATCACTTACTATAACATTCCTAATTCTACACTTAAAACTGAATCCTGAAAAGAAGAAAAACATGTAGTAAGCTTTTTTAATCAAAAGAATTAAAGTTTAGTGAATATTTCACCCACTAACATGATAGTGAGGAATTTCCAATATCTTTAAAACGATCATCGAGCTGGGTTTTTGTGTAAACATTATCAAGTTCTTACAGCGTTGCACATTTTGGACCGGGAAATCAAGGTCTGCATTTGATTATACGGACAATCAAATATTGAGATAGTTGAACAAGAACTCGGATGTGTTGAGAAAGGAAGTGTTTGATTCCATTCGTTATAGACTGCCTCTCTCTTAAACGTTTCAAGTTAAATTGGATCGACGAAGATTGTCGGAACATGAACGTAACATCTCATTAACAGAATACTCGTTGCACAAATTAACTGATGACAAACTTGAAAAATTCCTGCAATACTGTTGTGAGATGTTCTTATGACATGACTTTGAAGCTAGTAAACAGTCCTTTCTCAACACATTTGAGTTCTTGTTCAACTATCCAAGTATTTTATTATCTATATATCAAATACAGACCTTGATTCCCCGGTCTAAAATTTATAACGCTAGAATAAGCTGATGAAATTCATTTACTAACCGAATCCGAAAAACTCATCAGGCAAATTTCAGAAGAAATTATATTTACTCACCCATTTGAATTAGTTTCTCTTTTTCTTCAGGAGTAACTAACCGTTTCCATAAATTTGGATATTTTTTAAATAATTCTTTACGAAATAAGCGCAGATATCGACCCACCTAATAAATAAAACAACCAATAATGATACTATGAATTCGTGAACCTACCACTACAGTAGTTTATTAAATCCTAGTGTCAATCAGAAATAAAGCAGTTTTAGGAACAAAACATACAGTAGCATATTAGTTCGATTTGGATAACAAGAGAGTAAAGATTACCACACGTTATACTAACACGGCGGGTTGATCAATTCTGTTCACCAAAATCAACAACAGGAAATTATGAAATGTATTCACTAATAATAGTTAACGCATGATTTGATAGCTTGATGAAGGAATAACGTTGTAAAGTTTGGAATGATAAAGTGGATTCAAATTTTAATGAGATCAAAATTTATTAAAATATTGATATATTTAGGCAACGAGTTTCACATAAGTACCCACCACTAGCTATCAATATAGAAATATCCCGAAACAGATATAAAAGTCGTTCAGGTTCATATGTTTCAAAGTTAACTATAAAAATGTCACGGTTTTATAATTTCATAATAAAATCTGACGATAAATGGATTATTAGTTTAGGAGTTGTGGAGATTGTTAAGTTTTTGATTGAAATCATGAATCAAAATTCTTGGAGTTCTGGTGAGAGGCCGTGACCAGTGGAGCTAATCCGTGTCGGGTGGAAACAGATGTCTACCTCACTACAATGGAAGATGGTCGCGCAATTTCGTGGATTGGTTGAGGTCAAACATTAACACCATTGGGTGCCGGCTCAGTGGTCTAGTTAGTTAAGCGCCTGGCGCGAGACTGATAGGTAATGGGTTCGAATCTCGCGGGGTGCGGGATCGTGGATGCGCACTGCTGAGGAGTCCCATACTAAGACGAAGTGGCCGTCCAGTGCTTCCAGGTTTTCTATGGTGGTCTAGCTTCAATTGACTCATGATTTCAATCGATAAATGGATTGTGAAATTAGTTTTTAGTAAGGAGTAGCATCACCGAAATATACATGTGATCTTCCTTGTACCAGTGTTTTTATTATTGTTATTGCTACAATTATTAGGTTTGAGATGCTTTATTAAATGAACTAGCAATATAAAAATATGTGTAAGTACTACTATTATTACACTCAGATAACTCTTAACTGATAATACAGTGATGTACCACTTGTATTTTAACTGCAAAGAAGGATTGAGATGAATTCACAATATAATTTAACGGTAAATTCCTTCTCTGCAGGTATACTTTTTATAATACAAAGCCTTGATTCAGTGATCTATGTATTCGGCTTTCGACAGTGAATGTAGCAGAAATCTGCTTAATCTATCAACGGTAGAGGAGCCAGATAAAGGTGTTAATCCAGAAAGAATATGTACGACTCAAGGGTAAACACACGACCGTGCACATGGCTGCTGAATTTCAACACACCTACATCGTGTTTGTTAATTAAGTGTGCAGTCAAGATACCCAGATATGGATTCTAATCGGTAAGAAAGTGATAAATTTGTCAGTGAAGTTATTTCTATCCAAGAGAGGGATAGTGCTGAAAAAGTAAGTTGTACTTATTAATTATAGTACCATTTTTTTAACTAAGCAAAAATTTATGTCCCTTCCTCAAAAGTGAGGCTTCTCAGTCGTTTGTTTTTCTTCAAGTCAAGAGATGGATGAAACTGGTGGGTTTTGCCGATAGAGAAGATTATTCCAACCAACATAAATTTCCATCTTGAGGGATGAAGTCGGATATTTCATGATTAATTACTGTCAAGTATTTAACTATACAGTGAATTATCTTGAACTCTTCTCCCAACTCGCCTGGCGTTACTCTCGGAAGCAGACAGATAACGCACAAAACGTTACCTATGTAAATTAATAGCTGACTACTTCATTTGACGGTTTGTTGCTATTAACATTAAATGCCTTTATCCTACTTAGTAATAAGATAGACGAGTAAGTAGTATTTTCATTGGCATCTATTCTATGATGACAAGAAATATTATACAATTTCCAAACAATAGTAGTTAATGGGGACTGGAGTAAGTAACACGGTGGTTGAGAGTGAGGTGCTTAAAATACATTTCCATCACTTACGCATTATTCTAAGCGTTATCCTGACATTCTTCGCTACATGGTTTCAAAAGACGAAGTTTTCAAACCAAAAGGATTGGTACTCAAGCAACATAAACTGCTTGTAGTATGGGACATTTGAAGATAAATGTACAGACAAACATAAACCATATGAGGTACAGAAGTGTTATTTAATTTGTTAGTAATTTCGCTGAGGTTCTGTAATAACGAGTCATTGGTTTCTGTACGTTACGTATAATTGTCGACAAATTTCCCCCAAATACACGACGTAAGGGGGGAAAAGCGACATTTCCCCTTTATTTACGCTGTCGTCCGCTTTATTTCCCCTTTCTTTGCCTTTATTTCCCCTTTATTGGTTGCTTGGGCCCTATTACAGTTACTGCTGTTCTAGAATAATCGACTGAGATGGCGAACTGTTGTCACGCATCTTCCACATTAATTTCTAAGAGTACATAAGCACGAGCACTCAACTAACTTTACACTTACGACAACCCAGAATTAAAAACATGACTCACTTCTGATGCTAAGTAAAAGTATTCACCGTCAGACTCCAGCTGAAACTCGATCGGCTTTTCTCCGTAGCGGAAGACTGTTTCCATCTCAACTCTGAAGATAAATTTAAAAGAAAGGAAGCTAAAGGTAATGAGTTGAATTTGACAATCGTGATGTTCAATTGTCTCAGTACGTAAACAACATTTTCATATCATTAGTTTTTTTTACTGTGATGAGGCTATAATTTATTGACGACGTTTGAGCGACGTTAAAGTGACCTTGAGAGTGTCTACCCAATTACTAGTGCAAAAATGAGGGTTACAAAGCAATGTGAGGAATAAAAATTGTGATTTTCAGTTGATGGTTAGGGTTAGGAATTAGATTTAGAGCTTTCATCATGAACTGACATCAGCTATAAAGCCAAAACGCTCTTTAACCAAATGGAAGAATGGATTTTGCACCAAAATCCAAGACCCAGACATTCACCAAGTTTGTGGTGTCATTCACTATGTTAAGCCCACATAATTTATTCTAGCTTCTGGACAGTCAAATTTATCAATTCTTCTTGAGTCACGTTTTGGCATTGTTAATTATTCACTTATCAACCTTGACTGTTTTCATATGAGCGTATGTGTGCATATCTTATCCTACTCATCACATGTCTGTAGCTTATTTTTGTGTGACTATAAATATTGATGAACGCTCGACTAAATGTTGTCTCACATGTCTCCACTGCGAGCCGTCTCGTTTCATTCTCTCTTCTTCGCTTCCTTCTCTACGTCTTATTATTTGTTCCCACCAACTATTGTACAAAATATATGTATTCGAAAATCCATTCTGGCATTCGACTTACGTTATTTCGTTATTCACTAACGCGATACAAGTCGATAATTATATATGAGAATAATCAGAATGTATATTTCCATAACAATCAATCATACGATATTACTGTAGTCAGAAACGGGCCACAAAAAGTTAGGTTCCGCCATATCCACTGCAGTATACACAACCTTAATGAGGACTAAGCTTGAAAACTACATTTAGGCTGCAAGCCTCTGTTTAAAACGCGACTCATCCTGTAAAAGTAAAGAGGGTAGCTACCAGCGAATACCAGAAAAGCTAGACCTCTTTACTTTGTTCTATCGCAGACTAATGTGATCCGAAACTGATATATAGAATATTAGGAAATGATTTTGGACCTATTATATCCTCTCTTCTTCTTCCCACTAGATCAGAACATCTCAGAGGATACAGAAGGCTAGCAGAAAAGTCGAGAACGAATAAGATGCCATCTTACAATCCCTTTGGCAAGCAAAACAGACAAGGGAAAACATATAGACGTACTGACCAGATTTCGTTATTAAATCTATCTTTGTGTTAAAGCTGATGTCAGTTCGTGATCAAAACTCCAACAGTTCGTGAATAAAGGTTCTTCATCTGTTAAATTGTTGACCAGCAATAGTTGTACTGGTTTTATCCTATGAATTATTTCACAACCAAATGATTCTTTTGTTGTCTGAAAGGTATGACAAGACAGGCCGTATACTGGATAGTGTACCAAGCTTATGTATAATATTTAAGAAATCGAGACTAGAACTGGCATGTTGAAAAGCGAGGAAGAAAAAATCGAAACTTACTACGTGAAATAGAAGTGCTATTTACAATCAAGATAACGAAGAGATATGCGAATCAGAGTGCATTCAAGACCGGGTTACATCTCCTGTAGCGTGCGGATTAAACTCTCCCCCTTTTTTCCTTATACTCTTTGTCCAATATACAATAAATAACATTGTTCAGAACTAGAGCAAACCGGTTTATATTTATATGCAAGTCTTATGACGTTAAGGAAGTGATTGAGGTATCGGATGATTTCTCAAGTAAAAGTTGTGCAAACTAGTGCAATTACCTACTTACCTACGCCTGTTACTCCCAATGGAGCATAAGCCGCCGACCAGCATTCTCCAACCCACTCTGTCCTGGGCCTTCTTTTCTAGTTCCATCCAATTCTTGTTCATTTTTCTCATGTCTATTTCCATTTCTCGGTGTAATGTGTTCTTTGGTCTTCCTCTTTTCCTTTGGCCTTCAGGATTCCATGTGAGGGCATGTCTTGTGACGCAGTTCGGTGCTTTCCTCAATGTGTGTCCTATCCACTTCCAACGCTTCTTCCTAATTTCTTCCTCCGCTGGAATCTGGTTTGTTCTTTCACACAGTTGGTTGTTGCTCATAGTGTCCGGCCAACGGATCCGAATTATTTTGCGTAGACAACTGTTGATAAACACCTGTATCTTTTGGATGATGGCTTTCGTAGTTCTCCAGGTTTCCGCCCCATACAGTAGAACCGTCTTGACGTTTGTATTGAAAATCCTGACCTTGGTGTTGGTTGACAGTTGCTTTGAATTCCAGATGTTCCTCAGTTGTAAATATGCTGCTCTTGCTTTGCTGATCTGCATATTCACACCTGCATCAGATCCACAGTGTACATCAATGATGCTGCCCAGGCAAATAAAGGTATTTACATCCTCCACATCTTCTTCGTCGAGTGTGATTCGGTTGGTGCATACTGTGTGGTATCAGATAATCTTTTTTTCCCCTTTGTGTATGTTGAGACATACTGCCGCTACACTTGACGTCTTCTCCTGCATTTGATGTCGCGTTTGGGATAGAAGGGCCAGATCATCTGCGAAGTCCAGATCGTCCAACTGCATCCTAGATGTCCATTGTATCCCGTGTTTCTCTTCAGATGTTGACGTCTTCATGATCCAGTCGATCACCAGGAGAAAGAGAAAGGGTGAGAGTAAGCAACCTTGCCTGACACCGGTCTTCACTTCGAACGACTTTGTCAACTGTCCTCCATGCACAATTTTGCAGTGTAATCCATCATATGAACTCTGTATGATATTGACTATCTTCTGAGGCACGCCGTAGTGTCGAAGAAGTTTCCATAGTGTTGTTCTGTCCACGCTATCAAATGCCTTTTCGTAGTCAATGAAGTTGATGTAGAGTGATGAATTCCATTCAATTGATTGTTCCACAATGATCCGTAGAGTTGCGATTTGGTCTGTACACGATCTATCCTTACGGAATCCTGCCTGTTGGTCACGAAGTTGGGCGTCTACGCAGTCCTTCATCCTGTTTAACAATACCCTGTTGAAGACTTTTCCCGGTATTGAGAGAAGAGTGATGCCCCTGTAGTTATCACAGTTGCTGAGATCGCCTTTCTTCGGTATTTTGATCAGAAGTCCTTCTTTCCAGTCTTTGGTACTTGTTCCTCATCCCAAATCTTATTGAAGAGAATGTGGAGTATCCTTGCAGTTGCCGCTACGTCTGCTTTTAGTGCCTCTGCTGGAATGTTGTCCGGTCCTGCTGCTTTGCCACTCTTGATTTGTCTGATGGCCATGCTGATTTCTTCAATTGTTGGTGGGCCAACATTGATTGGGAGGTCCGTGGGTGCTGCTTCGATGTTGGGTGGGTTCAGTGGAGCTGGTCGATTCAAGAGTTCTTTGAAGTGTTCTACCCACCTGTTTTGTTGTTCTTCAATGTTGGTGATTACCTCGCCTTCCTTGCTTTTCACTGGTCGTTCTGGTTTGCGGCGATTTCCAGAGAGTTTCTTTGTCGTGTCATACAGTTGTCTCATGTTTCCTTCTCTTGCAGCCTTTTCCGCCGTCGTTGCTAAATCTTCCACATATTTACGTTTGTCGGTTCTGATGCTCCTCTTCACTTGTTTGTTTACTTCTGTGTATTCAGCTTGTGCCTTGGCTTTTTCTGCTCTTGTTCGACTGGTATTGATTGCTGCCTTCTTGTTCCTCCTTTCTTGAATCTTATCCAGTGTATCAACAGTGATCCATTCCTTGTGATGGTGCTTCTTGTGACCCAGGACCTCATGACATGTTGAAGTGATTGCCTCTTTGATCCCCTTCCAGTTGCTCTCCACAGTAGTTCCTTCTCCATTGAGTAGATCATGAAAGGCCTGGAACTTGTTGCTGAGGACTATCTTGAATTTGTTGAGTTTGTTAGTATCCTGAAGAAAGGCCGTATTGAACTTTTGTGATATTGTCCGCCCCGTTGTCCAGTGCTTCTTGAGTTTCAATTTCATCTTGGCGACCAGCAAGTGATGATCTGATGCTATATCAGCTCCTCTCTTGGTTCTCACGTCCTCTATAGTCCTCCTGAACGTTTTGTTGATGCAAATATGGTCGATTTGGTTTTGCGTGGTGTGATCCGGTGAAGTCCATGTGGTTTTGTGTATGCGTTTATGTGGGAATATGGTGCCGCCTATGACCAGCTTATTGAAGGCACATAGATTTGCAAATCTCTCACCATTTTCGTTTCTTTCTCCCAGTCCGTGTCGTCCCATGATGTCTTCATATCCAGTGTTGTCCGTTCCAACCTTGGCGTTGAAATCTCCCATCAGAATTGTCAGGTCCTTTGTTGGGCACTTCTCGACGATTGACTGCAGCCTATTGTAGAATTGATCTTTAGCGTCTTCATTGTAGTCGTTGGTAGGCGCATAGCATTGGATGATGTTCATTGAAATGCCCTCTTTCTTTGTTTTGAACGAGGCTTTGATGATCCTTGGTCCATGAGATTCCCATCCTATAAGCGCATTTTGCGCTTGTTTGGACAGCATCAATGCAACTCCTTGTGTATGTGGTGCATTTTCTTCTTCATGGCCGGAGTATAACAGGAGCTCTCCTGTAGTTAGTCGTTGTTGTCCAACTTGTGTCCAACCTTCTAGGTTGTATCTTCTCATTTCTGCAGCAATTTGGAAGGCTCTCCCGGTGTCCCACATTGTACGAACATTCCATGTACCTAAATAAATGGTCGCTCTGGTTGTCAGAAGGGGCATCGGCCTCGTAACTTCCGAAGGAATTCGGCTTTCATCATGAGGCGTCATAATTCTTCTAAATGAAGACCTTCTGACTCCCAGGGCAGAGTTTAAAAGGTTTGAATAATTTTTTCTGGTTAGCGTTTTTTAGCGAGTTAGTTTTCTACGGGATGAGGACGCTAACCCCATGCCCAACCCTCCTCCTTTATCCGGGCTTGGGACCAGCAGTAGCCCGCGAAGGGACTCCAGGCGGAGTTAAACTAGTGCAATAAATCCCGGTAAATTTGATTAGTATCTGAAGGCTGATATTTCGAAACTTATTGGTTAGAACCAAAGAGCTAATTGCCCCCTTAGGTCTGTATCTTAGAAGTAGTAGGTTATACTTAGACACAGAGATGTATGGTTCGTGTAGTGTTCTTTCAGCCCTAAAGGGATTTAAAGATGAGATAAGTGGAAATGGGTTTAACTGAATGCACGGCGTTTGTTCGGTTGCTAATTTAGGAGTTCAGATTCATATTCGTTGAAAAAGATGAGAGGTTCACAGATTTGCCTGGGAATTAAGGTGTCGTTCCGCGAATGAGTTGTGCCGTAGTGTATCCAACGTCGGTTTTTACTGTATTGTGTATTCCGAGTAACACGTGTGAAATAATGTCAATTCATTGTGACACATTTGCAGTAAAAACTAAAGGCTTCATATGTCAACGGAATCGTTCTACCAACGCGTTAGCTTGTAGGTAATAGACGTCATTTTAAAAGTGGGATTCCTGGTAGTGTAGTAAGACAACGGAAAAGTCTAGATTCCAACTGACGTCCACGTTCTGTAGTGATAGTAGAAGGACGGCCGAGGTTCGACGAAGGCGTGAGCCATAGTTTCAGTGGTAGAGTCCTTGATAGGTACTGCTTCTGACCATCATACCAAACGGTCTACACACGCTAAGACGTAAGAACAATAATTTGAATCTGGTATAGGTCCTACCAAATCAAGATGAACATGGTCGAAGCAAGCGTCGAGAGTTACAAAAGGAGCAAGCGACATTTGTTTTATCTAATTGCTCAAGGCTTTTGAAAGCGCATGCAGAAACGTGTCTGCTCCCTCATGTCTTTATTCGAATTTGGCTAACAAAATAGTGCTGCTATGAGCTTGATGATTGCTCAACATTTGGTATGGAGAGAAGGTAAATTAGACCCAATTAAACCATTATACAACATTGCTGAGGCCGACTAAAGAAATGCGGCTTGTTATTACTCCTCATTTTTACCTAAACTCTGTCGACTAATTTTCACCTATGTTAACCCATCTTTCTAATAGTTTGTATTGTGTTATGATATTAATTAGTGCTCAAACCTTACTAGCTCAGTCGATACTAATAACTGACCACCTGTATTTATGATTAGCTATGATGGTGCATTTGTATAATAGTGGTATTTTTTGTACTGCTCTAATAGTAGGCCTTATCCTAAAATTATAGTTTTATCATGATGCAACTGCCTAGTTCATATAATCTTACATGGAAGTCACATCGTTGTCTACACTGACTCACCATAAATAACAATCACCAACATGTGATAGAGAGCACATTTGTGTTGGGGATAGGAAAATATATTTAATATGAACAAAAATGATGTTTAACTCTATTCTAAACTGTGGGAGATCCCCTAATATATTTTCTTTCAAATGCTGCCTGTCTAATTCCCAAATTTCGAGTTCCATTGCCAAAGAACGAAAACAATATTCCAGAAACCTATGGTGGGTTTAAGCTATAAGGCTTCTGCAATCTCAAGCTCATTTCAGATTGTTCGTATGGTGAGGGCCGAGTATTGATCTGGATTCTCAGATTTGTACTGAACAAACCGAAAAACAATGTCAACAGCATCATACACATCCCGGAATTAGTCGCAAAATTGCGTATTTAGTCTGGTTCCTTTTGGGTCCTCGCTTTATGTCACAGTTAGCATTCTATACATCAGATTTATTGGATCATATAAATTTCGAAAATAATGCGAGCGGATTTTACTACTTCCACAGACGATTTGCCACGCTCTCGATACTTCATAACATGTACATATTTTTGCTTGGACTATTCATATATATTTCATACAAACCACTTTAAAAACGGCTTACTACATAAAAATATTCAATGGCTTTATACGACAGTATACTGCCATGGAGAAGTGTTTTCAGGCCAATCATATTAGATTCAACATCAATGACATTTCTTAGTGCTACTTACCATTGACACATTTATGGATGTCGCTGAGCTAACTACAGTAACTGCTTATGAAAAGTTTGTTTTCTCCATCACGTTCCTAAATGTAGTGACGTACGTCATGTATAAACTTTTAGATCCTATTGTTAGGTTTCTCACATTTTATGTTCCACATCAACTTACACGTCGACCTAACTTACACATACATTATATTATCTCTGTGCCGTTTAAATTTAGTGATTATTAGAATCACCTTTAACATTTTTCACTGAACCCATCGTGGCACATAAGTTTATTTGATTTCAGCAACTTGTACTCACTCAATTTCATACGAACCGATCTATATATTATCTCAAAGTTGATGCTTGAAACTGACTCGTATGCACCACCTAACAGTATGCGTGAAAAGAAAAAAACTGCTTTATTGCCAATCAGAAAATTGAGTCTAGAGCGTGTCTACCACGGGCACACTCACGTTCAACGAACTATCGTCAGCTATCTATCCAAAATTCACACAATTATCACTATTTTCATGAATTAAATAAATTTTTGATAACAATCCATATATTTTAGCAATAATAATAATATCCCCGTAACCAAATAAACCGCATTAAACATAGCAAACTAACTGGAACACTAGTCGGAATTTTTCCTCTCAGCGGTTATACTTCTGTTTCTTCCGTTAACCTATTAATGCAGGTGCAATCGGAAATTAAATCATACGCATACGTACCTGCGTAGATGTCGAATGACTTTCTAGTCTGCACCAAAAATAATACTGATATCAACAATGATACAACATTGGTGTTTCTCTATCTCTAGCCACAAAATACTTATACTTCCTGTTAGATCCATTTCGATTGTTTTGTATATGAAAAACCTTCCATGTACACACTAGTAACTTATTCCTCTTGACTCCTTCAAATATACACTTTGTCAATCTTTCTAATTCGATTTTAGTTGGTACCCTTCGTATTGTATTGCAGTTTTTGTTTCCCTTTCGCCCTCACTGAGTTTTCACGCCTTTCATGAACTACATTTATGTTGTTTTAGTTGACAGTTAGTTATGGCGACAACCATATTGATTCGCTCCCTCTTTTGATTGTGTAGCTTGCTTTGGCTAGAATTGTGTGGTTTTTTATTGTGAATCGAAGCACTCATCCATAACTGGTGACTCTCCGTGTTATAACACAATTAAATATTACCTTTTGAACGAACCTGTATGTGACCTCAGAATAACATCCATTTGTTGTACTTCACCTGACTACTGATTGAACACTTATTCGTTGAAAAATTGGGTGGTAATATTTGTTTAATAATAATAATCTAATCTCGAGTAACAGTCTGTGACATGATTCACATCAGTTTACAGGCAAGATCAAATTGTTAGAAGATTCATTCATCCATTTACCTTGTTTTGATTTCAAATGGGCGCTAGCGCGAATCAAAACTACCTGAACAGTTATTCATTTCAAATCTAGTTTATTCTATTAACCAGTGGCTATTACTATGCATCTTCATATAACTTGTTTAAATATCTCGATAATAAATCATTCTTCATTATCATAATCCCACCCTGTTTAACTCTTAAATAACCTTCGCGTGGATTTTCATTTTAAGCGTGTTAAGAATCGTACCAAACATATTTGAAATCACTTGTATTTTCCGGACAGTTGCTGCAGCCTCCTTTTTTATTTATCCGTCATTTCATCAATAACCGGGGGATTTTATTACCATTTTGGTAACTTTGGCGCATGACGATTCCACTCGATTTGGTGTCGAATTAATGTCACGTTGATTCTGGTGGGAGAGTAGTGTAGTGGTATTGGTTCCTAATCACATGATCGTTTGAAGCCAAGTATATAATTACCGGAAAGATCAACATTCGATATGTAACACCTAGAGACGATCAAAGTTGACGAGCGCGAGAGAAATTGATCGCTGTGGTACAATTCAGCTTTGTACGCATGGTCATTATATGTAGCTTATCCCTATTCGCATCAAATATATTATTCAGATGTGTCTGTGGCGATATTAGTGGGTATTTTGATGTTCTGGTGTGAGAGCAAAGTCGCTTTTGCCCATTTTCACATTTCCACAAAACTGGTCTGTCAAGGGTTTGTAGTGGCATTGGACCTTTGAAGCCGAGCAAATAATTACTGAAAAGATTTATAATTAACAACTGACACGAAGTGAAGGTTGACTATGAAAAGCGGGAACATTAATTCAGTTCAATCGTATGACATGGCTAAACCTTGCAGGCGAGGTTATGGTACTTAAACTCGTGGCAAGATGTGCCGCATGAGCCAGAATCCAGCGCTTCTCATAGTGAACCAACTGGATAAATCGAATACGACACCGTTTGGTTGCAATCTCTTCGTTAAGATATTTTTCGTTGCCAACAATGTTTTGCATAAGTAAACTACTTTAGGACACTGCTGCATCAGGGAATCCCATTTTGGCATCTGTTTGCTCTGTACCGACATGGGTATCTGCGCGTTGTAGAGATTTTGCTGAGCACTGAATGAGGAGTTTATGTAGACTACTGTCGTACTATCTGTCAATTATATGTCGTCATCGTGTAGCTAAGAATCGCCAAGGTGAAATTTATTAATATTGACATCTCTGATGAGCCAAATTTTATATCAAACCATCACACTCAGACGTACACTGTATAATACATTATTTTCCATCACAACTTTCCCACATTGCACAACAGTTGCGTGGTAGATGCACTGAGTAAGTCATTTTAAGAAAGGAATCACCAGATAGAAAATCAGCCTTTGAAAGGTTGGCTTCCAATCATCTTTTAAACTCATGAGATTGGCTTCGTGTACTTGGATTGTGTCACTATTACCTTCTGGCGAAAACTTGTTGTCAATTTGATCATCGAAAGCGGAAGTGCTGAACTCAAACCCAAGCTTCTTGTTGCCAAACTGTTCAGTAATCGGTTTTATGGTAGTTATCGAAAATTGATTTTGATTCACTAGTCTGAATTGCTCTTCATAAGTTTTGAGACCTCAGTTGTCACGAAACAAGTGTAATCGGTACTGTACCCAAATAGCTTGGAGTTACCTAAAGTAAACTTGGTTTGGAAGATAGGGAACAAGAGTATACGCAGTATTATACTATAATTATGTTGTAACCGAGATGGGTCTCTGTAGAATGTGCTTTCGTCGGTCCATTTTTGTGTGGTCACTTCGTACATCCTTGTTTCTTGATATCTGCATCAATCACGAGCGATTAGTTTTTGTGGTATTCTCATATGACTACTTGTCCCAGGTAGGCGTAGGTAATATGTGTGAGTTTATTTGAGAAACTTATTGATGTTTGGAAATACCGATAGCTATTGAAGTATGCATGAATCGTATTTCGTTTAGTTTTTAAGTGTTGGCAATATCTGATGGATAGCTAGTTACTTCCAAACTATGGTAAAGAATGACTAAGTCGCATTCAATGCATGCTTTTGGGGACCAGAGACAGTTATTGAACATTATAATGCTGATCAAGAACAGTTAACTAGTTCACATTTGCTGGACACCAGGGTATTGAGGATTGAATAGTAAAGCCGCACTTTTTCAGAATAACGCTAGGTACGTTTGTCAGGGTAAGTCGTCGTTCTTCTCCCTAGCTTATTTCTGAGAAATAAGTGCGTTTAGTAGTGTTTGTACTGAATATAAACAATTCTAGACCGCAGATTATGTGTTTGTTCATCGCGCTTGGTTCAGATTCGCTGTATTTACAAATAGGTTCAAGATGAGACTTGAGAAATACGTAGTCACGGATTAACATCTCCCACTTTGATTAGCTTTACCTATCACACGCCCTGTAACGTATCTACCGTTATCATTATCAGCTTATCCATATCCCGTCTCTACGATCTCCATTTATATGTTGTCCCTACACTTATTTTTGCTCACACTGCATTTATATTTTATTAATTCATTCATTAGTTTACCTCTTCAATTACTCATCATCCATTAAATTTTCCTCACCCAGATCTTTTATTTTTTAGTCATGACTATGCGGCTTCCTCTCAGGTCATTTGATATATGTTTGTTCCAGAAATCCCAGCCCCCAAATACCCTGTTACGACAGAAAGTGGAGAGAGTCAGCTCTCCCTCTCGAAATGATCTCACATGATCACGTAACACTGCCAGGAGAGTCTTACTCGCTGCCTTCTCGCGGCATTACTGTTGTTTACTAATTTGAGAAGACGAAAAGCGAATGTCCGTCAGGCGCTTTAACCGGGTTAGTGGTATGGAACATCCATCTAGGGGAGTTGGAAAATCTTGATTCCAAACCAATTGTGCACATGGGCTCCAAGATACTAAAGGGGCAGGTGAAGTATGAACCAACAGTTGGTCACCGGCTACCATGGGACTTCATCTCCTTATGATGCTCCACTGCTTTTTTCATTAGACCTTTAGGTCGCAGACTCGGGGAGTGTCTCCCTAAGAAAACCACCTGCTTCGGTTACGGCCACCGGACAATGTCCCAGCCTTCACATGAATCGAATGATTTATGTGGCGCGTATCATTATGGTGCCTTCTTGTATCTATGTTTATGTATTTAAATTTACTTTTACTTACGCCTGTTACTCCTCGTGAAGGAGCATAGGCCACTCACCAGCATTCTCCATCCAACCCTGTCCTGGGCAATCCTTTCTAGCTCCGTCCAGTTGTAATTCATCCTTTTCATATCTGCTTCTATATCCGACGCAATGTGTTCTTTGGCCTTCCTCTTTTTCGCTTCCCTTCAGGGTTCCAAGTTAGGGCTTGCCTCGTGATGCAGTTTGACGATTTGCGTAATGTATGTCCTATCCATTTCCATCGTCTTTTCCTAATTTCTTCTTCAGCTGGAAGTTGGTTTGTTCTCTCCCACAGAAGGCTATTGCTGATGGTATCCGGCCAGTGGATGTTGAGTATCTTGCGTAGGCAGCTATTTATAAATACTTGTACTTTCTTGATTGTGGTTGTTGTAGTTCTCCAAGTTTCAGCTCCATACAGTAGAACTGCCTTGACGTTCGTATTGAAGATTCTCACTTTGATATTGGTTGAAAGTTGTTTTGAGTTCCATATGTTCTTCAATTGTAGGAATGCGACCCTTGCTTTGCCGATCCTCGCCTTTACGTCTGCATCTGAACCTCCTTGTTCATCGATGATGCTTCCTAGGTATGTGAAGGACTCTACATCTTCCAGAGTTTCGCCATCAAGAGTGATTGGATTGCTGTTTTCTGCTTGAATTTGAGGACCTTGGTTTTCCCTTTGTGTATGCTGAGGCCTACTGATGCAGAGACTGCTGCTACACTGGCTGTCTTCATCTGCATCTGTTCGTGTGTACGTGATAGGAGGGCTAGGTCGTCTGCGAAGTCCAAATCGTCTAATTGATTCTGAGCTGTCCATTGTATTCCGTGTTTTCCTTCAGATGTCGAGGTCTTCATAATCCAGTCGACCACCAGAAGAAAGAGGAAGGGAGAGAGTAAACAGCCTTGTCTGACTCCAGTCCTTACTTGGAATGCATCTGTCAGCTGTCCTCCATGCACTACTTTGCACTGTAGTCCGTCGTATGAGTTCCGGATAATGTTGACAATCTTCTCAGGAACTCCGTAGTGTCGAAGAAGTTTCCATAATGTCCTCCTATCTACACTGTCGAATGCCTTTTCATAATCAATGAAGTTGATGTATAGTGATGAGTTCCACTCAACTGATTGTTCGACGATGATCCGTAGTGTTGCAATTTGGTCTGTGCACGACCGATCCTTACGGAATCCAGCTTGTTGATCTCGAAGTTGGGCGTCTACTGCATCCTTCATCCGGTTCAGCAACACTCTGTTGAAGACTTTCCCTGGTATTGACAGTAGTGTAATGCCTCTGTAGTTTTCACATTTGCTCAGATCTCCTTTCTTTGGAATCTTGACGAGGTGTCCTTCTTTCCAGTCCATCGGCACTTGTTCCTCCTCCCAAATCTTTTTGAATAGAAGGTAAGCATGCTTGTGGTTGCTTCGATGTCTGATTTCAGTGCTTCAGCTGGTATGTTGTCGGGTCCTGCTGCTTTCCCGTTCTTGATTTGTCTGACGGCCATTCTAATTTCTTCCGTCGTTGGTGGGTTGACATCTATAGGAAGATCTATGTGTGCTGCTTCGATGTCCGGTGGATTCATTGGAGCCGGCCTATTCAGGAGTTCCTCGAAGTATTCTACCCATCTGTTACGCTGTTGTTGAATTTCGGTGATTGGCTTGCCTTCTTTGTCTTTGACCGGCCTCTCTGGTTTACTGTATTTCCCTGCTAGTTTCTTCGTTGTATCGTGAAGCTGTTTCATATTTCCTTCTCTAGCAGCTTTTTCTGCCGTCGTTGCTAGTTCTTCCACGTATTTCTTCTTGTCGGCTCTAATGCTCCTCTTCACTTGTTTGTTTGCTTCTATGTATTCAGCTTGTGCTTGGACTTTCTCTGCTCGTGTTCGGCTGTTGTTAATTGCTGCCTTCTTGTTCTTCCTTTCTTTGATCTTGTCCAGTGTTTCTATAGAGATCCATTCCTTATGATGGTGTTTCTTTAGGCCCAGAACCTCTTGACACGTTGAAGTTAATGCTTCCTTGATGCCTTTCCAGTTGTCCTCCATACTAGTTTCTTCTTCTTTCAGTAGATCTTGTAAGGCTTGGAACCTGTTGTTGAGAGCTATCTTGAATTCATTGAGTTTGTCAGTATCTCGAAGGAAGGCTGTATTGAACCTTTGTAGTGCTGTTTGTCCACTTGTCCAGTTCTTTTTTAGCTTCAGTTTTAAATTGGCTACAACTAGGTGGTGATCTGAAGCTACGTCAGCACCTCTCCTGGTTCTCACATCTTCCATTGTCCTTCGGAATTTTTTGTTGATGCAAATATGATCTATTTGGTTCTCTGTAGTGTGGTCCGGTGAGATCCATGTAGCCTTGTGTATACGCTTGTGTGGAAATATTGTGCCTCCTATGACCAATTTGTTGAATGCACATAGATTTGCAAATCTTTCTCCATTTTCGTTTCTTTCTCCCAGTCCATGTCGTCCCATAATATCTTCATATCCAGTGTTGTCTATTCCGACTTTGGCATTTAGATCTCCCATCAGAATAGTTAGGTCCTTTCTTGGCATTTCTCAATGATTGACTGCAGCCGCTCGTAGAACTGATCTTTAATGTCGTCGTTGCTATCATTGGTGGGTGCATAACATTGGATAATATTCATTAAGATCCCCTCCTTCTTTGTTTTGAATGATGCTTTGATGATTCTGGATCCGTGAGACTCCCATCCTACAAGTGCATTTCGTGCTACTTTGGACAGCATAAGAGCGACTCCCTGAGTGTGTGGAGCATTGTCCTCTTCGTGACCGGAGTATAGCAGCATCTCTCCCGTAGCTAGCCTTTTCTGTCCAGCTTGGGTCCAGTGGGTTTCGCTGATTCCCAGTACTGCTAAGTTGTATCTCCTCATTTCCATTGCTATTTGACTGGTCTTCCCGGTTTCCCACATTGTTCGAACGTTCCATGTACCTATAAAAATTTTTGCTCTGGTTGTTAGAAGGGGCATCGGCCTCGTGGCTTCCGAAGGAACTCGGCTTTCACCATGAAGCGTCATAATTCTTCTAACTGAAGACCTTCTAACTCCCAGGGCAGAGTTTAAATGGTTTGGATTATTTTTTCTGGTAAGCGTTTTTTTAGCGAGTTAGTTTTCTACGGGATGGGGACGCTAACCCCATGCCCAACCCTCCTCCTTTACCCGGGCTTGGGACCGGCAGTAACCTTATAAGAGCTACAGGCGGAGTTATGTATTTAAATAAATAAATAAAATAAAATACGAATAATTATCAAACTAATTAGAGCTATCGCAGTTAACTGGTTAAACTCCTTCCTATTAGACATTACCGGAGATTTGAAGCAGTACGGAAGCAATAAGAGACTATCATAACGAAATTAACCGGTTTGCATTGACTCGTCACGGTGTTGGATATTGAAACCACGTGCGTAAAAAACATGGACCTTTGAGGGACGCTAAAGTGAACTTGATAAAACACCTACTTATTAGGATTGTAAGAGGGTATAAAGAAAGTATAAAGAATTAATACTAAGATACCGGGTTTAAAGTTAGAGTCAGGAATGAGACTTAGGCGTTCATCAGGAAATGACATCAGCTATAATGTCAAAGTGCTATTTGGCCAAATGTATGAATGATTTTCGCCTCAGAATTCAAGACTATCCTTAACTGCATTGGTTCATCCTTAAATTATAGTCTCGTCATTACATTTTTGTCAAAGAACTGGATTGGATATCAAAAAGCTACATAGTAGTCTCCTCTTGGTATCCGAGAGTAGTAATCGTTTTAAATTTCGGAGGAAATGAAGGGCCTTCACATAATTCGCGTGACAGTGTTGGAGACCTTGCGCTCCCTCCTCCCATCATCTGACCCGTTGACGATGTACGATGTTCTATCCTCTAAATGATTTTGTTGACTCAATCACATACAGAGAGCTTTCCAAGGAAATGGCCAACAGCTACATAGACTGGTTATACCAAACTTTGCAGTAGTACTTTCATGTTAAATAGTGCAGCGTAGAAGAATTAACAGTTACCTAAAAACATCGAAAGATCCTCTTAGTGGGGTGGATAACGGTTTGACATTGGTCTCAGTAGTTCAGTTGCACTGTTCATCGTTGATTTCTTAATTCCTGAGATTTGTGTCATTCCATACTTTTCATTATTCAGTTTCATTTGTTCGTTTTATGTTTAGGTCCCATTGCAACAAGTAGTACTAGCCAACCGCTTGTGCTCGGTTTTACTTTCTGCTCTCCATAAAAGAATGTGAATTATGCTAGCTTAGACCGATATAAATTCATCCCGCTTTCTACTTTGTCGTTAACTAGCCAACTAACTGAAATGTGTAACAATGTTTAAAATTTCGGATGACAAAAAAAACTGCATGAGACTTTCTAATATTCTTATCTGATTGTCGCAGTGTATGATGACTGTAATTTTTCTGAAGTATCCAGACCGGATAGGATCTTTGTTTTGGGAATCCACATCACAAACTTTAAACCTCAGTAATTAATCATATCGGACCAGTAGCAATTTTTATATCACCTGGTTCCTAGGAACTAAATAGTCAATTAGGCATTGTTCAACTCAAATTCAAGTTTATCTACTCAGAAATCTAGGACATTTTTATTGGCGATGAGAGTCGCTTGAGTAAACACACTGATAACTACTGTTATGGAAGATTTTATTATTTGTAATAAGGGTATGTGGATTGTTAGACAAACAGTGCTGAATAATCAATGGACTCGAATGTTACGGTGTGGTCGAGTAATAGACACTTATGAGAGAAGACTATTGACACGAACACCTAAATAAACTGCTATCCAAAACAGGGGTATCAGCTGCAAAGTAAGTTTTTGTAATGGTATTATTTACTTGTATGCACTGTGTTTACCCAATAATAAGCATGATTAGATACTTTAACCGAACGAAAAATATCAGTTTTTCATATCACTCATTCGCCAACAAACCAACACCTGTTTAACTTAATTCTTGACGATCATATCTAGGACTACTGAGGGGGTTATATTAACCGGAGGAATGTTACTTTCTGCCTAGAATTTTCGTAGATTAAGCTATTTATACAGACTAATTCAATAACTAACCTTATCACATACATCAGTTACCGTCTTTTTTCTCTCAATTTTCAGGGGTATTAAATTAATCATTATATTCCTTAGTAAAAGTTATTCTATTATCGTTTGTATGGTAGGTTTCATTACTACCGAATTACTGTTGGATATTATCCTATGCTAACATATTTTCACTTACTTTTTTATAGGCGTATTTTCGTTAGCCATGATGGACTCCAGAGATGAAGTTGTCTTAGCTTTGACAGATGATATGGATACCGGATCATCTTCGGACGGACCTCATAGCCCATCGACACGACGCTCAGCTGTAATCGGTCATTTCCTCTTCCGTTCTTCTGCTTTGATTATATATATACTGTGCGCTTGGTTTACAACGTCTTTCGTTCTTCCGTTTATCTTTATACTTGTTTGCTTATCACTCGATTTTTGGGTTGTAAAAAATATTTCTGGACGCATCTTAGTTGGTTTACGTTGGTCGAGTTATACTGATGACGCCGGAGTGGTACATTGGCGATATGATTCACGTAAACCTTCACCTATAGATTCTGCTGATGTTTCTTCCCTTAGTCGACGTGAATTAGCCGCTCGTATGGCTAGACAACAATTATCTCGTTTATTTTGGATTGGTTTAATTGCAAGTCCAGCAATATGGTGTTTATTTTTCTTGGCGTCATTATTTTCATTGCATATTCGTTGGGCTTTTGTCTGTACCATTGCTTTGTGTATGAATATAGCAAATGTTTATGGTTATATTCGTTGTTGGATGTCTAATATGAATGAAAGTGAATCAAATATTTTGAAAGTAATCAAATCTACAGCAACTAGAAAAATGTCTAATTTATGGCCTTTGTCTCAAACTAAATCCAATTTAAATAACACATCTGGAAATGGTCTACCATTAGTTGCCTAACAAACAAACACACATCTCACGTATTCCTCTATACATAATGTAAAAAAAAAGAGACTAAGTAAATATGTTCTGATTTTTAACTGTGATATAACCATGTAATTGCACATTATTTCTGCTTATACTTCTTACACTTCTCGTTTTATCGGATATTTGATATCATAAAAGGAAACAATATATGGTGTAAATGTAATGTCAAACATGTAGGTACTTGGAAAAGAACAGTGTATATTTTCTATTTAGATTAATGTAATCAATTGTTTCCATTGTGTGAGATGAATTCAATTTTTAATATTGCTAATTGAATATGTTTCCTAAATAAATAAACATCTACTTAGTTACAGAAAGAAAAAAAAATATTCATCAGGCTTTTGAAAGTAAAGTACTTAATTCAGTCATCAATAGGATTGGTAAACAATCCATATGTTAATAGTTTTTGATGATGCAAGTTTTCTCTTTGATTTCAAATTCTTGTTATGATTATTTCCAGTTTACTTGTATTTGGGTTTTCATGTAACAAGTGTTTATTCCTCCCCCTATCTCTCTATCTCCTTCTACTTTACAGTAGTGAAACATGACCGGGAAGAGTAGAGGATTTTTATAGGTTACTAGTATTCGATCATAGGTGTCTTCAAAGCATTGATCGTATATCCTGGGACTAACGAGTAAGTAACACAGTTGTTAGGAAACAGATACTAGGTAAGGATGACAAATCAATTGATGAAGTAATGAAACTTCATCAGTTCAGATAGTTGGGATATATGTTACGTAAGCCCAACCACCGACTGCCCCGACGTGCGATATTTTATGGTGTAGGAGTAAGTTGGAAGAAAGTTAGGGGCGGCCAAACCAAAACATGGCACAAATCCATGAAATCATTGACAAGTGGACTGAGCCATGTTGTTAGGTGTAAACTACCTGGTTGGGATCTGCGAGACAAATAGCAACCGATGGTTAGAGACCTTGAATGGCATGGCTCAAAATCGTTTGCAATGGTGCGAGTGCATCTACTCTTTATGTCCTCCCAAATTCTAATCTTCTGAATCCTCCTTGTCTCTTTTTTCTCTTTCCAAATTTATTTCACTGGATTATACTGTTTGAATAACATCTTCCAATCCTAATCTTTCCGATTATTGCTTAAACTCTTACTACCTCGACCACTATGTGATCTGAATCGACGATTGTATCTGTGTGCTGGTGTGGTATGGCAAGGTGAACTGATGTATGTACGTACGAAGTTCTACGTTGTTGCTGACTGATTGACTCTCCTATGTGTGGGTCTGATATGAAAGTTATCTCAGTTATTACGAAAAAATTACATGACAATAGGATAGTATTTTCTGTAACGTCCACTTCTCACCAACATTTTCTGTTAAGAAAAGGAAGCATAGTGGAAGTTGACACATTTGGTTATAAAAATAAGGTCAATTCATTATGAAATCGTGACTAATAAATGTTCATGATTTCTGTTTTGAGCGCTTAAGAGTTTACCTTGACATCTTATTGCTAATTTATAAGTACTCAGATTAGATTTCTCCAAAATGGTTAATACTGTTCTGATGTAATTTGAGAAGTATTTACTCTGAACTATTGAATGTCCTAGATCAGTTGTTTGGCATGATAACGTCACTGAATATTCATTTTCCTCTAAAATCCAGGGGGAAACTGTTTCCTCTATTCCTGGAACTCCGTGGTTGTGTACAGACACGGTCCCATTAGGTAAGCTTCACGTATTGCTGTGAGCACAATACACTAGTTCAACTATTTTAACAGCTTATTTATGATATAGTTTAATCCTCCGAACTTTTTGGCTGTACAAGCCATAAGTTTCAACTAGAACTGTGAAAACTCAATATCCGTGCTCATATCATGTAAAAATACTTGAAAAACTTGGGGATAAGCTGGGTTAGAGATAGTCTCGATAGTCTGTGAGTCTGATCGCTTGAGTTGTCACACGGACGTTTGGGTACCAGTTATGATATATCAGCTCCTTGCTTTAATTGTCTTATCCATTGGGTGTAGTGATATATTCTATTTTTGTGTTAGCCTTTTCTAACTACCTACCGTTGTGAAAAGGCAAAACCACTAGAGATGCTGGTTTCCCCAGGAAAACATCTTACTGCTGTCACGATCAGCAAGACGACTTAGCTTTCAAATCATGTGTTTACTGCTTTTAGGTTTACCATTCTATAGACGACATTCTTGCAACAGTAGGATCTAAATGGAAAATTGGTTTGGTCATCAAGTAGGTATGCGCCACATAGATCATTCAATTTGTGTGAGGGCTAGAATACTGCCCGTGTGCCCAAACCGTATAAAAATAGGTTTTTAATAATTAGTGATTTGTATCACGACCATGTTTAGTTAATCGCTGTATCAATACTATATAAATATATACTAGTTCTAGATTGATTACCTTGAGAATAAATGCTAGACGGAGGTAAAACTTTATTTAATTTGATCGATGACGTACTTCGTGCATGAATATGCTTCGACACTTTGGTTGTATGAAGGCGAAAAACAAATGTCTCAGTGAAATTAAATAAGGGCTAATGAAAACAATGTAATTATCAAAGGTAGTTAAACTATACAACGTATTGCTTTATAAAAACACGAAAAGAGGCTGTTGTAAGCCCATTGAAACTTCTATTATATACTGCTGTAATTTAGACATTTAACCCATCATATGTAGTTATGTGTGAGCTTGATCGAACATATATCTGCACATCAATCTTCATTTATCCTCCGATTGATTATTTACACAGTCAATCAATAACTTACCCATAATTGGTTAACACCTATAATATATATATGGATTTTTCGATTCTGTCTTCCCAATGTGCTTGCCTTTCGTATGCTTGTGCATTTTATTAATTATTAACAATACACTAACTATCCTAACAACTAGTGTTCTGTTCTAGCTCTTGAATATTCTCAAGTCAATTTATAGTAATACTACTAGGATAATTGGCCTACTAAAATACGCATTTAATGGGATATCATCTATTAGAGTCAAATAGAAGGAAATTAGCCTTTACAAGACCACAGCAAGATCGCTTATGTGGTCCATTCAAAGTCGTATATGGTAACACATCTGAAGTCATTGAACTGCATAATCTCAGAGACTCCATACAAACGGATGTGATAAGTAAACATATCAACCTGGTCACCCCTTATTTCATGTTGATGTCATTGACTGATCACCGTTTTTCCAACCAATCTCAGCGTTATCAAATAACGTTATTAGTTCATCATCCACAATACTTTTTAAATAACCTCACCTGGGATTAAGGTTGAGCTATAAGCTGTACTATACACAAGCATATATATGGATCTTTGGTTACAGATACAGTGTTGTCGCTGAATAGGAATAATCCTTTAATGATAACAAAGCGTGAATACTTGTCATATATCATCTGCGTCTCACGAGCTTGAGGTAGGAATGCTCTCACATCATTGTGCAATTGACTGTAATGCTCAAGTTAAGAATACAGAGTATGCGACGATTGTTTTAGAATATCATGTATCTCTGGTTTTCAACGTAGATTGGTATTATTTGCCAGAAGATTATTAGCAATCAAAATTACCCATGTACATCAACCTTTTCACTATTTTAAGAGTTGCTCATTATGTAGACTACATGTATACAATGGTTTTAGTGAACCATGTACTAGTACTTTGGTGTGACATTAATCTAACTCTTACGAACATTGATCGTTGATTGAATTTGTGTAACGTATATAACAGCTGAAGTTTCATTAAATCTGTGTCATAGGATGGGATTAGAAAGCAAAATTACATTTCGTCTATTCGTGATTTATATTCAGTATTACTTTCGTTTTCTTAATTCAATATGATAATCACACAGTATAGTATTTGTTTTAGTTTCCAGTATGATAATTTATTCGATATAATACTGATTTATCTAAGTGTAATGTTTGTTCAATATATAATATTCTTGTATTAAGTCCACATAAACTATGCTTAGTATGACATACTACATGGTGTTCGTTGTAACTTTGGGTATCTTTTATTTCAATGGTTGAGATCATGAGTCAGTTGAAGCTAGACAACCATCGGAAACCTGGAAGCACTGGACGGCCGTTTCGTCCCAGTATGGGACTCCCCAACAGTACTCATCCACGATCCCGCCTCGTGAGATTCGAAACCAGGATCTATCGGTGTCGCGCGCGAGCACTTAACTACTAGATCACTGAGCTGGCATGCAACTGTGTTAATGTCTAACTTCAACTAATCCACGAAATTGAGCGACACATCCACCATTGTCATCAGTGAGTTACTATCTCACAGCTGATATGGTTGAACTTCACTGGTTACTGCTTCTCACTAGAACTCCAAGAAATACCTCTTGAAGTCAGTCACTAGTGGGTGTGTGTTGATTCATATAAAAAGGGTTTTTTTATGGATATTATAGTAATTTCAATGGTTGAGATCGTAGTGTGGGGTCGAGTCGCGATTGACTATGATCACCACCACAGGAAGATTACGTGCCAGTTATTAGATTAGATCCCTCTATAGGCCAAAAACCAGAAGACAGTTGATGGTTGTGATAAGGTATATTTGTTGGCAATTTCGTGGCATCGAAATAATATTGGGATCGTGCCAAAGTTTACAAGCGGGACTACTGAGCGTACGCGAGTCCGTGCAAGGTCACAGTTAACGGAAGAATGTTTGTTTTTAGTACACTTAAACAAACAGCTTTATTACAGTCCTGTCGAACAATTGAACGACAGTTTTGGTGTCGATGAACTAGACATTGGATACGATGATTGAATGACATCCCTAAGCTTTTCATTAGGATAAAAAATCTGCTTTTTCCTCGAAATTTATTACAAAAAAGGCTTGAGAAATGTTACTGAAATTTTCAACGCGGCAAGACCATAATTTATGGACGAACCAATCAGATTTAGGATAACAGGTCATGGATTTTTAAGCAAAGATGGATAGTGGCTAGCAGTGGAATCCAGGACGCGCGTTTCGTCCTATTTGGGACTCGTCAGTTGGATGTACCTGCATCCCACAGTTGATGTTTACTCCGGGATTCGAACCCAGTACCGTTCGCTCCAAACAACACCTAGTGGATTTAAACTTCACCCCGTTGCACAAGCAATCAGCTATCAGTACTCAGTAGCTAAGTGGATAACGTGATGGTGTTTGAGGCGAACGGCACTGGGTTCGAGTCCCAGAGTGAACACCGACTCTAAGATGCAGGTACATCCAGCTGACGAGTCCTGAATAGGACGAAACGTGCGTCCTGGATTCCACTACTAGCCACTATCTATATTTGCTTAAAAAGCTTGCGACTTAAGGCTATATCGAGGTAATCCGCACAGGATGTACATATGCCAACATGCGACTGATCAATTGCAGTCCTAAACAACAGTGGGAAGTTACAAGTAAAATAACACCGAGGTCATGGATTTTGGTGTAAAATTCACTCCTCCATTTAGCTAAATAGAGTTTTGGGATTATAGCTGATGTCAGTTTGTGATGAAAACTCTAAATCTAGTTCCCAACCTTAACCATCAACTGTAAATCATAATTGTAATTCCTTATACTGGTTTATAACCTTCATTTAGTCCTAGTTAGTAGGTGGACATATTACGAAGGTCACTTTGACGTCGCTTAAACGTCGTCCATAAATTATAGTCTCATCTTCAACTTTAATTTGAATGAATATTTACCGATTAGAATGTTCATTCTAACCGGTAATGATATCAATGGACTTGATAGTGTATAAGCCAAGATTATATTATGTCTGTGATGGATTTTACCGATAGACAAATGAAGCAACCTAACTAGTTACAAATAATGAATATTGACTAGCTCACATTCATACTTTTGATTTGATGTAGGAGATTTGTAACTTTAGAGGATAACCTTAACTAAAGTCATCAGAACAAATTGCCAGTCGTATGTGGAGAAATTTGAATACTGGTGAACCTGTCTAAGAAGGTAATGTAAGCTTAACTATTGGACTATACAGCTCAGAATGCAACTCTACTAAAATTCATGCTTTTTCTTGACTGATAGCAAGTCATTCTATAATAATAAGAGGGAGGGGAGAAAGTGCTGAATTAAGGTTATCAGTTTCAGCATTTCACATTGATAACTTTCAAGTTTCGACGGTTACATTTTATGTTGGATATATGTTCAAGGTATGTGTCATTTGCTTTGTAGTGACCTACTTTTACCAAGAAAACGCGATTGTTTTAATGGAAACAATTATTATTATAACCAGTTGTACCAGTGATTGTTTTACTGTACTTGTTTGTTTAACTGTACTAAAGACATTCTTTCTTCCGTTGATTGTCACCTTGCACGCACTTACGTTTGCTCAGTGATTCCGCTTGTACTCCTTTGGTACGATCTCGGTATTATTTCGATACCACGAGATCGCCAACAATACATCTTGACTACAGCCATCAACTACCTTGTGATATTTGGCTTACGGGAGATCTTATCGACTAACTGGCACGTAGTCTTCCTGTAGTGGTGATCATAGTCAAACGCGACTCGATGCCACACTACAGTTTCTCGTTGTTAAGATGTTCGACTGCGATATTTGAGTTCTAATAAGACTGTCAACACTTACTATAATATCAGAGGATTTATTTGATAAGATCCATAATACCTTGAAGTTCACTATAAATTACTATTATACATAATGAATAAATCTCTGATCGAGGATATTTTGTCAGTAATGGTAAGTGACTGTTCAAATGAGCTGTAATAATAGGTAAAAGCCAGCTTGTTGGGGACTTGGACAATACTCGTAACCAATGATTGGATAACATGGATTAGAATTGGTCACCATGGCACAAATACATGTACTCTTTGTGTTAAATAATTTTCATTCTTTTCGAATTGTACCATGTACGTATAATAAATTTTCGCTACAACTAATACTGTTAATACTTTAAAATTTGTCTTGATAATTTCACCTCGTTATTCTGATTCTGTGTTGTAACATGAACTAGATTCTACAGTATTTACGACTGAATGACTGATTTTGTTGATAATATGTCTAAAAGCTGTTCACTATCGATGATGAGTGTGGTGTATGCTACTGATATCGATAGATATAAGTAGTATGTATTATCAATCAAAAGTGGAATGCCTAGCGGTAAAAGTTTGAGAAAATCGAAGAGAACGAGTACAGAGAATGATTGGTATGGAGGAAATGAAGGATAAACAAAGTTTGAGACAAATGATAGATATTTTACAAATGAAGTATTATTGTTTGGTTGTCAGATTTTACCAAGACATTCTGTAATGTTAAATTAAGATATATTTGGTTGTCCCCATTAGTGTTATCATTCACTACGATCATATTAATGATAATGAGAACAGATGAAATGACTATTTCGTAAATGCCCTGCATATATTGAAAAGGGAAGTTCACTATTCATAAAATTACTTATCAATATAATCGGTTTTTACGGAAACAGTCAGTCAGTCAGTAACAACGTCGAACTTCGTACGTACGTACATACATCAGTTCGAGTTACCATACCACATTAGCACAGATATGCAGTTTTCGACCCAAATTCCGTAGTGGTAGAGGTGGTAAAGAGTATAAGCAGTAATCGGAAAGATTAGAGTTTGAAGATGTTATTTAAAGAGTATAATCCAGTGAAATAAATTTGGAAAGAGAAAAAAGAGACAAGGAGGATTCAGAAGATTAGAATTTGTGAGAACACAAAGAGTGGATGCACCTATTCAAACCACTGCAAACGATTTTGAGCCATGCCATTCAAGGTCTCTAACCATCGGTTGCTATCGTCTCACGGATCTCAACCAGGTAGTTTACACCTACCAACATGGCTCAGTCCACTTGTCAGTGACCTCATGAATTTGTACCATATTTTGGTTTGGCCGCCCCTAACTTTCTTCCAACTTACTCCTACACCATAAAATATCGCACGTCGGGGCAGTCGGTGGTTGGGCTTACGTAACATATATCCCAACTATCTGAACTGATGAAGTTTCATTACTTCATCAATTGATTTGTCATCCTTACCTAGTATCCGTTTCCTAACAACTGTGTTACTTACTCGTTAGTCCCAGGACATACGATCAATGCTTCGAAGGCACATATGATCAAATACTAGTAACTGTTTTACGGAAAAATCAATAGAGTGATCCTGCTTTATTATTATTAATAATATATAAAACTTGTGTGTAAAGTGTTTGATAAATAGTGACAATTTTACACTGAAATTATCATATATGCGTGACTATAGGAAAACAAAAGTGATGAACATTTCTGTTTATAATAAATGTACAAAAATACATAAGTAGTATATAACGTTAGTCAGGAATAGAATATCTCACAACAGAAAGTCAATAAGATCGAGAAGAAAAGAACAAGAACAGAAAGTAATTGATATGGAAATGCCGAAACCATGAAGTCTGATATGATTGTTTGACATTTTGCAAAAAAAATTCACTGTATGCTTCACAGATTTTACTAAGAGATACTGTTATTCTGATTCACATACATTTGGTTGTCCCCACTTATGTTCTCCTTCACTTACATTAAGTGTCATTGCCAACAAGGAGTGGGAAAGTGTTCTGTTCTGTGAACGTTGATTTGGGCCTAGAATTAAGATGCTAATTGATGTGATATGTGCTATTTATATCGACATATATTACTAGTCAGGAATAGAATGATTTTCCCAGGAACATCAATAGAGTGATCCTGCTCTATTATTAATCTATATAACTTGTGTGTAAACTATTTGATATATAGTGACCATTTCACATGGATATTATCATATATGTGTAACTATGGCAACATTAAACTGATGAACTATTCTGATTATAATAAATGTACAAAAATATGTGAAAAATTAAAAAAAAAACATTTTCTGAAAAAAAAAGAACAAAAAAGACTGTATCACCTAGAATATTCCATCATTTCAATATTCATTAGGCAAATAAAAATGCAAACAGTAATAGAGATTTTTTTCTTTTCTTTATCATAACAAAGAAGAACAAAATAGAAAAGAAAAAGAAACGAAAAGAAAAAAAAAGAAAAAGAAAGAAAAACACTCATTCTATACAAAACAACGAAAAAACATGATAGATCTCCTTATTTCACTATAATCATTACTGATTATAAATAATTATCCAGTTATCTATCTATCTATTTATATAGTTCTCTTTAGTTAGAAGATCTAGTTGAGTTTGAGTATTGAATATTGAACATTTATTGATTTTGTGCTAATGATGAATCCTGTGAAAAAGTAACGAAAAATAGTAACTAGTGTCATGTTATCAAGTTGATTAACAAACTTTCCACAGATTGAAATCATGAGTCAATTGAAGCTAGACATCCATGGAAAACCTAGAAGCACTGGATGGCCGTTTCGTCCTAGTATGGGACTCCTCAGTAGTGCCCATCCACGATCCCGCACCCCGCGAGATTCAAGGCTGGAACCTATCAGTCTCAAGCATGAGCGCTTAACAACTAGACCACTGAGCTGGCATCCAATGGTGTTAATGTCTAACTTCAACCAATCCACGAAGTTGCGCCACCGTACACCATTGTCTTCAGTGAGCTGATATCTCACAACAGACCTGGTCTAGTTGGTTAAGCGCCTGGCGCGAGACTGATAGGTCCTCGGTTCGAATCTCGCGGGTGCGGGATCGTGGATGCGCACTACTGGGGAGTCCCGTACTAGGACGAAACGGCCGTCCAGTGCTTCCAGGGTTTCCATGGTGGTCTAGCTTCAATTGACTCATGATTTCAACTATTGAAATTTGTAAAAATCTCCACAAACCCCTTCTGATAATAAACTTTTGTAAAACAAAAGTAATGTGAATGGGGTTGTGGAGATGATTAACAAGTTTTTGATTGATGTTAGGACATCATTGAAAAGTTAGAAGTACTGGACGGTTGTTTCATTCTGTTGTATGACTCCTCAGCAGTGTGCATTCACGACCTCACCTTGCGAGATTGTAAACCAAGGCTTTCGATCTCGTATGGGATGAACAAAGACTGTCTACCTTTTATGACATTTTCAAAACAGAATATATATTGCATATGATGTCGATTGCTATAACCAATTCAGTAGTGTGATATGTGTTACGTATATCGACATAAGTAGTATGTAATGCGAGTAAGGAATAGAATATCTCGTAGCAGAAAACGAAAAAGATAGAGAAGGAAAGTATGGGAACAGGGAGCAATTGGTATGGAAATGCAGGAACAATCAAATGTGATATGATTGACTAATATTTGTAAAAGGAACAGTCAAATTTGAGATAATTGGTTGACATTTTGCAAATGAAGTATTTACTGTATGATTCTCAGATTTTACGATTGTCCCCACTTGTGTTCTCGTTTACTACATTTGGTATCGCTACCAACTAGGAGTGAGGAAGGATGTTGTTCTACGGACACCGATGCGGGCCGGGAACTGAAGTACTAGTTGGTGCGGTATGTCCTAATGATATCGACAGATATAAGTAGTATGTATCATTAATCGAAGGTGGAATGCCTGGTGGTAGAAGGTTGAGAGAATTGAAGAGAATGAGAATTAAGAATGATTTGTGTGTAAACGAAGGAACAGTGACGTGTGAGACAATTAATGGACATCATCGGGAATCAGTAGCTGAGTGGATAACGTGGTGGCGTTTTGTGTGAACGGTACTGTGTTGGAGTCCCAGAGTGAACATCAACTCTGGGATGTAGGTACATCGAACTGACAAATCCCAAATATGACGAAACGTGCGTCACACTGAATTCCACTACTAGCTACTATCCTTCTTTGCTTAGAATGCTTGTGACCTAAGGCTATATCGAGGCAATCGGTACAAAATGCACATATGCCAAAAAGAGACTGATCAATTACAGTCCTAAACATCAATGGGAAGATTCATGTAAACTACACCATGTGAATTAATGAACATCTTGCAAATAATGTATTTTCTGAATGTTTTTTTCTTTCTATTATATCAAGTCACTGTAATTTCGTATTATATATAATCAGTTTTCTTCACTAATATTCTCCTTGGATCTTGTAGGGAAGTGAAAAAAAGGGAAGGCCAAAGAACACATTCCGTCGGGAAATAGAAGCAAATATGAAAACGATGAATAATAACTGCAAAAGATTGCCCAGAACAAGGTTTAGATGGAGAGTAATAGTTGGCGACCTATAGTCCTCCACGAGGACTAACAAGCGTAAGTAAGTAAGTAAGTAAGTAAGTAAGTAAGTGTTGAAGTAAGTAAGTAAGTAAGTGTTGAAGTAAGTAAGTAAGTAAGTAAGTAAGTGTTGAAGTAAGTAAGTAAGTAAGTAAGTAAGTAAGTAAGTAAGTAAGTAAGTAGTTGAGTGAGTGAGTGAGTTAGCAATATTCTCCTTGACTACAATAATATGTAAATAACTGATATTACAATAATAACTTACTTCATTACAATTACATTCTTCATTAACATTCTTCATATCATATTGATCAATTACTTGGCAACTATCTGTTTGTAATAAAGATAATGAATTCTCTTCATTCACCACATATATCTCTTCAGTATCAATTATAATATTATCATAATTAGCACTGCTATTGTCTCTATGATCATTGATGTTTCTATTATTCATTAATTGATTTGATAATGTATCCTTATTGATTTGATGTTGAAACCGAATATAATTATTATTACTATTATTATTACCATTACCATTAACATTATTATTACCATTACTATTATTATTACTACTATTATTACTATTACTATTATTACTATTACTATCATTACTGTTACTATTACTATTATGATTACTACCATTATTACTACTATTATTATTACTATTACTATTATTATTACCATTGTTATTATTATTATTACCACTACTATTACCATTATTACTATTACTATTATCACCATTACTATTACTATTATTACCATTATTATTATTATTATTATTATTATTACTATTATATGTGTTAATTCCAATTAAATAATTATAATTATCTAATATAGTTTGAACATATTCTCCCGGGAATAAATTAATTCTACTATTAACATATAAATTTTTTAACCAATCATAATTCATTTGTGTATATTGTGTATAATCTTCAATCATTGTTGAATGATTCTCATTGAATGAATTATGATGATAAATTTGTTGATATGATTCTATACTACTTATATTTGTTTGAATAGATGTTAATGGTATCGTTGTATCAGTAGTAGTAATACAATGAGTTAAAATTCTAATGCATTTTTTGTTATATTTTGATTAGTTAAATTATATTTACGAAGTTCAGGCTGAAAAAGAAAAACAAAAAGAAAGTGAATAATGAATTTCAGCAAGATATATATATATACTACTTTAATAGTTGAGTTCATGAGTCAATTGAAGTTAGATCATCATGGCAGACCGTTTTGTTCTAATATGAGACTCCTCATTAGTGTGCATCCACGATCCTGCCCCACTTATAGCTTTTACGAGCGAATGTTTGACCTGTAAACCAATCAGTAGGCATCTATGGTATTTCAACTAATCCAGGAAATTTAGCGACACATCCATCATTGTCTTCAGTGAGTTACTATCTCACAAAACACCCAGGTTTCCCATGGTAGTCTAGCTTCAGTTGACTCATGAGTTAAACACTATCATTATTGGATGCCTGCACACTGGTTTACAGGCTAAGCATTCACATGTGAGACCAGAGGTCCTAGGTCCGATTACCGTGTGCGGGATCGTGGATGCACATTGCTGAGAAGTACCATACTAAGACAAAACTGTCATCCAGTGTTACCAGGTTTGTAATGGTGGTCTAAAATTGATCCATTCATGATCTCAATCAAAAAGTCAACAATCTTCACAACTTTATACTGATAATAGATTTTTAGTAAGGCAAGTAAGATGAAAATAGATTGAAGATAAAGAAATCGTACATAGCTGTTTCGTTTGAGTTTAAGACTACTAAAAATCTAATATTAATCAGAGGATAATCCTAAACGCCTGAAATGTACAATGAACGTTTATTTTATCTTTAACATTAGTTATTATTAGACAAATTGACGTAATGATTATGAGATCACCGTTAGGCCTCATTTTCATTGATTTCGTCTTGGTTGAGCTATAAAATGAATCCTGCTTGAAGGCCATCGATAAACTAGATCTATACTGCTGTTACTTCAACAACACATTCATCACCTAAGGTTTTATAGTTCATAGCTGCCAAAGAAATCTGGCTAGATATCCTACAAGCAAAGCAAAATATACCTAACCGAATAATGCCTTAAAGATCACTTCGTGATTTCACCTGGACCACAATTAAAAACCTGGAAATAATAAATGACCATTTCGTCCTAGTATGATACTTTTCAGCAGTGCGCGATCATTACCTCACATGTGATAACCCAACGTAGGATCTCCGGTCTTGCGCGAACGTTATAACCTTCAAGTTTTTAATGATGGTCTAACTAAGATCAGTTCCAGTTCATTCATTCAAGTTGAACCTAATTCTTATGTTGAAATATCACTATAAATAATATACACATCTTATAATCACTTTGTACTTTTTATATTAATGATTCTTTATTTCAATGCTCCTGAACGAATGTATATAGATATCAAAATTTATTGAATAACATTCAGAGAGTAGATGGACTCAATGTTGCACCGTCTAGATTCATTCATTTGTTCAATTTCCATTCTCTGTCATATCAGAAAATGCAGACAACTATTAGTTGTCTAATGTTTATTTACTTATGTGTAAGAAAGTCGCTGGATTAAACAATCACTTCGATAATGTTTGAGTTTTGTGGCAAATTTTAATCGCTAAAGATTTCAATCTGTATCTAATACCACCTGTGAAATAATTTTGAGTATGGGTAGAATATCATTAACGAATAGTATGTTCCAATTTCAATGATTTCTTAACATATCGAGTGTGAGAGATATCCCATTACAGGCAATAAAAGATGACCATGTAATATCGTGAATTGATTGTGATTAGATAACAATATCGTTGGAAGCCAACTCAATGATCTAGAGGTTAAAGCGTTTTGGTTTAGATTATGACATTTGAGATCGTGGATGCATGTGTTATGCCCCTATAAGTATAATGAATGATAACTTTTAGGATCCATTACGGACCAATACTATACGTATATTTTTATCGTATAATTGTTATGTAACTAAACTATTCATATCCGTGTCCCACTTATTATGAGCTTTGTTTTGACCTATGAACTGTTATTATACGATTTACCATTCGTTGAGTTATGCCCTGTCTGTTAATCACTACCTCCCTCATTCACAGTCACATTGGGCTAAATCTTGTACAAATGTTGTTTCCTATTTTATTGGTACGTTGTGGTCTGTTTGGTTGGTATATAAACCCAGTATGTTTTAAATACATGATTCATATCTCAGAAGCTAAGATTGGTGTTCTGGACTTAACAGGCAGATCTAGGCAGGAAGCAGGACGTATAAGTACTCTAGACTGTTTGTACGGGTTTTATGCGTCATTGGTCCGATTGATAATTCACTGTACTCTAATTGGTAGTATCGTTGGGTTATACACTAACAGGGCTCACAGGCCACAAGTTATACCAGCGTGTTACTTAAAAGTCTTATACTAGGACAAAGTAATCGTCTAGTATTTCTAGGTTTTCACTAATAATCTAGAATCTGTGTATGATTTCACAACTATGAAAAGTTCTACAACCTCCACAAAACCCTTAACTGATACCATATCAGTTCAATCATTTTAGGAAAATGGAAATATACTTTGGAAAATGTTAATTTTGTTAATATAAACTTCCTAAGTACTATTTCGTTTATCTGAATGAACCCGTATGATCATCAAACTGTTTCTTCTAGAGATTACTACTGAAACTCCATATATATTTAAACACGTTTTGAACTAACCGTTATGAATAAGTAACGATTAGGTGTTGCTTTCATTTCACATAAAGCTGAACATAATTCTTTGAATGTTGGTCTAAGATTTGGATCTGCTTGCCAACCTATTTATTTGCAAGTTAAACAAAAACAAACAAAAAAACAGTCAATAAAAACAGAGGGTTACATTAGTTTAAAAATGGTTGAAATATTTATTGTTCACGTCTAGCCCGACCTTTGTTGATACCTTAATATGGTGGTCGGGCTTTCCTATCGTGATGAGTCAATCAAGCTAGGCTGACTGGAACAATTGTTCCTCAAGGTCCTGTCACGCCATGCAGGTTGGCTGAAGAAAGGTAAGACTAAAAGCAGCAAACCAAAGGTTCGAAGACGAAGTCGTATTGATGACTGTACAGAGGCGTGACGACAGTAAGGTGTTTCCTTCAGACAACCAGTATAACAGCAATTCTGCCTTCTTACAAGGAGGGATGGGGTTAGAAAAGGTCGACCCTAAAGATGTACACTTCACCTTATTCCACGGGTTTCCGTCTCCAGTGGTAAGGTCCCAATAACTACGGAGCTAACACGAAAATTACCAGTCTGAAGTAGTTGTCCGTTGTGCACTGCGGCCACGTTCTCAGGTCACTAGGACTAACTCTAACCCCATTTCTTATTCAGGTACGTCTAGAAGAACCCTTTCACGGTGTGGGCAACCGGGAAATGAAACTGCCCTTAAACCTCTAATAGCACTCAAGACCGCTGATATGATGTCTAGGATCGGTTACTACTCAATAGTTGTGAGGAAAACCACTTTTACATAAGTTGAAGGTGCTAATAAGATACTTATAATGAGGAATTCCTTTATTGTATAAACAGTGAACAAGAACCAACTGTTGTTTACGAATGAATAAAAGAACCAATTCATTTGTATTGTTTGCTTGAATCTTCATATTATTGTTTAGCATTAAAATAGATCATCTTCTTCTTAGCATGTATTCATCCAGTACGGTTTGTTTTGTTACTACCATTAGGTCACAAGTATTATAGGCAGAGATGGATAATGGTTAGTAGAGGAATCCAGCATGTTCATTTCATCCTATACGGTACACGTCAGTTGAATGTGAAGGATCCACATATCCCGAAAAAGATGAATCAATTGTAGATACATCTAGTTGATGAGCCCAAAACATGATGAAACATACATTCTGGATTCTACTGCTAGTTACCGTCCATCTTTGTTGATAAAAGAATTATTTACGAAAATTTTCATAAAACACTTATGTGAATACATAACAGAGTAACAGTAGACTATAATAAACTTACATTGTAACATTAAACAATAAAAGTCAAGACTTGTTGTTTCTGGTTGAGGTAAACGATTTCCTTTCTCTAAAAAATCTAATAAATCTCTTGCATGAATATTTTCATATGGTCGATGCCCAAATGTACACATTTCCCATAAAGTTATACCTAGATACAAAAAAATGTATACATATCCATATAAATTATTTGTATAATCTTGAATCTTTTCAAAAAGTAGTTCAATGCAATGATCCAATTTGTATTTTTATCCATTATTTGGATACAGAGGGGTAGCCCACAAGTCACTTGATTTGTGTGTGTGTGCCGTGTTACTGCTCGCGTGCTCAGGCCGATGTAGGTGATTTTCTTAGGAAATCACACCTGGAGCCTCTAAGGAGTATCAGTTCCCTCAAGATTACAGGTACACCTTTCTGATGAGTGCCAAATGGCACGGAATTCAGGTCTAGGGTTTCCTGTTGACTACCTCCAACTACCACCTTATAATTGATTTTGTTTTCACGTTTTTACAATACATAGAATCATTATCATGAATTTGGTGTTCATCTTGTTGTGTTAATGAGATGTGGCAACTTGAACCGACGCATATATGTGCCCGGTGCTACGTTTATAGCTGAGTGACTAACTGGTCATGAAAGTTATGAACTTAATCCCGTTGGAAGTGAAAAGTATGCACTGACTAGAATTCAATAATTATGATCAGTCAGTTAGTGAGCTACAATTTAAGATCAGGCACATATATGCATCGGTCCAAGTTGCCATACCTCATTAACACAACAAGATGAACACTGGATTCATAGACGTAGTTACTTCAGTGGGGTAATATATAGAAGAAAGATTGCATATAAAAGTATAGTATTGGAAGAAAGAATTAGTTCGTAGAAAGAAAGATGTTAAGTGATTTTAATCTCTTAGTTTAAGGGAAGACAGAGAGTGTATACTCCGACGCCATTGTGATTGATTCTGAGCCATGTCACACATAGTCTCCAACCATTGGTTACGATAGTCACATGGACCCCAACCAATTAGTCTGCATATACCAACATGGCTCAGATTAGAAGTTAGTGATTTCAAGCACTGATGCCACGTTTTGGTTTGGCCGCCCCTAACTTCCTTCCAACCATCTCCAACACCGGTTAGCATTGCACGTCGTGGTAATCGGTGTTCATGCATACGTAACACGTGGCCCAAACATTTTAGTCGATGAAGATTCATAACCTCATCAACTGACTTACCATCATTTCCTAATACCCTGCGTCTAACCTCACTATTACTTACCCGATGATCCCAGCAGACGCCAGCAATATTTCTAAGATATCCGTGGTCAAATACTAGTAGCTTGTGGCAAGCCCATTTGGCCACTGTATCATTTGTCTATTCATTGTAACTCAGACTCTTAATTCACTATGTTAATTTCAGTGTGTATGATCGAATGCATCGCTGTACATTAACCCTTAAGCTATCTTCCTATTGGTTTCAATGTGCAGATAATCGATAATTTATCCACACCCAATTAATTCTCAAAAATATATATGGATTTTTAACACACACTCACTCACTCTGTTTCATCGTGTGCTTGCTCACCGTACGCTTGTGGATTTTTATTAATCATTAACAATAAACTATCTCTATAACTGGTGTTCAGGCTTCTCAATAATCTCGAGTAAATCCGCAATTCTACTAGGAGATTAAGCCTACCTTAAATACTCAGTTCACGGGATATTATTTATTGGAGTCAGACATTGAGGACATTAGCCTCAACATATTGGTTAGCCGCCGTCTCAACAAGCTTACGGGTGTCTTCTACTCTTAATGGCCATGTTTCGCTGCCGTAAATTAAAACAGAACAGACTGCTGTTCAGTATACTCGTTCTTTTATTGATAAACGGATGTGAGACATTCTTTGGGTATTAGTATTCTTTGCTGACTATAATAGATCATTAAAATGTTGCTTTTCAGAGCTTCTTAAGTTTCAATTAAATGTGAAGGAATAATAAACATAATATAATCATTATAAACTTACCATATGACCAAACATCTGATTTACTTGAAAATATTCTATCTTGTATACATTCAATTGCAAGCCATTTAATTGGCATACGTCCTCCACTAGCATGATATTCACTATGTATTGTATCTAAACATTTAGCTAAACCAAAATCAGTTATTTGTACCTATGAAAATAAACAAATGTAATATAGATGTTATTATGAATATATTTCATTTTCTTACGACTCTTTTTATAGAATGTTTAGTATACTGGTTAGCATCTAACGAATTCTACATCAATTATAGTATAACTTAAAGTTGAACTAATTGACCACTATAAAAATCCAATCGTTATTCCAGACTAAACGTAGATATTGAAATCACAAGTTGATTTAAGCTTAGTCACTACTGAAAACCTGGAAGCCCTAGATGGCTATTTCGTCCTAGTATAGGACTCCTCAGCAGTGCATATCCACTCAAGATCACTGATTGATTAAAGTGGCCTAGCGGTCTAGAAGTTAGGCGTTGGTACGCAAAACCGAAGGTCCTGGGTTCGAGTTCCATATGTAGGATCGTAGACAAAACAGCCATCTAGTGCATCCAGGTTTTTCAATGGTGGTCTAACATCAATCAATTCATGATTTCAACTATTAAATTACTTTAAATACCACTAAATGGTTTTTCATTGAATGCTTTGTAGATCGTTCTATTCGATGGTTACTTTTTGCTTTAACTTATCCTGAATCTTGAATTCATCATTATCAATTCACATAATATTGTAGTGCACAAGAACACGAGTAGGACAATCGAGTTTAGGCATAAAATTACAGAATATCTCGCTAAAATCTGAGAACTATATCGTAAATACACTTGGTATTGTTTGGCTTGTATTTTCCCATCGAGGTTTAAGACTGCAATTGATCAGTCTGTTATTGGCATATGTGCATACTATGCGTATGCCTCAATATTGCCTTAATTCACAAGCTTTTTGTAATGATGGATAGTGACTAGTAGTGGAATCCAGGACGCGCGTTTCGTCCTATTTGGGACTCGTCAGGATGAAACGCTCGTCCTGGATTCCACTGTTAGCCACTATCCATTATATCGTTAATAGTTAATTTGCAACATGTCAATCCATCGTCTAAAACTTGACTATTCCTTCAACAAATATCAGTCCATTGTCTCAGATTTCATTGTTCATGCATTTTCATACGAATTGTTTTCCATTCCCTTTTTTTATTTCCTTATCGATCTTCTATTAAAATACATCCGATGACTATCATTACATACTACTTATATAGAATATAAGTAGTTCACATTACAATATATCAATTCATCATATACATCTCTCACTTACTTGATCTTTGGATTGAACAAGTACATTACGTGCAGCTAAATCACGATGTATAATACACGTGATGATAAATATGTCATACCAGAAGCAATTTGTTCAGACCATTGAAATAATGAATTGACTTCAATAAAATCCCAACGTATTTTAACAAATTCTAATAAACTACCTAATGGTAAATATTGTGTAATTAATTGTAATTTAGATGTAAGACATAAAGCTAAAAATCGTACACAACATGGATGATCAACAGTTGCCATAACCTAAAGAAAAAGAAACAAAATAAACAATGTTTTTATCTTATTTAACATTGATTTTCGATAATAGTTACCTATGTGTTATTTGTTTAGTTGTTTACTTAGCTATGTCTGTAACCATCGTGGAGGAGTACAGGTCACACACACATACACATACACATACACACTAGTAGTCTCTATTCAACTCTGTCCTGGACAATCTTTCCTAGTTGTTTTCAATCATTGTTCATTCTTTTGATATCTGCTTCTAATTCTTTCCATAATGTTGTAGTGACCTACGTTTATCAAGAGAACGCGGTTGTTGTAATGGAAAAAATTGTTATTATAACCAATTATACAAGTGATTGTTTTACTGTACTTGTTTGTTTAACTGTACCAAAATACATACATTCTTCCTTTGATTGTGACCTTGCACGAATTCGGTCACGCTCAGTAAACACACTTGTACTCCTTTGGCACGATCTCGGTATTCTTTCGATACCACGAGATCGCCAACAAATACATCTCGACTACAGTCATCAACTACCTTCTGATATTTGGCTTACGGGAGATCTTATCGATTAACTGGAACGTGATCTTCCTGTAGTGATGATTATAGCCAACCGCGACTCGACGCCACATTATAATATGTTCCTTGGTCTTTCTCTTTTCTAATTCTCTTCAGGATTCCAAGTTAGTGCTTGCTCCATGATGCAGTTTGATGATTTCCATAATATGTGTCCTATTCACTCTCAAAGCCTTTTCCTAGTTTCCTCTTCAGTTGGAAGTTGGTTTGTATCTCACCCACAGTAGATTGTTGTTGATGATATCCAGTCAACGGATATTGAGTATCATGTGTAGACAATTGTTCATAATCACGTCTACATTTTTGATAGTAGTTGTATGCGTTCTCCAAGTTTATATTGAATATTTCAACTTTAATGTTGGCTGACAGTTGTTTTGAGTTCCATATGTTCTTCAACCGTAAGTATGCTTACCTTGATTTATCAATCCTTGCCCTAACATGTTCATCGGATCCTCCTTGCTTATCGATGATGTTGACCAGATACGTGAAACTTTCCACCTATTTCAGTTAAAATAGATCAATTACATGATATTCATGAAGCCTTTCTAATGTCTTCATCTGAGTTCATAATAACCAACTTACTTACTAAAAAGAAATCACATTCGAAATACAATTAAACGATAGGGACATTCATAGCTTAAGTTATAAATATCTATCATTGAAAAGTAAAAGACTTGAAATGGAAGTGGATAGAACACACATTAAGGAAAGCACCCAACTCCGTTACAAGACATGCCTTCACTTGAACTCCTCAAGGTCACAAAAGATGGGAAAAGCAAAGAACACATGGCGCCAAGAAATGGAGACAGACATGATAAGAATGAAGAACAATTGGATAGAACTAGAAAGGAAGGTCCAGGAGAGAGTGGGTTGGAGAATGCTGGTCGGTGGCCTATGCTCCATTGGGAGTAACAAGCATGAGTAAGTCAGCAAGTCATCAAAAGACTTTAAAACAAAGATATAACAACTGGAAAAGATCAGAGCAACTCAGAGTGCATATAATATCTAAATCAGTAGACATTATCCAGAAAAAAATTGGTGTTATATCTAGAGTTTAGATTCTTGATATACCGAGTACAACTTGAACACTCAAAAGCTAGAACCCTTCAAATCGCAAATGAGAAGCCAGAAGACAAGTGAAAGGGATGTTATTCCAAACATTGTCAAATAAAGTATAAAACTAAGGTATTTATAGTTTTTAGTAAAATGAAATCATCATTATAGTCCTCCAATCCGCATACAGAGGATTATTAGCATTTGTCCAATAGGGAAACTACATGTAGAGATTCTGGAATATTCTTCCAAAAGATGATTGGATGGAATATCGTCAGCTCTTTCTGAGCTTCTTAGAGATTCCTTGAGTTCATCCATGGGTTGTCCTTACATTTGAGAATAGTTAATCTTGAATAATTTAATCAATTAGATTTATTCTTTATCTTATGACAACCGCTACTTTTATTTAAGTTATTTAAATTAGGCAAAAATAACTAAATTTGAACCATAGTTAGAGCATTGACTGAATGTAACTATAATAGTGAAAATTTCCTCTTGAATTTATATTTACGATGATTAACTCATTACTAGATACATAATAATGTACCTGGCTTTGATCCACATTTTGAGTGGGAAGGGCTGATGATAAGACATGGTTGTTCATTTGAAGCAAATGGGGATGGATTTGAAACTTAGGATTCGAGGCTTAAAGTTGAACGTTTTACCCGCTGCTTGGAAGTCAGCGATGATAACCTTCGTACCAAGGACTCAATTACTTTGCACTAGTCATTCAGAAATACTTTAATGTTAGGTGGCTAGTGGTAGACACGGAACCCATTAAAAGCATATCTACAATCTTGAAAGAAATAATGTTTCTCGATTGATTCTTAACTCATGTTATCAAGTATTACAGTCTGAAACATCATCACGGAGATATTCTGGTTATATGCTCAAAAAGAATTTAGAGCGACAAGTGTAGACCAAAATATCACTGTTATCAAAGTTCCAATAGGAATTACAATCGTTGATTTCAGTCATAAAAACATTTCTTAATAGGATTAAATGTGAAATTTAGGTAACATTGATAGGTACTTAGTCTCAGATTTCACGACTGTTCTCACTTGTACTCTCGTTTACTAGATTTGGTGTCACTGCTAACCAGGAGTGGGTAAGGGTGCTGTCCTACGGACACCGATGCGGGCCGGGAACTGAGGTTCTAGTTGATACGGTATGTGCTAATGATATTGACAGATATAGGTAGTATATATCATCAATCGAAAGTGGAATGCCTGGAGGCAGACTTTTGAGAGAATTGAAGAGAAGAGAATGAGAATTAAGAATAATTTGTGTGGAAACGAAAGAACAATGACGTGTGAGACAATTAATGGACATCATCAGGAATCAGTAGCTGAGTGGAGAACGTGTTGGTGTTTTAGGTGAACGGTATTGGGTTTGAGTCCTAGAGTGAACATCAATTCTGGAATGAAGGTATATCGAACTGACGAATCCCAAATATGACGAAACGTGTATCCTGTATTTCGCTGCTAATCACCATCCATCTCAACTTATAATGCTTGTGATTTAAGGCAATAACGATGCAATCCATACAGGTTGCGCATATGCCAATAAGAGACTGATCAATCGCAATCCTAATTAACAATGGGAAGATACAAGTAAAACAACACCAAGTGGATGTTTATGAATGTTTTAATATGGATAAACCAAACTATCCATCAACTTGACTTAATGTTGTTTTATTTGTATCTTCCCATTGTTATTGAGAACTGGAATTGATCAATCTCATGTTGGCATATATATGCATCATATGTGATGGCGTTTAAAGCAAACGGTACTAGGTTCAAGTTCCAGAATGAACATCCACTCTGAGATGCAAGTACTTCCAGTTGACAAGTCCTAAATAGGATGAAACACGCATCAAACTAGTTTCCACTGTTAATTACTATTCATCTTTGTTTATCCGTAGGTTTGAAATCGTTTTGTCAATAATGATAAGAAATTCATTAGATGAAAATGAATAATGAAGCTTTAACTTTAAAAGAAAAAAAAACAAAACAAAAGTAGCATTACTTTTGCTTCTTCTAATAGTTCTTTACTAGTTTGTGGATCAGATGAATCTGATAAGACTTTAATCGCTACTGGAATATGTAGATTGAATCCTCCTGGAATAGTTTCTATATCATTGGTATATTTATTCCAATCAAATGTTCTGGAATTGAATACATTTGAAGTTGATGTTATAATGGAATTTGTTATTGTATTATATGCATCATTATGAATAGGATCATGTTTTTGTTGAGTCAATTTTGGACACCATATACCACAATAAACTGTACCAAATGCACCAGAACCAATTAATGGACCACGTATTAATTCTGATTCAGTAATGATACGTAATGTTGCCATGTTTGGTTTTATAGATTCTGAATGAGTAGGCTATTTATTGATTTTTTTGTGTGTAAAAGAAAATATACCAGAGATTAATTAAACTATATACAAAAGTATTCAGTAGTTTATTACTTACTTACTTATTTACGTCTGTTACTCCTCGTGAAGGAGCATAGGCCACTCACCAGCATTCTCCATCCAACCCTGTCCTGGGCAATCCTTTCTAGCTCATTCCAGTTGTTATTCATCCTTTTCATGTCTGCTTCCATTTCCTTACGTAATGTGTTCTTTGGCCTTCCTCTTTTCTGCTTCCCTTCAAGTTAGCGCTTGCCTCGTGATGCAGTTTGATGATTTCCGTTATGTATGTCCTATCCATTTCCATCGTCTTTTCCTAATTTCTTCTTCAGCTGGAAGCTGGTTTGTTATTACCCACAGTAGGTTGTTGCTGATGATATCCGGTCAATGGATGTTAAGTATCTTGCGTAGACAACTATTTATAAATACTTGTACTTTCTTGATGGTGGTTGTTGTAGTTCTCTAAGTTTCGCACAGTAGAAGTGCCTTGACGTAGGTATTGAAGATTCCGACTTTGATATTAGTTGAAAGTTGTTTTGAGTTCCATATGTTCTTCAAATGTAGGAATGCGGCCCTTGCTTTGTCAATCCTCGCCTTTACGTCTGCATCTGATCCTCCTTTTTCGTCGATGATGCTTCCCAGGTATGTGAAGGATTCCACGTCTTTCAGAGTTTCGCCATCGAGAGTGATTGGATTGCTGTTATCGGCGTTGTATTTGAGGATCTTGGTTTTCTCCTTATATATGTTGAGGCCTACTGATGCAGAGACTGTTGCTACACTGGTTATCTTTATGTGCATTTGTTCATTTGTATACGATAGGAGGGCTAGGTCATCTGCGTAGTCCAAATTGTCTAATTGCTTCTGAGGGATTGTAGTAATTTGATATTTGACTCATGAATTCAACTATTAAATTACTACTATCTTCACAAATCTCCTTTCTGATAAAAACCATCATTTGCTCACTAGTGACTGGCTTCAGGAAGTATTTCCTGAAATACAAGTGAGAAGCCGTGACCAGTGAAGTTCAATCAGGTCTGTTGTGAGGTAGTCACTAACTGAAGACATCAGTGAACGTTGGCTCAATATCGTGGATTGGTTGAATTGTCGGATGCTGGCCGGTTCAGTGGTCTGCAGGTTAAGCGTTCGCGCGCGAGGCTGAAAATCCTGTGTCAGAATCCCGCGAGTGGGACCATAGAAGCTCACTGCTGAGGAGTTTCATACTAGGACAAAATAGACGTTCAGTGTTTTTGGATTCTCCATGATGTTCTTGCTTTAAATGACTCATGAATTCAACTAGTAAATCATTAGTCCAAATAAAAATACCACTACATATGATCTGTTACACAGTTCGTAAAACTTAAGTGTAAAATCCACCTAAATACATATTCCCAAAGTATATAGTTTTCTGTTGTAGTTGTTAGGTTTAATATTTATACGATAGAGTTCAAATCCCTTTTGGTGAGGGATTATGGATGTGTATTACTGAGGAATCTCATACTAGGAAGAAATGACCATCCAGTATTTCCAGGTTTTCAATAGTGATCTAACATAGATCAACTCATCAATTCAATTATTAAAAATTACTTTAAGAAATGTTAAATCAAGTAAAATTCTTGGTTAACTTCAGTCAGGAAATTATTTTAAAGACTATCGGCTTTATCAAAATGGGTTTTGTGGAGATTTTTAGAAATTTCACTGGTTGAAATCATGAGTCGATTGAAGCTAGACCACCATGGAAAACCTGGAAGCACTGAACGGCCGTTTCGTCCTAGTAATGGGACTCATCAGCAGTGCCCATCCACGATCCTGCATCCTGCGAGATTCGAGCCCAGGATCTATTTTTTGAATTTAAGTGGAAAACTGTGGCCAGCCTAGTTCAACCATGTCAGTATGAAGAAGTTATTTATTAATAGTACTAAAAGGTAATTGTTACATAACACGAATTAATTGAATTTAAAAATGTATATCATTAGTTGCTGGCTCGGTCGCCTAAAGATTAAGTGCTTGTCCTGAAACTCGATAATGCATTGTTTGATCATTGTTGTGCTTGATAATATACTTACCTCTTAGAAGTTTCATTCTGTTCAGATCATTTTGATTTTCAACAGTTATCAGATGACTCACTAAAGGCTATTAATAACATGAAAATTTACAAATGTACATTTAATAGTTGAATTCATGAGTCGATCTATGCTAGACCAGCATTGAACGGCCGTTTCGTCCAAGTATAAGACTCATGAGTAGTGCTTATACACGATACAACACACGGAATTCGAAACCAGGTACGTCAGTCTCGCACGCGAACGTTTAACTTCTTGACCACTGATCTGGCCGGAATCTAGTGGTGTTAATGTCTAATTTCAACTAATCCACGAAATTGAGCCACACATCGACCATTGTCTTTAGTGAGTTACTATCTCACAACTGATATCGTTGAACTCAACTGGTCACGGCTTCTTATTAGAACTCCAGGAAATAACTTTTGAAGCCAGTCACAAGTGAGCATATGATAATTATTAGTATGGGGATTTCTGGAGATAGTAGTGATTCATGAATTCATGGACTCATGAGTCAATTAAAGGTAGACCACCGCGAAAAGCCTGGAAGCATAGAACATATTTCATCAAACATATAATGAACATAATCAAACAAGGATTTTATGGAGATTGTAGTAATTTTTAATCATTGAATTCACGAATCAATTGAAGCTAGACTATCATTTAAAACTTGAAAGCAATAAACGGCCGTTTCATCTTAGTTTGAGACTCCTCAATAGTGCGTATCCACGATCTTGCCTCACGAGATTCGAACCCAGGACCTATCAGTCTCACACACGAACCCTTAACCTCTAGACCACTGAGTCAGCCGGCAACCAACGGCGTTAATAGAATGATTAAACATTCATTTTTCTTTATGAGAAGGGGTTTGTGGAGATTTTGGAAATTTCACAGATTGAAATCATGAGTCAATTGAAGCTAGATCATCATGGAAAACCTGAAAGCATTGGACGGCCGTTTCGTCCTTGTATGGAACTTCTCAGCAATGCGTATCCACGATCCTGCACCCCACGAGATTCGAACCGAGAACCTATCAGTCTCGCGCCAAGCGCTTAATTTAAAAAAAGCAAAAACAAAACAAACTACTTACTGAGATTTCTTCATCCATATGATTTATCCATTTATTATCTTTATCTATTAATATACTACTATTCATTGGTATTAATGAATTATTCCAATTGAATGGATTAAATAATTTCTCTTTCATTAATTTATTATTTGAATAATTGATCAATGTATTATTATTATTATTATTATTATTATTATTATTGAATAAAAATCGATCATTTCTAGTTGCTATGGTAGATATTTTTGTTTTTTTCTTTTTTATTAATTTTGGTTTACCTTGTGTCCAAAAATTTTTACAAATTTTATGTAATGATATAAAACATGATTGATTTAATTGATTATTATTATCATTATCATCGTTATCATCATGATCATGATCATGATCATGATCCTGATCCTGATCATCATTAAGATCTTGTTCCATTCTTATATATTTAGATCGAATATGAATAGTCCAATAAATAATTAAACATAATAAACATAACATAATAAATAATGCAGATAATGCTGAAATAAGACCAGCAGTTTGTGTTGATAATTGATGATTATGCCAAATATAATTCATAATATGAACATTTTGAAGAAGATTAAGGTTTTCGATTGGATCAGATAAATTATAATTAAGATCATTCATTATTGAAGTATTCTGATGATGATGATAATGATGATGATCAATGGGATATTGTCTATTATAATATGGTATAATATGTAAATGAATAGAATCACTTGAACATATCATTTCACCAGTTTTTCTATCAGATATTTGAAATGGACTATAATCAGGACAGGTAGTGTTGCATAACCACTAAAAGTATGAATTGTAAATAATAAGAATCATAATAATACAATTCAATGTAATACCACAAAGACAGATAGTCACTAATAGTGGAATACAGTTTGACACGCGTTTTGTCCTATTTGGGATTCGTCAGTTGGATGTATCTGCATGACAGAGTTGATGTTCACTCTGGGATTCACATCTTGGTTTCCACTGTTAGCCACTATGTGTCTTTGCTTAGAATGTTTGTGAATTAAGGTAATATCGATGCAATCCGTACAGAATACACATATACCAATAAGAGACTGATCAATTACAGTCCTTAACCTCAATAGGAAGATTCAAGTAAACAATACCAAGTGAACGTAAACATATTAGATGAAAATAAGAAAATATGATTTAATTCTACATAAAAATAGATAGTGGTTAGCTTCGGAATCATCCTGTCAACTGAATGTACTTAAATTCCAGAGCTGATGTTCAATTCGAGACTCGAACCAAGTACTGTTCATTTCAAACTATATCACGTTATCTACTTAGCTATTGAGTTCTGATAGCCAGTAGCTAAGTAAATAATGTGATGGTGTTTGAAGTGAATGATACATGGTTCGAGTTTTGGAGTGAATATTGTTCTGAGATGTAAGTACATCCATCTGATGACTTCTAAATATGACGAAACGTGTGCGGTAAATTACACTACTAACCTGTTATATCCGAGCGAAGATTAAATCAAGAGTAACTTCTGAGACATATTAATTGACTAATATTATCTATGCATTCTTATGGTATAACTATTCAACAATTAGATTATGTATATTTATATTTCTCTTATTATAAGCTTTATTTTGACCTATAATTTATTATTGTACGATTTACGGTTCTTAAATTATGCTCAGTTTATTAATCACAGTCTCCCACGTTCACAACCACTTTTTGGCTTAATCTTCCGTAAATTTCATTTCCTATTTCATGGTATGATGAGGTCTGTTTGGCTGGTATATGGACTAAATATGTTTGAAATAAATGATCTGCATAGTGGAAGCTGGTATTGGTGTTCTGGACTCAATTGGACGGGCTAGGTGGACATAAGACTAATAAGGACGCTAGACTGCTCATACCGATTGGACGTTACTGGTTGGACACAGAGCTAAGATTGTATAAGTCGTATTTTGATTGATGAATAAATCACATGATAAAAAGCCAGACATAAAATCATAACATAACCACCATCCATCTCTCCTTATAATACTTGTGAATTAAGGCAATATCAAGGCAATTCGTACAGGATGCACATATACCCATAAGAGACTGATCAATTGCAATACTAAGCATCTATGGAAAGATTCAAGTAAGACAATACCAAGTGAATTTATTCCATTTATAAAATTCAAGATTGCTCGTAAGGGTTTTATGAGTTATTGATCGGATTTATAATTCACTAATTGGAGAATCTTTAATACGAACGTCAAGGTAGTTCTACTGTATGGAGCTGAAACTTGGAGAATTACAACAACCACAATCAAGAAAGTACAAGTATGTATAAATAGCTGCCTACGAAAGATACTCAACATCTACTGGCCGGATACCATCAGCAATAGCCTTCTGTGGGAGAGAACAAACCAACTTCCAGCTGAAGAAGAAATTAGGAAAAGACGATGGAAATGGATAAGACATACATTACGCAAATCGTCAAACTGCATCACGAGGCACGCCCTGACTTGGAATCCTGAAGGAAGCTAAAAAGAGGAAGGCCAAAGAACACATTGCGTCGGATTATAGAAGCAGATATGAAAAGGATGAATTACAACTGGACGGAGTTGAAAAGGATTGCCCAGGACAGGGTTGGATGGAGAATGCTGATGAGTGGCCTATGCTCCTTCACGAGGAGTAACAGGCGTAAGTAAGTAAGTAAGTAATTCACTAATTGGTGATATCATACAACATTATACATTGATTAGGGGCACAAAATCATAAGTTATAACATTTAAAATAATAGTACTTACTGATTTCATTTGAGAATCATGATAAATTTTCATATGTCGACAACGTGTACATTCTTCCGCTGTTGGACCACTACAACCAATTTCACATTCTTTATGACATGATAAACATTCAATTGATGTAATATTATCCGGTAAATATCCAATAAAATAATCATTTATTAAAGTTGAATCAAAATGACGAAATGATTTCTTTTTTGGATAAGTTCCTAATTAGACAAACAAACAATCAAATGAATATGGAATTATATTGGGATTTATTGAAACTATAGGCGGTATTCATTAAGTATTGATCTATGATGAGTGATCAATGAAAACCAACTCTTCTATGCATATTACTTAATCATCAGTATAAGGTTGTGGGGATTGTTAAGTTCCAATTGAGATTATGAACCGATCGATGTTAATGTAACATTGAAAACCTGGAAACACTGAACGGCTGTTTCGTTCAAGTATGGGATTTATAAACAGTGTACTCTCCCTCAAATGGAATTTGAACCTAGAACCGTTGATCTCGCGTGCAAATGGTTAACCTCTAGACCAGCGAGCCAGCATCCAATGGTGTTATTGTAAAGCGTTCGCGCGCAAGGTTGAATTTCCTGGGTTCGAATCCCGTGGGTGGGATCGTGGATACACACTGCTGAAAATTTCCATACTTGGACGACATGGCCGTCAAGTGCTTCTAGATTTCCAATGATGGTCTAACATCGATCACTTCAGGATCCCAATCATCACTCATAAGGCAATCAGGTATCTAATTATGCTTCATAGAGATTTTCTTAATTAAAAGATTCATTTTTATTAAGGACTGACATTGGTTGAAAATTACTATATAATCATTTTTATTCTGTTCTGCTATGTTTTGCCGATCATCATTATGCCTAAGTAGTAGTCGGTTAAACTAGCCAGTTAATTCATAATAATTTTCAATCTTATGTTATTACATTGTGAAGACTCGGATCCAGGACCTAACAGTCTCGCACGCGAACACTCAACCTCTAGACCACTAAGCGTACATTCAGTGGTGTCAATATCTGACTTCAACCAACCCATGTGACTGCGTCACTGTCGAACATTATCTTCAGTGGGCTACTATATCACGACTGATTCGGTTGAACTCTACTGGTCACTGCTTCTCACTAGAACTCCAGAAGATACCTCTTGGAAACGGTTGACATTAAAGAGTTACTATACACAATATAATTTATTAATTCTATAAGTAATAAATAAATCATTAAAAATATTAAATATCTAACCTGATGGACAAGTGGAAACACAACGACCTTGATAACTTGCATAAACACAACGTACACATTGTTCTGGGCTAGGTCCATAACATGCAACAGAAGATGATCCAACTAAATTTGATTGTCTTAATGGAATCATTTCTGAATGACATTGTTCATGACATGGTAAACAGATTTGTGCTAAACCATACAATTGTGGTTGAGTATGATTTAATAACCATATAGAAATTTCATGAATTATTTTCGATGAGAAATGATGAAAAAGATTAACATCAGTTTGACTCCAGAAAAATTGATGAATTGAATTATTTTTTGATGATATTCTTTCATTTTGTTCTTTCATATTGAAATAAACTATTGATTGATGATCTACACTGGAACCTCCTCTGTGATGTAAGTTAATCACATGTTGATAAGTACCATATGGACAAGTCTATAAAGATGATCATTAAAAAAAAATATGAGAACAATGAAAATGATTGAGTTAGATTGAGTGATGACAATCGACTTAAGTCCTAGTCTGATTCATATTTTTTCATTTCAATTTATTAACTGTCCCTACATGCATATAGAATTTGGTGACATACAGTAATATTATTAGTTTAGGGAGTTTGAGGAGATTGGTGAATTTCATAGTTTGTATCTTGAACTGATCTTCATTAGATAACCAGTGATCAGTAGAGTTAATCTGTGTCGGGTAGAGAAAGGTATCTATCTCAGTACAGTGAAAGATGGTTGCGCGATTTCGTGGATTGGTTGAGGTTAGACATTAAAACCACTGGATGCCGGCCGGCTTAGTGGTCTTTAGGTTAGGTATTTGCGTGTGAGACTAAAGGCCCTGGATTCGAATCCCGAGAGCAGGAGGAGTTCAACAATAGGATGAAATGGCCATCCAGTGCTTCCAAGTTTTCAATGGTGGTCTAAAATCAGTAGGTTCATGATCTCAATTAAAAAAAAACGTAATAATCTTCACAACCCTATACTGAAAACTATGAAACTCTGTACAAATGTGTCATTCTAATATGAGACTCCTGAGCAGTGATCATCCACAACCCTTTCAGGAATCAAACTCTTCTATCATATGTTTAGTAACTACATCATTTTAAACTGAACTATAATTAACCTTTCATAGTTATTTAAATTTGAATATAACTTTTTTGTTAATTAACCCATTTAACTGAATTTATTGAAATGAAGGTCAATTAAAAGACGTTCAGTATTTCCAAGTTTTCAATAATTATCTAGCTTAGATCGACTCATGAACTCAACTGTTAAAACTACTACAATCTCCATAAATCCTCATTTTGATAATAATCATGTGTTCATTATTGACTAGCTTCAAGAGGGATTTCCTGGAGTTCTAGTGAGAAGCAGTGATTATTAGAGTCTGATTCGTCTACGGTAGAGACAGTTATCCACCTCAGACAATGGATGAAGGGTTGAGCAATATAATGGATCGATTAAAGTTAGACATTAACATCGTTGGATGCCGGCTAGGTGTTTACAGGTTAAGTGTTCGCTTACAAGATCAAAGGTCCTGGGTTCGAGTTCCTTTGGTACGGGATCGTTGATACGCACTTCTGAGTAGTCTCAAACTAGGACGAAACGGCCATCCAGTACTTCGTGGTTTACAATGGTGGTCTAGCTTAAATCGACTCATGAATTCAACTGTTAACATTTTATCATTAAATTTGAAACAAAAATGTTAAATTGATTGGTTTATAGGAGTAGTAGCAAGTCAAAGATTATAAAGTGGATTGAATCCAATTAATGCAACACAATAAAATTCATATCAATATATGAATCACTGCTAGTTGTGTTTAATTTAATATGCAGTAAAGATATGTATTCATGTGAGATTTTTACACATTCGAACCTAGGACCTTCGATCTCGCCGGCTCAGTGGTATAGTAGTTAAGTATTTATATGTGAGGCCGAAGGTCATAGGTTAGATTCTCGCATACTGGATCATTCACAGCAAACTAAACAATTTCATTTGATCTTTAAGAAAAAATTATGTGAAAGTAAACTATTTTACTGTGCAGCAGTTCGTTCCGTCCTACTTTATGGCAATGAAACATGGCCGGTAAGAGTAGAGGATATTCGTAGGTTACTAGTATTCAATCATAGGTGTCTTCGAAGCATTGATCGTATATCATGGGACCATCGACTAAGTAACCCAGTTGTTAGGAAACGGATACTAGATAAGGATGACAAATCAATTGATGAAGTAATGAAACTTCATCAATTGAGATAGCTGGGACACGTGGTACGTATGCCCAACCACCGACTACCTCGACGTGTGATGCTCAATGGTGTATGAGTAGATTGGAAGGAAGTTAGGGGCGCCCAAACCAAAATATGGTACAAATTCATGAGGTCACTGACAGGTGGACTGAGCCATGTTGGTAGGTGTAGACTACCTGGTTAAGATCCGTGAGACGATAACAACTGATGGTTAGAAACCTTGAATGACATGGCTCAAAATCGTTTGCAATGGTTTGAGTAGGTGTATCCACTCTTTGTGTTCTCACAAATTCTAATCTTCTGAATTCTTCATGTCCCTTTTCTTTTTCTCTTTCCAAATTTGTTTCACTGGATTATACTGTTTGAATAACATCTTCAAACCCTAATCTTTCCGATTACTGCTTATACTCTTACCATCTCTACCACTACGGAGTTTGAATCGACAACTGAATCTCTGTGTTAATGTGGTGTGACAACTCAAACTGACGTACGTACGTCCGGAGTTCTACGTTGTTACTGACTGGCTGACTGAAAGTAAACTATTTAACAGATAAAATGATTCATAATTATCATACTTACATTGATACACTTTAAATGATGATTAGAGTTTTTTGGCTCTAAATATAAAACTGTTTGTTTACAATAACTACATCCACCATCACCTGGCCAATCTCCTGATCCTGTACAATAATATTTCAATTTGGTTTCAATTTTTTGATTCAGTAAATTATTATTTATATATATATCACCAGGTGGTGTACATGCTAGTGAACATTCCATACATTTCTTAGTTATTGGATCTGTATATTTATTAGGTGGGCAATAAGCTCTGCAAAATGGACCATCCTAAATTTAAAGAAAATAAATTATTGAAAATTGAAATGTTATATAATTCAAAATATCATCTCTTGTACAAAATCTAAATCGCCAATGAATGTCAATTGCCTAGAAGTTGAGCTTTCTTATGCGATGCAAAGAAGATCTAGGTTCAACCCTCGATGATAGAGCCGTGGACATGGACTATCATTGAGGTATGCTATACTAGAAAGAAACAACTATCCGACTTCTGTAGATTTTCGACAGTGATCTAACTAAGATCAGTTAATTACTTAAGCTATAAAAATACATAATTTTGATGAGGTTTTTCTAAGATTTTTAAGATATTTGGATCTTTAGGTTGGTTGCTTTCATGTAGACAGATCATAGAAAATCAATACAGCCAATGCCGATCATTCAACTATAGTACAAGCATCATCTGATAATCTTTATGAGTCTAACTGAAACCTGCTAAATACAATATAACTTTGTCTTTTCTACATTTCTAAATCCTTTATTAAAGTACACTTTGTAAACCGAATCATACGTACAAGAAAACGTACCCAAACTCTTCTTTTAATTCAGCATTATCCTGCAAATTTGTTAGCTGTTTTTTTTTATATATTATCCTTTCTTCCTGCCAATTAGTAGAAAACTATACGTGGCAAAAGTCTCATCGATAAGATATTGATAATGACACATAAATCATATGGATAGAAAGCAGTACTATAGTTATAAATTCAATTGGTGTTGTTTACTTGTATCTTCCCATTGTTATTCAGGACTTTAATTGATCAGTCTTTTGTTGGTGTATGTATGGCACAAGTAAACAACACCAAATGAATTTAAACCTTCACCCCATTGCACAAGCAAGTGACTATTAGGACTCAGTAGCTAAGTGGATAACGCGATGGCGTTTAAAGCTAAGAGTACTGGGTCCGAGTCCCAGTGTAAACATCAACTCTGAGATGCAGGTAAATCCATCTGACGAATCCTTATTAGGATAAAACGCGCGTCATACTGGATTCCACTGCTAGCCACTATCCATTTTTGCTTATAATTGATACAATGGGAAACCAGAATTAATCAAATGATAAGGTTACATGACGTTAGTCAGAAATGTCCTGGAGGACAAATCCATACCATTGACTAGGAATCGGATATATTTATTGGCTATTACGGACTGTATATTTCATGAGAATATTGTCAGTGATTTTATTTTGATGGATTTGTACTTTTTCTGAAGAGATGAATAAGTTAACTTAAAATCGCAGCGTGGTAATCCTGAGTTGTTCACAGAAATATGACTCACAGGTATAACTGAGGAGGACGTGTAGTCGACACCTAACCTGGGTCACTTAGCTCCGAGATGACAGACACCCATAATGAGCTTTATATATATATATATATCATTAAACCGCATCACGAGGCAAGCCCTAACTTGGAATCCATAAGGGAAACGGAAAAGAGGAAGATCAAAGAATACACTATGTCGCAAATTGGAAGTAGACATGAAAAGGATGAATAGCAACTGGAAACATTTGAAAACGATTGTCCAGGACACAGTTCGATGGAGAATGCTAATGGGCAGCCAATTTTCTTTTATGAGGATAACAGGGGTATGTAAGTAAGTAATTCATTCAGTCATACAACGTAAAGTCTAGTGCATATATCATTCATTTCAAATTTCTACTCCACATTAGCACAGCTAGATGAAATCATCAAACCAAATCTCATAGTAATAGAATTATTTATACTATCAGTAATCGTAGGAAGGATTAAGCATAGGAACAAAAAATGTAGAAGAAGATTTCAGGACTCAGGATCTAGAATAAGACAAAAACAGAACGCATTTAATTCATGGAGATAGATTCCAAACCATACAACCTAATATCGCTGGCCATTATTTACAATAATCAAGTGGACTCCAAACAAAAAACCTGCAACTACTTACATAACTCAATGCAGATGTTAGTGACTTTACAAACTTATAACATGTTTTGATTCAACCACCGCTAGCTTATTTCCAACACAATCGTCCCTACACCACCAAACATTACCCAATCTAGATAGGTGGTAATTAGTCACATACACAACACTATTTAATCATATAACAGTAAGTAATGTTACACTGAATAGTTTTGTCCTCTGAGCTGGATGGTTTAATCAAACTTCAGGTAGAAGTTTATGCTGATGATATCTTTCAAAAGGACAATGAAAGCTCTATGATCAGAGAACAAAACTTCATCAAAATCATCCATCTAACCTACAAATCATCTCCATAATACTTAATAATCTTTCATAATGATCAACCTATGAATGAAACAGTTTAATTATCACAGAGGAAGGATTTGAATGTGATCAAATTGGTCTCGTATACTGTTACGGATATGAGGGCTGATGTCAATTCCCGGTTGCCCATACTGTGGAAAGGTATTTTTCGAAGAACCTGAAAAGGAAGTCGGATTAATCAAACAAATTTATTTACTTACTTGGACAAATCGACATGAACCAATACATTGATCATCATTAGGACCATAACATGTTTGATTTTGTAAATGACACATATCTGAACATTTTCTACATTGTCTTAATGAAACATTATAGTCCGACACTTGATTCTTTTTATCATTGTGTTGATACTTGTTGATGAATTCAGTAGACTTGTTTAGTTCATGATTAATAACAATCATTGAAGTACTTTGTATATCATTCATTAGATTGAATCCATCATTGATTATTTGCTCTGAGTTATTAGGTGTATTATTGAATTTTGGTGTATAGTAACCAGGTAGATCTTCACAATTTTGAACACAAATTTTTCCTCCATTATTAATATTATCAATAGACCAATATTTACAATGAAAACAAAATTGTTTACCTGGACCCCAACATCCATTAGATGGTTGACATAATTCATCACATACAGCTCCACGTCCTTCTGTTAATATAAGAATAAATGATAGAATTCTGTTATTTTAATTGTAAATCTGTTTTCCGGTAAAACAGTTATTCATTTTTATTTGAATCTTTCTATTCATGTTTAAGATTGCACGTTTCGTCCTATTTGGGACTCTTCAACTGGATGTACCTGTATCCTAGAGTTGATGTTCACTCTTGGACTTGAACCCAGTACTGTTTGTTTCAAACGACATCGTGTTATCCACTTAGCTACTGAGTGCTGATAGCCACTTGGTCATACAATTGGAAGAAGTTTAAATTCATTTGGTATTGTTTACTTGAATCTTCCTATTGATGTTTAGGACTGTAACTGATCAGTATTTTATAGGTGTATATGCATACTGTACGTTTCGCCTCGATATTCACAAGCATTCTAAGCAAAGATGGATAGTGGCTAGTAGTGGAATCCAGTTTAACTCCTGTTTCGCTCTATCTGGGACTCGTCAAGTGGATGTACTTGCAGCTGACGAGTTCAAAATAGGACGAAACACGCGTCAAACTGGGTTCCACTGTTAGCTACTATCCATCTTTGCTTATAATGTTGTATAGTTATTAGGTAATGAAATAAAAACGATCTTTTTCCAAGCTCAATCTTGTATATTTTTATTGATTAAACAACCTTTGATTTCAATATGACTTGTAGTGGTTTGGATTATTTCTGTTGTTGACTGTTATTTAATCAATCATGTTTGGAATATGTGCATCCTGTGAGAATTGCTTCGATATGGTCATTATGACGCAAGTTAATACAGAATGCATGCTTCGCCTTATTTGGGACTTGTCAAATGAATGTGGCTGGAATGTCTGGGATAAGAATAGGGTACTAGATAAGGATGGCGAATTGACTGAGTCGGCTGGGACATGTATTCCATATGTTCATCCACCTTATACCTCTAAAGGCGATGTGGTTTGATGTAAGATCAGGTTAGAAGAAATCTAGAAGCGGCCAAACTAAAAACATGGTAACAGTTCATGAAGTAATCAGCAATTGGACTGAGCCTTGTTAATAGGTATACACTACCTGGTTTGGGTTCACGTAATCGATCTAACCAAAAATAAGAAAGTGAATGATATTGCTCAAAATAGTTTTTAATAGCACAAGTACATTCGTTCCTTGTATTCCTCCACTTTATGAGATTGCGAATCCCTCATAATTTTTGTATTTTTGTTCTACTAATTCGTATTTTCTTGGATCATATCTTTTATACTTAATCTTTCCTATTACCCTTAGTACTGTTACTACCTTTCCTTTTCTGAGTTTTGGCCTGATGATATCATCTCATGTTAACTAGGTGTGGGAAATTGAAACGATGTACACACGTACATGGTTCTATGTTGTGACCGACTTACTGACTCATCTGTATCCTCATGTTGGTGTTGACCTCATGACTCAGAGACAGTACCTTCCACTCCAGACATCACCTAAAAAATCCCAAATAGAGCGAAAATTATGTCCTGAGTTCCACTGCTAGCTACATTCTATTGACTCTATATAATCCATGATTTTTTTATAACTAACATTTGATAGTTAGTGGATGTTCGAGTCAATGGCAGCTAAACTATATCAGAAGGGGTTTGTTGAGATTTTTAGAAATTTTCACAGATTGAAATCATGAGTCAGTTGAAGCTAGACCACCATCCTGCGTGGTGCGGGATCGTGGATGCGCACTGCCGAGGAGCTTCATACTAGGACGAAACGGCCGTCCAGTGCTTCCAGGTTTTCAATGGTGGTCTAGCTTCAACTGACTCATGATTTCAATCTGTGAAAAGCTTAACTATATGTTTAACATTCTGAGCTATAACTCTATGACCTAACGACCTAAAAAGTTTCCTAAAATTTTCAAAAGGTTAACTACATTGAGGGAATTTTATGGATTTTTGCAGTAATGAAAACATGAGAAAACGTAGTCCATTTACCTGTAGCTGAATCAATCGTTATCAAACGATACGGGACTGTCATCTACGTTAAAAAAATATCATTATCTATCAAATTAATACTAGTCAGTTAACTTTCAACCTGAGTTCAACACCATTTCATTCACTGTCTCTATAATTGATTGACCAATCATCTAATTGGTGTGGGTTCGAACCCCACAAGGTGTATTAATCCTCGTAAGAATGCAGATAACTTTTTGTTAATACCAGTCATATCGTAGATCCAGTATTTCCTGTCGACTACTTCCAATCACTTAATATCAAAACATAGTACATTTAGTGACTTTCGGGTGGGGCTAATCATACTGCAACCTGATTGATTAAATATAATCAGCAGTTAAGGCTAAATTTAACCGATAGTGATCACAACTCATTAGACATAAATCTTCAAAGTATAGAAAATAAAGGTCATATGTTTCCATGAGAGTGATGTATTGATGTATGTGCACTGAAGTGCATTGAAGTAACTTGATCAATGTAAACTACTTACATATTAAGTAGTAAAATGAATAGCTTCCTTATAATTCATAAATCTTTAGTTTACCGAAAACATATATGAAACAAAAGAAAATAATTTATTAGTTGAATTCATGAGTCAAGTGAAGCTAGACTACCATGGAAAACTTGGAATCACTGGACGGTCGTTTTGTTTTAGTATGGGACTATTCAGCAGTGCTCATCCACAATCTCGCCTCACGAGATCCGAACTCATGACCTAACAGTCTCGTACGAGAACGCTCAACCTGTAAACCATTGAGCTGACCGTCATCCAATGGTATTAATGTCTAACTTCAACGAATCCAAGAAATTGCATCACCGTCCACTATTGTCTGTAGTGAGTTACTATCTCACAACAGACCTAGTTGAACTCTACCGATCACTGCTTTTCACTATAACTACAGAAAACACTTCTTGTAGACCGATAGAACATTAACTTTTTGTTGTTCCGAAGTTATCAAGGATAATATAAAGATCGGATTTTGATTGTTTCTTTATTCGATGGTATATATATGTTTGCGTTTTGGTTAGCGTTTTTTAGCGAGTTAGTTTTCTACGGTATGGAGTCGTTAACCCTATGTCCAAACCTCCTCCTTTATCCGGGCTTTGTATCGTCAGAAGCCCCCAGAGGGACTCCAGGCGGAGATGAGAAAAATGAACAAGAATTGGTTGGAACTAGAAAAGAAGGTTCAGGACAGAGTGGGTTGGAGAATGCTGGTCGGCGACCTATGCACCATTAGGAGCAACAGAAGTAAGTATATACATATATTTTTTTTGGGGGGGGGGAAGGGGGATGCATTAAATAAGAATCATTTTCAGAATATTCAGATAGTACAATATAACTTACTACAAAATTCAAAATGAGCATTACCACCAACAAAAATAGTTGAATCTTTGAATGGTCGTTTTCTTTTTGATTCTTTCTTATAACGTAATATAATTTGTGTTAATGAATCATTATTGTCATGGTTATTGAATGTTTTATCTATTTTTGAAATCTTTATATCTTTATCATGATATTCATCTATGAATGTTTCATCATATAATAAACTTGTCCAATCAATTGTATCCACATAACATAAACGTGGATTCCCTGTAATTAATATACTTGGATGACCTAATTTTTGTAATGATTTCATACCTAAAAATTCTAAATGATGATTAAGATTTATATTGACTGTTCGAGTTTGTTGAATATTTGAACTAACTATATATTAGTAAAACAAAAAGTAAAAATGAAAAGAAAAGAATTATGAATTGAATAAGTAAGTTAGACTATCATGGAAAATCTAGAAGTAATGGACGGCTGTTTCATCCCAGTATGGGACTCTCCAGCTATGTCCGCACGTGAAACCGATATGTCATGGATTAGAATCATCAGACAGGGATCATGGATGTGCATTGTTGAATAGTTCTATACTAGAACTAAATGGCTGTTCAATGCTTCCTGGTTTTCGATGAATTCAACTATTAAATCTGTATCAGTTCATTGTATTATCAAGAAATTAAAATGTTACACTAAATTTAATCTTAAAATATCGCTTCGTTGTAACTGTGGTCAGTGGTTGAGATCTAATTTAATTTAGCTAACATACTGTCAATTGATGTGGTACGACGTTACTTACTTAATTACTTACTTACACCTGTTACTCCCAATGGAGCATAGGCCGCCGACCAGCATTCTCCAACCCACTCTGTCCTGGCCTTCTTTTCTAGTTCCATCCAATTCTTGTTCATTTTTCTCATGTCTATTTCCATTTCTCGGTGTAATGTGTTCTTTGGTCTTCCTCTTCTCCTCTTTCGGCCTTGAGGATTCCATGTGAGGGCTTGCCTTGTGACGCGGTTGGGTGCTTTCCTCAATGTGTGTCCTATCCACTTCCAGTGCTTCTTCCTAATTTCTCCCTCCGCTGGAATCTGGTTTGTTCTCTTCCACAGTACGTTGTTGCTAATAGTGTTCGGCCAACGGATCTGAAGTATTTTGCGTAGACAACTGTTAATAAACACCTGTATTTTCTGGATGATGGCTTTCGTAGGTCACCGAATTTCCGCTCCGTACAGTAGAACTGTCTCGACATTTGTATTAAAAATCCTGACCTTGGTGTTGGTTGACAGTTGCTTTGAGTTTCAGATGTTCCTCAGTTGTAAATATGCTGCCTTGCTTTGCCGATCCGCGCCTTCATATCTGCATCAGATCCAATGATGCTGCCCAAATATGTAAAGGTTTTTACATCTTCCAAATCTTCTCCGTCAATTATGACTGGATTGGTGCATGCTGTGTTGTATCGGGGAATCTTGCTTTTCCCTTTGTGTATGTTGAGACCTACTGTTGCTGAGGCTGCTGCTGCTAGCCTGGTCGTCTTCTCCTGCATTTGTTGTTGCGTTTGGGATAGAAGGGCCGGATCATCTGTGAAGTCTAGATCGTCCAACTGCATCCTAGATGTCCACTGTATCCTGTGGTACGACGTATTTTGACAATTTCAATTTGACTAGATGATAACATATGACGTTACCTTTAGATTGGTTGATCTTGTTTGTAATGATAAATCATACATTCTAAGAGGAACAGACAATCCTTTACTTTTGTAAAGATTATCCAGTGTTGTAGATAATCTATTGTGTTCACTTTTAACATGGATAACTATGTATGTTATGATTACTCACAAATGTAACATAAGTCTATTCCAGATTTTCTCAGTGATGATTGCATAACTTTGATTTAGTCAGCTGTAGAATGTCATCCATTATTTCTTAACCTCTTACGGTTTGTCAGATAACGAAATCTATTAATACATTGAATAGTTCTATACAAATCTTTCATTTAATTAAACTTGTTTGCGCATATGAACAAAATTGACCTGGCAAAAAAATGTATGTGTTGTAATAATTTGATTACTAGTGACTAATTTTGAGAGGTGATTTTTCAAAGATTATATTTGAATCATGACCGTTGGATTCCGTGGTCTTGAGTGCTATTATAGGCATGAGGAGCGTTATCAATTCCCGGTTCCGCACACCGTGGAAGGGTTCTTCTAGAGGTACTTGAAAACGGAATTGGATTAGAGGTGGTTTTAGTGACCTGAGAGTATGAACAAACTGCCCAAGGGACAACTAATTGAGATCGGTCACACACGACGGAGACGAATATCCGTGGGATAAGGCGAGGTGTGCATTTTTAATACCGACCTTTTCTAACCTCGCCCTTCCTTGTGGAAAAGCAGAATCACTGATACGCTGGTTGTCTGAAGGAAGCATCTTACTGCTGTCACACCCTCTACAGTCAGCAGTACGACTTCGCCTTCGGACCTTGGGTTAACTGCTTTTAGTCTTACCGTTCTTCAACCGACCTGTCTGGCATGGTAGGACTTTGAGGAACGATTGTTTCAGTCAGTATAACTCGATTGGTTCATCACGATAGGCAAGCCCGACCACCACGTCAAGGTAGCAACAACGGTCGGGTTGGATTCCAGTCACATCAGATGTGAGTTATTTACTCACTAATTCTATTGAAAGATGCTTGTTCAGTATCTCATGTTGATTGAAATTAGAAAGAAATATAAACCATTGGATGATAATCTTATTTTCTAAACAGTAAGCGCTAAATACAAGACCTGTAGTTCTCAGGTTTTATTTCTGGTATAATCTTAGTCATATACTCCTGAGAAGTTTTATACGAAGACAAAGCGTCTGTCTAATACTTCCTGTCTTTCATCTGTCATTTAACTATGATCAAACAATGGTTTGAATTGTTAGAAATGTGACAGATCGCAAAATCAGTCTAAACGTAATCAAAACTAAAGATTAATCACATTAATAGATATCAGTAGGCCTCAACATGCACAAAGGAAAAACCAAGATCCTCAAATACAACACGTAGAACACTAACCCAATCACATTTGGTGGCGAAACTTTGGAAGATATGGAATCTTTCACGTACCTGAAAAGTATGATCGATGAACAAGGACGATCGGATGCAGACGTAAAGGCGAGGATTGGCAAAGAAAGGGCCGCATTCATACAATCGAAGAACATATGGAAGTCAAAACAACTATCAACCAATATCAGTCACAATCTTCAACAAGAATGTCAAGACTGTCCTACTGTATGGAGCTGAAACGAAGAGAACTAATACAAGTACAAGTATTTATAAATAGTTCTCTTTGCAACATACTCAACATCCATTGACAGGATACCATCAGCAACAGCCTACTATGGGAGAGGACAAACCAACTTCCATCTGAAGAGGAAATTAGGAAAAGACGATGGAAGTGGATAGGACACACATTATGGAATTCACCAAACTGCATCACGAGGTAAGCCCTAATTTGTAATCCTGAATGGAAGTGAAAAAGAGGAAGGCGAAGCAACACACTACGTTGAAACTTGGAAGCAGATATGAGAATGAACAATATCAACTGGAAAAGATTGTCCACGACATAGTTGGATGGAGAGTGTTGGTAGGCGGCCTATGTTTCTTGAGGAAGGGTAACAGGCATAAGTAAGTAATATTTATGGATTAATACAGTATGACAACAATTATGTAATTATCAGTCTTACTTCCTCCAATTATTTTCACATTAGATAGAAATGTTAAATTAGTCATCCATGGAGCATGTGATCCAGCACTAATATAAAGTGTTCCTGTAATATACTTTAATTTGGATAAACCAATAACAAGATCTTTCCATTTGACACCTTCATCAACTTGTGACAAATTATAAAATGGATCACTATAAGAAACAAAATACAAAATGTTTATTTGTTTAGTTGTTTTGTTTTAATTAGTTGAATTCATGAATTAATTGAAGCTAAACAACTGTGAAAAACCTGGAAGCATTGGACGGCTGTTTCATCCTATTATGGGACTACTCAGCAGTGTACATCCACCATTCCGCACCGCAAGATTCGAACCCAGGACTAATCGGTCTCGCGAGCGAAGGCCTCAACCTCTGGACCACTGAGCTGGCCGACGTCCAATTGTGGTAATGTTTAGTTTCAACTAATCCACGATATTGAGAGAAACATCCACCATTGTCTTCAGTGAATTACTATCTCACAACAGACCCGGTTGAACTCCACGGATCACTGCTTCAAACTAGAATTCTAGGAAATACCACTAGAAGCCAGTCACTAGTGAGCATATGCTGATTAGTATCATAAGGGGTTTTTGTGGACATTATAGTAATTTTAATAGTTGAATTCATGAGTTAATTGAAGCTAGACCACTATGAAAAGCCTAGAAGCATTGAACGGCTCCTTCATCCTATTATGGAACTCCTCAGAAGTGTGCATCCATAATCCTGCCTTGCGATACAGTACAAATTGATGATGAATATTGAATATTTGATTTAAGAATATATACATGAGTATTTGTGCAATTGATTGACCGTGGAATAGTATCTTATATCATGATTGTTTTTTCCCTTGAGTGGTCAAACAGTTCTATCGTTAAAGTTATAATACGATCTCTAGTCCAAGTGACTCGATTTAGCGTACACTGTGTTCTGATTTTAGGTATTAGGAATTAATCAGTAAGAACCTCTGGATCTAGACTTTTCTAACTACATTGTACTCGTCAATAAGGAGTACCGTTAATCCATAAGAGACTGGTGTATTTGTGAAATTTGAACCCTCGTCAATTAGCTTCAAAGTTTGAGATGTTGCTGTTAAACTGTTATTTATGAGACTGATAAACTGTAGGATTAAGTTGTCAATATTGACGGATTACTGAAAAGTGACTAGTATTATGTTTATTTAATCTTTTTAAATGATGAACAATTCAGTAGTGACATATCATACTGTGAAGTTGATTGATATGTTATTGAATCTTATAGGGAGCACTCACTAAACCAAAAGTTTCCAGGTTTGATCTCCAATGACAAAGTCGTAAATACTCAATACTGAAGAGTTCTATACTGAAACTATACGGTTGTACAATTCTTCCAGGTTTTCAGTATTTGTCCAAGATTGATCGGTCCGCGTATAACAATTAGTCGATCAATCAATCACAATGTTTAAGGGAAATGCTAATAAACTGAAGTTAACAAGATAAGGGAAGATAATATTATCTCATTCTATTGACATATTACGTAAACACTAGTGTTATAAATTACCCGATAAATGATTGCATTGATAGTTTTATATCACCTTCAAATACTGTACAATTTTCCATAGCATGAAGTGATTTACGATGTAAATAATCAATTCCTTTAATTGACTCAATTTCATTTAATGTACAAACTGAAATAAATACATCATTCAATGATTCACAAATAAGGATATATTTGTATGGATAGTAAAATAATACGTTAATGAAAACTGATAATATACAGGCCAAGGAGGCACCAAATACATATGTGCCACACAAATCTCATTTGATATGTGTGAGGGCTGTGATACTGACCGAGTGCCCAAACCGAAGCAGGTGCTTTCCTTAGGGGACCACACCTGGAGCTTTCGACATGAGGGTCTGATCCACAACACAGTGGAGCATCGTAAGGAGATGCAGTCTCATAGTAGCCGGTGACCAACGATTGATTCATACTCCACCTGTTCCTTTATTATCCTGGAGCCCATGTACACCATTAGTTTGGAATCAAGGTTTTCCAACTGCCCTAGGTGGATTCTCCATGTCCACCAACCTGGTTAAGGCGCCGGACATTTACTTTTCGTCTTCTCAATTTCGTAGACAACACCCGTGGTGAGAGAAGGCAGTGAGTAGGACTTCCGTGGCAGTGGCTATATACGCGTGACTATGTGAGAGCATTTGGAGTATATACAAGCCAACAACTAAATATAATTGCAATCAACCAAATTTTGTATATTAATGAGCTAAATGTAGTGAACAAAAACACAGGTGAGGACAATCAAATGTATTTGAATACACAATTACAGGATCTCTTAGTAAAATCTAAGAACCTTACATCTAGCTGACGAGTCCCTAATGGGACGAAACATGGGTCATAGATCCCATTGCAAGTCACTTTCCATCTTTGCTTATAATGCTTATGACATAAGACATTATCGAGGTAGTTCACACAGGATGCACATATGCTAACAAGAGACCGATAAATTTCAGTTCTACACAACAAAAGAAAGATTCATGTAAAACAACACCAAGTGAATTTATACAGTAAATAATTCATCTGATTGTTCCTTCATTTCCATACCAGTCATTCTCTGTTATCGTTCTCCTCTATTCGATCTTATAAACTTTCTACTGCCAGGTTTCCACTTTTGATTGGTATTACATACTACTTATATTGGTCGATGTTAGTATTATACATTACACAGTGACCAGTTATTAATTACTACTTCAGCTGCTTCCTACCAGATAAGATTAGCTTGAAAAAGTGTTTAGAATGACTAATCATGAAACATGAATGCCAAATGATGAGTATTATTTGCAAAATTCTACAATTATTTAATGGGTCTAAGATTAGAAGAAGATGAAAGAGGAAGAAACGGTCATCTAGTGTTTCCATGTTTCTAATGGTGATCTAACAGTGATCGATTCATGATCTTAAACAAAATTTCAACCTCATACGGATAAAAGAGGATTTTTAATACGAGTTGAATATAACTTGAGAACAGAGTATTTAAGTAGCAATTACAATATGATGCTTTTAGAAATAAAGAAAGGTATTATGTCACAACCAGGTAATAATAGGGGAGATAAAGACTATTGAAGCAAGTGAAAGCTTTTAATTTGATGAATTTCTTTTTAGATTGTTTTCAAGTTATAAGCAAAGATGGATAGTAGGTAGCAGTGGAATCCAGGACGCGGGTTTTGTCTTATTTTGGACTCGTCAGATTGATGTACCTGGTACTTAGAGTTGATACAAGTAAACAACATCAAGTGTTTTAAATTATTTCTCTTTAGATCCTTTCATCAACATTTGGTGATGCTTTATTATGACTTAATTCAGTCAGTCAGCAACAATGTAGAACTTCGTACGTACGTACATCAGTTCGCGTTGCCATACCACATTAGCACAGAGATGCAGTTGTCGATTCAAATTCCGTAGTGGTAGAGATGGTAAGAGTATAAGCAGTAATCGGAAAGATTAGGATTTGGAGATGTTATTCATAGAGTATAATCCAGTGAAATAAATTTGGAAAGAGAAAAAAGAGACAAGGAGGATCCAGGAGATTAGAATTTGTGAGAACACAAAGAGTGGATACACCTACTCAAACCATTGCAAACGATCTTGAGCCATGTCATTCAAGGTCTCTAACCACTGGTTGCTATCATCTCGCGGTCCTCAACCAGGTAGTCTACACCTACCAACATGGCTCAGTCCATTTGTCAATGACTTCATAAATTTGTGCCATGTTTTGGTCTGTTCGCCCCTAACTTTCTTCCAACCTAGTCCTACACCATAAAACATCGCACATCGAGGCAGTCGGTGGTTGGGAATACGTAACATATGTCTCAGCTATCTCAACTGATGAATTTTCATCACTTAGTCAATTGATTTGCCATCCTTATCTAGTATCCGTTTCCTAACAACTGCATTACTTACTCGTTAGTCCCAGGATATACGATCAATGCTTCGAAGACACCTATGATTGAATACTAGTAACCTACGAATATCCTGTACACTAACCGGCCATGTTTCACAGCTATAAAGTAGGATGGATCGAACTGCTGCGCAGTATATCTACAATTATAAAGACTGAAATCTGATAATTAGGTAAAAAATATAATCCAAGGTAAGACAAAGTGTGTATTTTTCTTGGACCAATATGATTGAATAGCAACCATATCACTCAACATTTCCAATTAAGTAATCTGAATTTATGAACCATCCAGTTTGATCCATAGAATTTAACTAACATAAAGAATCATATAAAAACAACGTTATTTGATACTTAGTGACCAATGAATTTCAATAACCTTGACAACAGAATCATCATATTATTTGTATTGGATTATAAATACATACAACTTTGGTTGATTAAAAGTAAACTATAAATGGTAATAAAGTCATTTGAATCTCCCCATTGATGTTTAGGACCGTAATGGATGCCCATTGCACAAGCAAGTGGCTATCAATACTTAGTAACTAATTGAATAATGCGATGAAGTTTGAAGTGAACAGTACTGGGTTGAAGTTCCAGAGTAAACATAAACTCTAAGATACAGGTACACCTAGTTGACAACTCCCAAATAGGACAAAACGCAAAACCTAGATTCCATTGCTAGTTACTATCCATCTTATAATAGTAAGTTTTGATTAAATTTTCCCAGTATAGTTTTTATTTAATGAAGATCTTATAGAAAATAAAACAATAATGAACACTTATCATTAACTTACTTTTAGGACAAATAGAATTTGGACAAGGTATACATTCACCTTGATATGCCATATATCCTGAACGTGCACATTTTGATACACAATGATCATCATCTCGTAGATACGTTTCTCAGTAAAACAAAAAAAGGTGGGAAAAATAATTTTTCTCAAAAAACACACTAATTTTAAGTGAAAATTCTATCGAGTGTCTGATTATTGAAGTATTTAATGGATGCTGAGATGAAATCAATAGTTTAATATTTCCCCTAATGGTTTTATGTAATAAATTGTTCCTTCAGGAAACTAACTAATAGAATCCATTCATTTAATAGTTAAATTGATGAATTAGACTACTATGGAAAAACTGGAAGCATTGGCTAGCCGTTTTGTTCTAGTATAGGACTCCTCAGCAATGTGTATCCATGATCTCGTCTCACAAGATTCAAACTCATGACCTATCAGTCTAACGCGAGTACGCTTAACCTGTAAACCAATGAGCCGTGGTGGTCTAGCTTTAATTGACTCATGAATCTAAAACCCACTCTCTGGTTAGAGTTCATTCATGTTTAATTTGGATTAACTAAAAATAATATGGGGAAATATTATATATAATTCTGTTAGAGTACTACAAATTCGTATAATAATGTATGAATATTCTGTATCGTCCAAATGTCGTAAAACTAGTAGTCCAGGTACTTGTGAACTGATATTGTGCTTTGGTTCATTTGAGACTAGTTTTTTTTTCCAAAGTACTCGTCCAACAATCAAAAAAGTACACAGGGGGAGGCAAATGTAAGAATAATGTAGAAGAGTAATAACAGTTGCTAATCGCTCAGATTGTTGTGTGCCCTACTTACATCAACATCAGTAGTATATAACTAACAAGAAATAGAATGTCTAGCAGCACAAGATCAAGATTATCAACCAGGAAAAAACGGGAACAGAAAGTAATTGGTATGAAAATGCAGCAACATTACAGTCTGATACCATTCACTGATATTCGCAAAATGAACAGTTGAATTTGAGACAATTGATTGACATTTTACAAATGAAGTATTCACTGTATGATTCTCAGATTTTAGTGTGATGTTCTGTAATTTTATATCCGAAGATATTCGATTGTTCCTACTTGTGTTCTCGTTCACTACATTCGGTGTCGTTGCCAACCAGGAGGGGGGAGTGGAAGTGTGATGTTTTGTGGACACCAATGCGAACCTGTAACTGAGGTGCTTGCTGGTGTGATGTGTGCTACTTATATCGATATCAGTAGTATATAACACCAGTAAGGAATAGAATGTCTAGCAGCAGAAAGTTAATTAAATATTCACTATATGAATCTTAGATTCGATTAGTCGCCATGGCATCAATCACTTAGTTACTGTTACCTCATAACTATTTATTTTCATTTATTATTTGTTTTTGATTAATTAATTAATTAATTAACTTACTTGGACAAGACTTTACGCAGATCATTCCAAATGTTAATAAACCATCTGGATTTTCTACCAACTAAATGTAGATTTATTATATTTTTTTGATGCTGGACATGAATCTGTACAAACACCATGATTTGATAGATGTAAACATGCCTAGAAAGATAAAACAAAACAAAAAAATGGCATAGTGATAAGTAAATACACTTAACGACGCTTTCTATTCAATAGTTTCTAATCTGTTCAAAAATGTCTATTAAGATTGAAATAGTGTCAATTGACGATCCGTTTTACAGACTTAGTTGAATTGAAAGCTGTACAGAATAACAAACGTAAAGTATAGTTCCAGGCCCACATCGGCGTCCGTAGAACAAAACTCTTTCCCACTCCTGGTTGGGAGCGATACCAAATGTGGAGAATGAGAACATAAGAGGGGACAATCGTAAAATCTGAGAACCATACAGTAAATACTTCATTTGCAAAATGTCAATCAATTGTCTCATACTTTACTGTTCGTTTTGCAAATATCAGACAGTCGTCTCACAATTCATTATTCCTGCATTTCCATACCAATTACATGATAATAATAACCTTCTGCTGCTAGACATTCTATTCCTTACTGGTGTTATGTACTACTGATATCGATATAAGTAGCACACATCACACCAACAAGCACCTCAGTTACAGGTTCGCATCGGTGTCCACAAAACATCACACTTCCACTCCACCCCCTCCTGATTGGCAACGACACCGAATGTAGTGAACGAGAACACAAGTAGGGACAATCGAATATCTTCGGATATAAAATTACAGAACATCACACTAAAATCTGAGAATCATACAGTGAATACTTCATTTGTAAAATGTCAATCAAATGTCTCAAACTTGACTGTTCATTTTGCGAATATCAGTGAATGGTATCAGACTGTAATGTTGCTGCATTTTCATACCAATTACTTTCTGTTCCCGTTTTTTCCTGGTTGATAATCTTGATCTTGTGCTGTTAGACATTCTATTTCTTATTAGAGTTATATACTACTTATGTTGATATATGTAGCACACATCATAATAATATTGAATACCATTATATTGTAAATAATTTAATAAACTTATTATATCCAGATATCTAAGATCAAATTAAAGTGAACACGATAACGTGTGAAATGGGTTATTGACAGAATCCAATCAGCACTAAAGGATCAAACAATCACTATAGTGGTCACTACTAAGTGGTTGATCAATGTAAACATCTCAAAGTTATAGATGTCAAACTAGGCAGAAATAGCTTAGTGTTAACGTCTTAGGCGTCAAAACTGAATGACCAGGATTATAATCTATCAGAGAGTACAAGTTTCTCCGAAATTCCAGGTACACCTCCGTGAAGAGTACGAGACAGCATTACCTCGTGCGCAAGAACGAAGGTCCTTGGTTATAGTCCCACGTGTAGGATCATGGATGTGCAATATTGAGGAGTTCCATACTAGCACGAAGAAGTGTTTCAGTACCCCTTGGTTTTCAAAGGAACCACAAATGAAATCAAATATTACCAAACAGTATTTACACTATGATAATTATCTACTAAAATATGTTTACTTGTAAATTTTTTATTGCACTATAATCTTTTACCAAACGGTCCGCTAATCTAGTTAAGTGTTCAAAAACACTTCTCTCAATGTTTATCTAATATTCACTTGAATTGAGATCAGGAACCACCACTGAAAACCTAGAAGCACTGGACAGCCGTTTCATCCTATTGTAGGACTCCCCAACAGTGCACATCCACGATCCCGCTCGCGGGATTCGAACCCAGGGCCTTCGGTCTCGCACGCGAACGCTTATTCTCTAGACCACTAACCGACCGGTATCCAACAGTGTTAATGACTAACCTCAACCAATCCACAAAATAACGCGACCATCTTCAATTGTACTGAGGTAGATACCTGTCTCTATCCGGTACGGATTAGCTCTGCTAGTCGCTGGTCTAACATCAATCGGTTCATGATCTCAATAAAAAACACTTAACAATCTCCACAATCCCATATTGATATTTACTTGAACCATGAAATTAACTAATTGTTTTATTTATAATATCATAATTTAAAGAAAGAAATCGTTATCTTATTGATATAACATACATTACAATCACGAGCTCTTGGACCATAACAACTAGCTGCACATTCAGAATGACAACATTGTTCGTTTGTTATAGTGAGAAAATTCGAATTTGTTTGAAATTTATGATAAGATAAATTTTTTTCATAATATTCATTAGATTTTATACGAAAACACCAATTCGATCCTTCACATAGACGAACTTGACATTTATGAACTAAACAACAACAACAAAAAAATGCAAACAGTTATATGGGGTGTAATTGTTAATGAATTATATATCAGAAGGTAAGAATGATAATAATCATCATATGCTCATTAGTGACTAATTTCAAGAGGTATTTCCTGGAGATCTGATGGGAAGCGGTGATCAGTGGAGTTCAACTAGGTTTAATGAGAATAGAAACTCACTGAAGACGATGCAGGATGTGTCCCTCAATATCGTGGATTAGTTGAAATTAAACATTAACACCACTGGAAGTCGGCCAGCTCAGTGGTCCAGAGTTAAGCGTTCGCTTGAGAGACCGATAAGTTCTGGGTTCGAATCTCTCAGTGCGGGATGGTGGATGCGTACTACTGAGTAGTCCCACAATACTAGGACGAAACAGCCATTCAGTGTTTTGCGGTTTTCCATAGTTGTTTAGCTTCACTTAATTCATGAATTCAACTATAAAACTACTAAAATCTACACAAAACCCATTCAAATATTGAATTACATAATTTTGTGTTGAAAACGTTTAAAATTTGATATCCAATCTTAGAAAATGAATGAAAAAGGTAGATTGTAAAGCAAAGTTTAAAATGTTAGTGACAAAATGAGACAAACTGGATACTGGCTCAGTTGTTTACAGGTCGAGTGTTTGCATACGAGACCAATGATTCTGAGCTCGAGTTTTTTTGGTGTGGAATCGTGAATGCAAACTTCTAAAGAGTCCTATACTGAAACGAAATGGCCTTCCAGTTCTTCACGGTTTTCAGTGGTGGTCAGCTTAGATAGACTCATGAATTCAACTCATAAAATACCACAACCTCCAAAACATTTTATTCTGATAATGATCATGTGCTCACTAGTGACTGGTTTCAAGTTAGAAGTACTGGAGTTATAGTGAAAAGTTGTGAACAATGGAGTTTAATCCGTGTTGTGTGTGAGATAGCTATCTACCTCATACAATGAATGAAGGGTTGCGTAAGATCATGGTTTGATTGAGGTTAGACATTATTATCATTGAATGCTTGCTCAGTGATCTACAGGTTAAATGTTCGAGTGCGAGGCCGAAGATTCTGGGTTCCAATCTCTTTGCTATGAGTTCGTGGATGAGCACTGCTAAAGACCATTAGGCGTCCTGTTTGAATATTTGTACCACATGTTCCTTCCATTTAGATATTTCAACAAGTCATCTATTCTGTTTGTTTGTTTATTTTGACACATCATTATGCTTATTAGTCTCATAACCTATTCAGGTGTATTTTTAAATGTTTACAATATTTCACTGTACAAGTTACAAAAAATAACCCAATCAAAGATAACCTAGTTGCTGGTAATATGCATCGTAAAGAATAATAGATTATTCAAATGTCGATGCCTGAACTACTACCATCTAAACTAGTGATCATTCAATATTGATCGTCAGGACCGATCAAGAAATTAGATACGAGAATTTGTTGAATAACTTTATGCTGAGAATTCTATAATGTACCAAAAATAGAATATTGAATAAAGTCAATAATAATCGTTTTTTTGTTGTTGTTGAGATCATGAGCCGATTGATGTTAGATCACCATTGGAAACCTGGAAGCACTGGACGGCCGTTTCGTCGTATTGTGCAACTCAGCAGTGTGCATCGACGATCCCATCCGTGGGATTTGAACCCAGAGCCACCAGTCTCGCGCGCGAACGCTTAACCTACTGGACCACTCAGCCGGTATCCAATGGTGATAGTGGCTAACATCAACCCATCCACGAAATTACGTGACCATCTTCCATTGTACTGAGATAGATACATGTCTCTACCGGACATGGAATATCTCCACTGGTAATAGACATATAAAATTCCACTGACTGACAAAGACTAATATCAAGAATTAAAGGATTGAGTAAGGAAAACATAATTACCTGCTTGACATTGATTTCGTCCTGGACCCCAACAATAACGTTTCCCTTGAATTAATGGACAAGCTGTATGACAAGGTAAACTAGGATATTTCATTGAATAATTAATGAATGATTTATTTTCACTTTTTGAAAGATCCAATTTATTAGTGTGATTATCTTCATTGATATATTGATTTAATGTTACCATCATAGAACTGGTGATATTTTCATGAGGAGTAGGTAGGTCAGTTATAGAATAAGTATTCAGTACTGAATTATTATTGTTAAGTGTTTTAGTTTCTATGGTTGTTGTAACTGGCATGTTTGTATCATAAATAACAGTTGTAAAATATGATTGATTCAAGACTTCAAAGAAGAGAAAAAGAGTGTATAAGTGTATTGATGAAACTTTTAATAAATAATAATAGTAATGAATAACTGCATCGAATAGAGACCAATTCTATTATGTGTACTAAACACATTATAATCTAACTGTTAAGTTATGACTGAATGACGTAATAAACTGTAAGTCAGTCAGTTAGTGAGGTACGACGTAGGATCAGGAACATATATGCATCGGTTCAAGTTGCCATATCTTATTAGTGCAACAAGATGAATATTAAATTCATAGAAGTAGTTCATTTAATGGTAGTAATTGTTATAAATTGTGGATTTGTGTTCTTATCATTTTTAAACCGCTAACACATGATATGATGAACTATTGTGATGTGTGCTACTGATGCCGATAGGTATAAGTAGTATGAATCATCAATCGAAAGTGAAAGGCCTGGTGGCAGAAGGTTAGGTAGATCGAAGAGGAGAGGCAGAGAACAAATAATGATTGGTGTGGAAAAGAAAGAAGAATGAAGTCTGGGACGATTGATTGACATTTTGGAAATGAAGTATTTATTGTATGGATCTCAGATTTTACTAAGTTATTCTGTAATTGCGTGTTCAAATACATTTGGTTGTCCCGTTCTGTATTCTCGTTCACTACACTATCAGTGAAACATATGTACTCTTCAAATTCACTTGGTGTTGTCACCCATCGTTACACCTAACTCATCAAAAGAATCATAAACTGAAATCAAATCTTCACGAATACCATCATACAAGGTAATTAAAACAAATACCGACAGAAAATAAGGAGAGGAAAAGTGTTCATGAGCTTGAAAAAGATTAATTCATTAATCCACAAGCTTTATAAGCAAAGATGGATAGCTGCTAGCAGTGGAATTCAGGACGCGCGTTTCGTCCTATTTAGGACTCGTCAGTCGCATATACCTGCATCTCAGAGTTGATGTTCACTCTACCATGAAGTATGTACTTTTCAGTAGGAAGAGTAAATTGTATGCGGTAATGGTTCAATGGTACAAACAAAATTTTCAATCCTATAGAAAAGATGACTTCATATTGACTTAAGGCAGAGATGTGTTTATATTTTTCAATGTAAATCGTAATGGTTAAGCGATTATCATCTTCAGTGATTTGGCAGCTAAACGGGTGACGTTATGAAGATTTGAAACGGTAGAAATTGATTTCAAATTTCTGTTAGAAAATCGAAGTTGGAATACTAGTGAATCACGTCAACAGTTATGACACAGGACTAAACAAGTTTTCGAGATTCCATATTTACCACTAATCAAAGAATAGTTGTTTAAGCCTAGGTAAATAGTAGCTATCAGTGGAATCCATGATTCACGTTTCGCCCTTCTTTGGACTCATCGGTTGAATGAACCTGCATCTTAGAACCCTTGTTCACTACGGGACTCGAACCCGATACCGTCCGCTTCAAAAGCTATAGCGTTATACACTTAGCTACTGATTCCAGATAGCGAATGTCTTGTAGAGTGAGGAGAATTCTAATTCACATGTGAACATCAACTCTGGAATGAAGTTAAATCCACCTGATGAGTTTCGAATACGATGAGACTTGTGTCCTGGATTTCACTACTAGTCACCATCCATCTTTGCGCTAAAAATCATTATGGCTTAATGGCAAAATCGAAGCAACATGCCCTGTACAACCAAAGGCTATTATTAGGATTCAAGAGACATTTGAGCGATTAACAATTAAGCTATAGAGACAGAGTTGTGCGTAGGCTGTCACGTGAACAAGCATATAGACATGATATTGATTGTAATTTCTTTAACCAACCTTCATTTGAAGTGTGATTATCAAATGGTGTTTCTATAAGAGCTACAGTTGTTTCATCATAAATCATTTCTGAAGCCAAATGATTATCATCCATATAAATTTCATTTAATTTTGTGCCTATTTTTGGCATGAATATATCATTTTGTACAATATTTTGAAATTCCGATGTATCACCGTGATTTGAATTTAAAAGATTAGGCTCATTACCAATGTTTCCAGTTTGAGACATTGAATAAGTAGTATGTACATTTGATGTAATATTGGTTGCGTTCAACTCATCTTGATCAAATTCCTTGACAGTGTCGACAACTTTTTTTTTTTGAAAAAATAAAAAAAAAATTGACTAATGTAATCTATTCACTCAGGTACTGATTACTTATAAGTTCATTTACTACTAAGCTATAATATCAGTAATATAATTGAATAAACTAAAAATGATTCAGTGAATCCAAGTAAAATTTTGATTGTCACGAAAATCTATTAATAATTTTACTCAACTTGAACAATAATATAAGTACTGAATAAATTTACTCATTCAAACAATGGTTTATCATATGACCTTCATCATTTCACATTGTGTCGTTTTCAGTTTAGTAATTCACTACAGATGTGAACTTATTACTTATATACTTACTTACGCCTGTTACTCCTCGTGAAGGAGCATAGGCCGCTTACCGATATTCTCCATCCAACCCTGCCCTGGGCAATCCTTTCCAGATCATTCCAGTTGTTATTCATCCTTTTCATGTCTGTTTCAATTTCCTTACGTAATGTGTTCTTTGGCCTTCCTCTTTTCCACTTCCCTTCAGGATTCCAAATTAGCGCTTGCCTCGTGATGCAGTTTGACGATTTGCGTAATGTATGTCCTATCCATTTCCATCGTCTTTCCCTAATTTCTTCTTCAGCTGGAAGCTGGTTTGTTCTCTCCCACAAAAGGCTATTGCTGATGGTATCCGGCCAGTGGATGTTGAGTATCTTGCGTAGGCAGCTATTTATAAATACTTGTACTTTCTTGATTGTGGTTGTTGTAGTTCTCCAAGTTTCAGCTCCATACAGTAGAACTGCCTTGACGTTAGTATTGAAGATTGTGACTTTGATGTTGGTTGAAAGTTGTTTTGAGTTCCATATGTTCTTCAATTGTAGGAATGCGACCCTTGCTTTGCCGATCCTCGCCTTTACGTCTGCATCTGAACCTCCTTGTTCATCGATGATGCTTCCTAGGTATGTGAAGGACTCTACATCTTTCAGAGTTTCGCCATCAAGAGTGATTGGATTGCTGTTTTCCGCTTTGAATTTGAGGACCTTGGTTTTCCCTTTGTGTATACTGAGGCCTACTGATGCAGAGACTGCTGCTACACTGGCTGTCTTCATCTGCATCTGTTCGTATGTACGTGATAGGAGGGCTAGGTCACCTGCGAAGTCCAAATCGTCTAATTGATTCTGAGCTGTCCAATGTATGCCGTGTTTTCCTTCAGATGTTGAGGTCTTCATAATCCAGTCGACCACCAGAAGAAAGAGGAAGGGGGATAGTAAACATCCTTGTCAGCTGTCAGCTGTCCTCCATACACGACTTTGCACTGTAGTCCGTCGTATTTGTTCCGGATAATATTGACAATCTTCTGAGGAACTCCGTAATGTCGAAGAAGTTTCCATAATGTCCTCCTATCTACAGTGTCGAATGCGTTTTCATAATCAATGAAGTTGATGTATAGTGATGAGTTCCACTCAACTGATTGTTCGACGATGATCCGTAGTGTTGCAATTTGGTCTGTGCACGACCGATCCTTACGGAATCCAGCTTGTTGATCTCGAAGTTGGGCGCCTACTGCATCTTTCATCCGGTTCAGCAACACATGTGAACGTATGCTGAACTCATTAGGGAATTATTATTATTATTATTAACGAAATTTTGTCATTTGACACAATAAATTAAGAAATACCACTTATATGTTCTGTAATTGACTGAATAACATTGTTTTAGTACAAAGCAAACACGTTCATATGTTAATAATTCATTACATTAACAAATATGATCATAACGTAATTCTATGAAATAACTGTGGCATAGAAACTACTTTCAAAACATCAGTTTTTAAAAAAAAACTAGATCCATCCATGTTACACGACAACCCCCCTCGTCAAATAGTTTTTTCTTCATTGTAGACTTAGTAATTAAACCCTCTGCAACTAATCTACGAAATTTCGCCATCGCCCACTATTCTCTTCAGTGAGTTAATATCTCACAAAAATCCTAGCCATCCAATGCTCCCAAGTTTTCTAAGGTGGTCTAGCTTTAATCGACTCATGAACTGAAGTATTAAAATTACTACAATCTCTACAAAAACCCTTTTTGTTAAATAATGATTATGTGTTCACTAGTGACTGGCTTCAAGATGAATATCCTTTAATTGTGGTCTGTCAGTCAGTCAGTCAGTAACAACATAGAACTTCGTACGTACGTACATCAATTTGAGTTGCCATTCAGGTCGACTGGAGATCGTGAGAAACTGAAATGTGGAAGAAGACTAGTTGAACGGATCCCTAAAGTGTTCTGCCCACCGATTCAATTTTCTGGATTGAGAATGAATAATATGTGCATCTTTTTCCGAGATAGTTTCGTTAAAAGTTGGGTTCCTAATATCGGTTCTGATGAGTAGCCGTGACTAATAGAATTCAATGATGTCTTTTGTATAGCAATTACTCACTGAAGATAATAATGAACGATCGTACAGTATTGTGTGCTGATCAAATTTAAACATGAACATCATTAAATACTGACTATAGATTCAGTATTCACAAGTGAGACCGATAGATTCTGAGTTTGAATCTCATATTTCACATATAACTAATAACCTTAGCAACAACAACAACAAAATATAGTAAATATAACTATAACTTATATTATATAGATAGTAACTAATGAAAAATATATAAGATGAATTATACTCACTTGATTGATTAATTGAATCAATAATATTTCTTTTTTTAAATTTCTTTTCTTCGATCCTTCATTTATATCCCTTAGTAACTCATTATAAATATAGTTTGATTGGATATTGATTAATGATAAATTTATATTATTTTCATTACGGTTACATAAATTTAAATATTTACATTGACAATATTCATACCATAATGTGATATTCTCATTCGAATGTAATGCATATAAATCAATTGTTTGTAATTCTAAACTTTCAATCATTTCATCCCATTTTAATGTAAATGGTGTATAACATAAACCAGGATTATCATAAAAATAAATACCATATTGTACAACAGCTAAAATAATAATGAAGAAGAATAAGAGGAAGAAGTAGAAGAAGAAACAAATGTAATAATCGGAATGGGTTTTGTGGAGATTTGTTTTAGAAATTTCACAAGTTGAAATCATGAGTCAATTGAAGCTAGACCACCATGGAAAACCTGGAAGCACTGGACAGCCGTTTCGTCGACGTATGGGACTCTGCAGTAGTGCGCATCCACGATCCTACACCCCGCGGTATTCGAACATAGGACCTACTGATTTCGCGCGCGAGCACCCATCCACTAGACCACTGATCCGGCATCCAGAGGTGTTAATGTCTAACATCAACCAATCTACGAAGTTGCGCCACTGCAAACCATTGTCTTCAGTAAGCTGATATCTCACAACAGACCTGGTTGAACTCCACTGGTAACGGCATCTCACTAGAACTCCAGGAGTATTTCCTGAAGCCAGTCACTAGTGAGCAGTTGATTATTATCAGAATGGGTTTTGTGGAGATTTTTTAGGAATTTCACAGGTTGAAATCATGAGTCCTGTGTTCGAATCCCGCGGGATCGTGAATGTGCACTGCTGAGGAGTCCCATACTAGGACGAAACGGCCGTCCAGTGCTTTCAGGTTTTCCATGGTGGTCTAGCTTCAACTGACTCATGATTTCAACCTGCGAAATGTAATAATGTTAAGGTATTTGATGAGATTATGATTTATAGATGATATTTAAGTGATACTAAAGTGATCTTAAGAGTGTTCATTGAGTTAATCAGCTATAACATAAGACTAGCTAATTATATGTATCGGTTCAAGTTGCCATACCTCATTAATACAACAAGATGAACATCGAATTCATAGAAGTAGTTAATTCAATGACCGTAATATATAAAAGAAAGATTGCGTATAAGCATATAGTACCGGAAGAAAAAAAGATATGAAGCGATTTTAATCTCATAGTTTGACGGAAGACAAAGAGTGTATACACCCACACCATTGTGATCGATTCTGAACCATACCACCCAGGGTCTCCAACCATCGGTTACGACAGTTATGCGGACCTCAATCAAGTAATCTGCATCTACCAACATGGTTAAGACTAGAAGTTACTGACTTCATGGACTGATGCCACGTATTGGTTTGGTCACTCCTAACTTTCTTCCAACCATCCCCAACACTAGTCAGCATTGCTTATCGTGGTAATCGGTAGTTAGATATGTGTAACACGTGGCCTAACCATCTTAGTCCATGAAGATTCACAATTTCATCAACTCACTTACCATCATTTCCCAAACCTCACTGTTACTTACCCGGTGATCCCATCAGATGTGAGCAATATTTTTAAAGGCATCTATGATCAAATACTAGTAGCTTACAAATACCTTTAACACCACTCGAAACCACTGTATTCATAAATAAGTTCAAGTCCCTGTATAAAACACAAATAGATCCATCTGAAAACTTGTAAATAGGATATAAACACTGATCATGAATTCCACAACTAACCACATATCCATTCATAACGTTCATTATAATACAGAATAATCAAATAATCATTCTCAATTCATACTTACATATAAATGATGTCATTTCTAAGGATTGTAAATGATTAAGACTATATCTCTGTTTCCCATTATCATTCACAGATCTAATCCATTGTGCTGATACATTTGATGATCGCATTGAATCATTAGCATAATCATCATTCTGTTCAACTACTTGCTTATAATTACTGATAACAAGTAATGCAACTTTTCTTGATTTAAATAATATCCATTCATGACCTTTAATTAGTTTTAAACGAGATAAACGTAATTCTTTACGACCAACTCCATATATAATTAAATAACCAGATATTTCTTCTATATTATCTAACAAGGTTACATCATCATCTTGAAAGTAAACCAAAAAAACACAAAAAACAGAGAAATTTTGATAGAATACAAAAAAACACTCAGTTTGGTATGAGCTACTTATATACATAATATAAGTAGTATATATTGATAGTCACGCCTAGAATGTATTTTGTGACGACAGACGACGGATGAACTCGAAGAAGCTATAGGAGGCTCAGAAGGAGCCGAAGATATTCCATCCAGTCAAACTTTGGAAGAATATTCTAGAATTCCTACATGTAGCTTCCTGATTGGACTGCTAATAACCCCCCCTGTATGCGGATAGGAGGACTGTAATGATAATTTTGTTATTGCTAAAAACTATAAATATCTGACATTTTCGTACTATAATTAACACTGTCTGGGAATAATATTCCTTTCATTAGTCTTCTGTTTTCTCATTGCGACTTGGAAGGGTTCTGAAGTTCTAGTGCTCATGTTATATACGCGGTATATCAAGAACAACCTTCTAGATATAACATATTTCAATAGAAGATCGACAAGGGAAGAACGGAAACGGAAAGCAATTGGTTTAAAAATGGAGGAACAATGGACTGATATTTACAAAAGGAACAATGAAGTTTGAGACAATGGATTGATATTTTGCAAATTAACTATTTATTGTATTGTTCTCAGATTTAAGTGAGATGTTGTGTAATTTTGTGTGTCCAGTACATTCGATTGGCTCTACTCGTGTTCTTGCTCATTCTAATGGATATTCAGCCGATTCATCTTTTAATTTAATCGGTGTAAAATTAGTATCAGAAGAGGTTTTTTGTGTATATTATAGGGATTAGAATAGTTGAGATCATGAGTCAATTGAAGCGAGATAACCATAGAAAACATGGAAGCACTGAACGGCTAGTTCATCCTATTTTGAGACTTCTCAACAGTACGTACCAATAATCCCGCTTCACGAGAATCGAACCCATGAATTATCGGGCTTGAGTGCAAACGCTTAATATTTAGACACTTAAACCGGCATTAGAAATTAAACAAATTACGTAACAGAATATTCATTCTAATCTTATTTTCATCTGGGATATCATCATAGATTTGGATTGAGATCATGAATCGACCAATGTTAGACAACCATTAAAAGTCTGGAAGTAATAGACGGCCGTTTCGTCCTATTGTGAGACTCCTTAGCAGTGTACATCTACGATCTTATACGTTGGATTTGATCTCAGTAACTTATATCTCGTGCGTGAACAATTAACCTATCGACTACTGAGCCGGCTGCCGACGGTTTACTGATAATCATCATATCTTTGTTCGTGTTAATACTTTTAACCATATTCTATATCTATTCTCATCAATTAATTATTATCATTCACCCATGTAATCTTTCAAGTACATTCTCCCTATTTGCCTATTTATACATCCTTGTGAGATTTTGTCCATTTTCTGCTTTATACTAAGTTATGATTAGAATAAGATAGTTTCATTCGCTTGATCCTCATATTTAAATACTTGAAACATAAGTATCTTATTATTTCCCTAATTGAATTTTCATTATCATAGTTGTACAAACGAAGCTTGTATGAGGGTTATATTTAAAGTTAACTATGAGACCTATGTTTCAGTGGAGTCAACCAAGAGTTACAATCTATGGTATTGATGAATCCAGCTTACTGGCATTTCTTTCATCTAAATGAATAAGTTATAAGCAAAGATGGATAGTGGCATGCAGTGGAATTCAGGACGTAGGTTTCATCTTATTTGGAAAGATTCAAGTAAACAATATCAAGTGAATTCAAATTTCACCTCATTGCAGAATCAATTGGCTATTAGAACTCAGTAGCTAAGTGAATAACGTGTTTGCATTTGAAGCGAGCAGTACTGGTTCGAGTTTCAGTATGAACATCAAATCTGAGATGCAGATACATCCAATTTTCCAGTCTCAAATAAGATGAATTGACGCGCATCATGAGTTGCACTGTCAACCAACATCCATCTTTGCTTATAATCCTTGTGATTTAAGGTTATATCAAGTAAATCCGCACAGGATACAAATATGTCAATTGCAGACCAAAACATTGATGGGATGTTTCACGTAAACAATACCAAGTGAATTTAAATGAAGACGGCTTTTGCTCCCTGAATAAGTCAGTTATAGGTTTAAAGTAGTTTTTTACTGTAATGATCTTTGAACTTAAGTACTTAAACAAGACCTCTTTCAATTAGACTCATAACTATTCTAGTCTTAATAATTTAGTTCTCATATGAGTCAAACATTTTCTTTGAGTATTCTAATTCACCTTCCTGATTAGCATCTGTATGTAAATGTACCTTGGTGTAACGGACAATATTTAGCCATCTCTTTTGAAAATACCAACAGACGATGTCATTTATCACCAACCACTTCTATATCATATCATTATTACATTATATTGACAAATCCTGTTTATAGTAGTATTCATTCATATTCATACATACATACTAGAATGAAACGACCGTCCAGTGCTTTTAGGTTATCCATGGTGGTCCAACTTCAATTGACTCATGATTTCAACTATTACATCACTATAATATCCACAAAACTCCTCTCGGATATTTGGATACGTCGTGTACTGTCATCGATCGTTTGCGCCATGCACCACACCAATAACATTCTAAGTCTTAATTTATATCACTGATTGTAGATAAGGGTAAAAATGTCTAAAATTTGAAATATACTATATCTAACATTACGTTTCGATTGACCAACACTACGAATTTTTCATTAAGTGGCTTATGGTATCATAAAACTTCCTGTGAACGAATGAGTTAGTTATTACGTTTGTTTAGATCTTTAAGGCTTAGAGTTAAGTAAATCTGACGCAATATATTGAAGCATAATGATTTCATAAAATCAAAAAATCACATTTAAATTTTTTTTCTATTTGTAGATAACTCGTGGAACTTACAAGTCTATGGTGTATACTACTTATGTTGACAGATATAAGTAGTATGTTACACTAGTCTCAAAAAATCTGGTACCAAATGGCTAAAAAGACTAAATTGAATAAGAAAAACTGGAACGGAAATAGAAGAAAATTGTATTTGTTTGTTCACACCTATGTTCTTGTTCATTAGAAGTCGTTTACAATGTATCTTAGTACTTTATATCGAACTGTAGTATCTTCCATTATTATACGACACGATGTCGAAAATCACAAACTATCAACCATAGTTTTTACTGTTACAAAAACAATAGGATCAAAAAAAGAAGCTTATTCGTCAGGATTGTTAACATGAACTGTACATTTTATAAATGATTTAAGCACCTAATTCGATGAGAGGGTTTTTTAAAAATAGGATACTCTTAATACGTTCACTGATATTCAATAGTAAGAAATCTCGAATGAAAACAAGATAGCTATCTACGATTTCCTATTTTTAAATGTTTGTTGATTGAGAACATGAACCGATTGATGTTAGACCATCACTGAAAACTTGGAAGCACTGGATGGCCGTTTTGTCCTATTATGAGACTCCTCAGCAGTGCACATCCACGATCCCGCTCGCGGGATTCGAACCCAGAGTCTTCAGTCCCACACGAGAACACTTAACCTACTGGACCACTGAGCCGGCCGGCATCCGATGGTGTTAATGTCTAACCTCAACCAATCCACGAAATCGTGTGATCATCTTCCATTGTACTGAGATAGATACTTGTCTCTAGCCGACACGGATCAGCTCTACTGGTCACGGCTTCTTAATAGAACTTTGAGAATCCCCTCAATATAGGGGTTGTGGAGATTATCTCCTTTCAAAAGGTAAGTTCTTACCTTCATCTGTATACTATTACGTAACCTTGGTTACTAATTATCATGGTAAAAACGAATTACCCTTTATTTATTGTTATAGAAAACATTATTTTACATAATTTCTATATATACACTTTCAATTGTAATTGTCATTGTAGTGATTCATCAAGTGTACATGTGTTAACAAGGTGTTTCGACCAGTATTCCCAATATATTAGCATATCCCATATTAGATAATATGCATAATTCATTCTAATTTACATAATATATTATACAAGAAAAGATACTTTTTGTTTGAATGGTTAATGATGAATGAAATCTTTGGATAGTTAATAATGTGCATGTTTGGTTAGAGTAATCTTGTATGGTATGATATCTCTTTGTTCTCCCGCTTTGTTCTTCGGAACTATTAACTAGCAAATCCTTTATTAACATTTTATCATAAAAGATGAACTATTATTTATTATTTTGAATCCATTAAGCACGAAATGTATGTTATGTAATGTATTAGGTATTTCTAACCAACGACGTTTTTATGATTCTATGGAAGAAATCTTATATTAAGCATAGATGAATAGTGGCTAGTAATGGAATCCAGGGCACGTGTTTCGTTCTATTTGGGACTCGCCAACTGAATATACCTGCATCTCAGAGTTAATGTTTACTCTGGGAATCGAACCCAGTACCGTTCGCTTTAAACATCATCGCGTTATCCACTTAGCTATTGAGTCCTGATAGTCGATTGCTTGTGCAATGAGGTGAAGTTTAAATTCACCTGATTTTGCTTTACTTGTATCTTCCCATTGTTATTTGGGACTACAATTGATCAGTTTCTTACTGGCATATGTGCATCGTGTGCGAATCGCCTCTCTTCAAACGTGTATGGTACTGGGTTCGAATCCCAGAGTGAACATCAACCCTGAGATCCAGGTACATCCAGCTGACGAGTCCTAACTAGGAAGAAACACGCGTCCTGAATTCCACTGATAGCCACTATCCATCTTTGCTTATAATGCTTCTGACATAAGGCTATATCGAGGCAATCCACACAGGATGCACATATGTCAACATGAGACTGATCAATTGCAGTCCTGAATGACAATGCGAAAATACAAGTAAAACATCATCAAGTGAATTTCAATCTTATATTAGTTGAAAAATAGATGAAACACAAAATAACAGAATGTTAGTCACTGATTATGTGTACTGAGTTAGAGAGTGGAACATTCCTTGTCACAAATCGAATAGTGATTTAAAGTTTATACATTGAAATTTGGAATTATGTATTCGTAAATTCTGTTAAAATAGGTCAGATGAATTCATGAACACTTTACCTTTCCTTATGTTTTGTCGGTATTTGTTTTAACTATCTTGTATGGTGGTATTCGTCAAGATTTGATTTCAGTTTATGATTCTTTTGATAAGTCAGGTGTAGAGATGGTTGGAGATTTCTTTCCACTGTGATTCATCTTACTTATGGATATCGAGGAACTTCGGATTCTTCAGTAAGAACATGACGTATATATCACAACGTCAATATCCTTAATTACTTACTTACTTACTCTTGTTAATCCTCGTAAATGAGCATTCTCTACCCGACCCTATAGTAGACAATATTTACAGCTCTTTCAAGATCCTTTACATCCTTTTCAGATCTGCTTCTTTGTCACGTCATGTGTTCTCTGACCTTCCTCTTTTCCAATTTCCCTCAGGATTCCAAGTTAGAGCTTACGTCGTGATGCAGTTTAATGATTTCCATAATGTATGTCCTATCCATTTCTAACATCTTTTCATAATTTCCTTTTCAGATAGAAGCTGGTTTCCTCCCTTTCACAGTAGGCTGTTGCTGATGGAGTCCGTTCAACGAACAGTGAGTATCTTTTGTAGACAATTATTTATAAATACTTGTACTATTTAGATGATGGTTGTAGTAGTTCTCCAAGTGTCATCTCCGTACAGTAGAACTGTCCTGACGTTGGTATTGAAGACTGTGACTTTGAAGTTGGTTTAAAGTTGTTTTGAGTTTCATATGTTCTTCAGTTGTATAAATGCGGCCCTTTACATCTGCATCCGATCGTCCTTGTTCATCGATCATGCTTCCCAGGTACGCGAAAGATTCCAAAGCTTCCAATGTTTCTTCATCAATTACGACTGAGTTGATGTTCTCCGTGTTATATTTGTGGATCTTGCTTTTTCCTTTGTGTATGTTGAGGCCTGCCGATGCAGAGACTGCTGCTACACTGTTTGTCATCATCTGCATTTGTTCATGAGTATGTGGTAGAAAGGTTAGGTCGTCCAACAACCTACATTTCCAACTTCAGTTAATTTGTCATTGACTATGACAATAATCCATTACTTACAATGATATTTATCTTACTTTTTGCACAATCAAACTCTACTGATCAAGATTGCTTACTACAACATGAGGGATTCATCTCGAAGGTGGTTATCCATGAATACTTGATCATTGTTCATTTGGATGATTGTGGAGATTAATTCAATTTAGATATAGTTTTCTTCACTGAATGATTTACTGTTTTTTTCGGTCAAGCTTTTGTGATATTTCAATTTTATTATTAAATTAAATAGACTTTTGTTGACAAATGGAAGACAATGCTAAAGACACCAGGGATAATTAGTACTTTGTTAAACTTGTGGTGTATGCTACTTATATAGACAGACGTAAGTAGTATGTAGTAGCAATCGGAAGTGGAAACTATGACAGTAGAAGGCAAAGAAGATCAAGTTGAAGAGAAAACAGAAACGGAGATAGAAAGGAATTGTGACTTTGAATAATCGTACAGAATATGAAGGAGAAATGTTTCTTATATTTTAGGAAGATACTCTGTACTTTTGTATTGGGATACATTGATTCAATAATTGGCTTTTATCAATGAATACAGTCAAGCTAAAAGAAACAAGTGTAAATTGTTTGCATTCATTGTTTCAAATAATCAATACCTGGAACATTTGTGGTGTATGCTCCTTATGTCGACAGACAATGGAAGAATCATGAAAGATGTAGGGGATAGTTGATGGAAGATTTGCAAATAAAGTAATTAATGTATGGTTCTTAACATTTTACAAAAGAACTATTTAAAAGTCAGGTTGTCCCCATTTGGGTTTTCATTCACTACACATTCAGTCCTATAATGAAAATATACTATTTTTATCTTACTCAAGTGATATCTTTCTTAACTATGAAAAATTAGATTCGATATATTCTGTTTTTATTGAATTTTCATCTTCGAAATTTCCAAAGAGACCTCGATGACCTTTGATCGATTCATGATGGAATCGTTGGTGAACACTGGTGAGGAGTCCCTTACTAGGAAGAAAACCAATCAATACTAACTGATCCAAGAAATTGGAGTTAGACGTTAACACTGTTGGATGTTGGTTCAGTGGTCTAGAGGTTAAGCGTTCGCGCGTGAGATCGAATCTCACGAAGTGGGATAGTGGATGCGTACTGATGAGGAGTTCTACAATAGAACGAAACGAAAGTCCAGTGCTTTCAGGTTTTTTATGGTCGTCTAGTTTCAATCGACTCATGATCTTAACGATCCACGAAACCTCTTTTGATACTAATTACTAACTGCTTGTAATGTCTCAAATACGAGAGGGCCTAAGTCAATAAAATCACGGTCATGAGTAATATAAATATTAAACAACCAATATTTACGATGATATGCATTTTCTTGTCGTTTATATTAGGAACTGGAATTGATCAGTCTCTCATGTCAGATGATCATACTGACCGAACTGCTTCGATATTGCCATTTAGCAACAAGTCTTTGGTAAAACTGATCTATCTGTATTAAAACAACTTAGAACATATGTTTCATTCTATCTGAGATACTTCATTTAAATGTACCTGGATTCAAATGTTGATGTTTACACTAAGTTTCAAACCAAGTACTTATCACCTCAAAAACCAATATATTACTCACTAAAATCGGTTATCCATTATGTCATAGTGAATATCAGCTCTTGAATGTAGATACATTCATTTGACGAAATTCAAATAAGACGAAACACGGTTTCTGAATTCGAATGTTATCCACAATCTAGATTCATTGAAATCATACATACATATCAATGATACTTGATTCAAAATTGAAAGTAACCATCGAATAATCACTAATGATACTTTACAACTAAAATGAAACTTCACAAATTGAAATAATGAGTCAATTGAAGCTAGACTACCATGGAAAACCTGGAAGCACTGGATGGACGTTTCGTCCTAGTATGGGACTCCTCAGCAGTGCGCATCCACGATCCCGCATCTCGCGAGATACTCCTGAAGTTCTAATGAGAAGCCGTTACCAATGAACTTCAACCAGGTCTGTTGTGAGATATCAGCTCGCTGAAGACAATGGTATACGATAGCGCAACTTTGTGGATTGGTTGAAGTTAGACATTGACACCGTTGGATGCCTGCCGGCTCAGTGGTCTAGTTGGTTAAGCGCTCGCGCGCGAGACTGATAGGTCCTGGGTTCGAGTTTCACCGGGGTGCGAGATCGTGGATGCGCACTGCTGAGGAAACCCATACTAGGACGAAACGGCCATCCAGTGCTTCCAGGGTTTCCATGGTGGTCTAGCTTCAATTGACTCATGATTTCAACCTGTGAAATTTCTAAAATCTCCACAAACCCCTTCTGATAAAATGAAACTATTGACAAAAAGAAATCTATTTACAAAATAAGTTTCTTTATCAAAAGTAGCCAATGAATGTATGACTGAAAAAGGAAAAAAACACAGATCTGTCTCTTACCTTCATCTACCCCTGATACAATTAAATTACCCAAAATATGAGTACAATTTGGATTGAAATTTTTCATTAAAATTTTCCATGGCAACGAAATATCTCTCCAAGTATATTTACTTTTACATACTATAATGAAATAGAGAAAAAAGAAATACATACAAAGTATCATAAATTATTCGTTCTTTTTTTTATGAAGCAATTATTATCATTGATTTACTATTAAAGGTAATGATGGTTTGGTGTGTACTACTTATATTGACATAAGTAATATCTGATGTTAGTCGTGAACAGAAGGTTTGGCAACAGAGAGACAAGAGGATTGAACAGTAAAGAATGGAAATAGAATGCAATTTGTATGAAAATGCAAGAACAATGAAGTCTGAGTCATTTTGAGACAATTGGTGGACATTTTTCAAACTAAGCATTTACTTTATGATTGTTAGATTTTATTAACTGGGCCTGCAATTATGTGTCAGTTATATTCGATTGTCCCCACTCGTGTCCTGTTCATTACAAGGGAAGTTGTCAATTGCCGATTGCCTATACCATGGAAAAGTATTACTTCTTCAATTATCTGTATAAGAACCTAAAGGATAACTGATTAAGGTCGACAGTACATGATCTTACTATGACAATTTAGTAATATGTTAGCTTCGTACTTTAAAAGAGGTTATTGTCAGAAACAGTGTAAGGTCGAATAGAACACTTTTAGTGTTGATGTTTTCTAAATCCCTCTTCGAGTTATCAGAAACTAGCATCTCTTCAAATGCTGGTTACCTGACGGAAACATCTTACTGCTATCATACTGCTGGACAGTAAACAGTTCAACATCGCCCTCTGGTAATGAGTTTGGTGCTTTTAGTCTTACCGTTCTTTAACCAATCTGGCTGACTTGACAGCTAGTATAGCTTGATTGGTTAATTACGACAGGCAAGTCCAATAAATCATGTCAAGGTAAACGTTACCGTCGTGACAAGATATCAGCTTAGAGTCAGTCAGTCAGTAACAACGTAGAACTCCGTACGTACATACATCAGTTTGAGTTGCCATACCACATTAGCACAGAGATACAATTATCGATTCAAATCCCATAGTGGTAGAGGTAGTAAGAGTATAAGCAGTAATTGGAAAGATTAGGATTTGGAGATGTTATTTAAAGAGTATAATCCAGTGAAATAAGTTTGGGAAGAGAAAAAAAGAGACAAAGAAGATTCAGAAGATTAGAATTTGGGAGAACACAAAGAGTGGATACACCTGCACCATTGCAAACGATTTTGAGCCATGTCATTCAAGGTATCTAACCATCGGTTGCTGTTATCTCGTGGATCCCAACCAGGTAGTCTACACTTACCAACATGACTCAGTCCACTTGTGAGTGACTTCATGAACTTGTGCCATGTTTTGGTCTGGCCGCACCTAGCTTTCTTCCAACGTACTCCTATACCACTGAACATCGCTCGCCGAGGCAGTCAGTCGTTAGCTTAGAACTGTTGAATATTTCATGTTCTCTTTAACAAGGAGCTGTTCTATCATGAAAAGAACCAAATTCATAGTATATATACCTACTGTATTATATAAGAATGTTAAATCCACTTTTATATAAGGTAGATGATGTGCCTATTCTCAGCAGTCTGAAACTAGAACCAATGTGCTCTTTGATGGTATGTTTCAAGAATTAAAATGGTTTCTTTCCAGAAGTAATTCATCATTTTATTGTGAAGTCATTGAGAACTTGAGTTTTTGTGGTAGCAAACAATACGGATAAAGTAATTCGTCTGGCAAATATCTGGGATGTCTTAACAATCACAGAGCTGATGGCTGTGAAGTCAATCAAAATGAAGGTGAAGAGATAGTTCAGTGAAAATATTTAGATGAGAAATGAAGATAGCTAGATAAATACGTAGTTATTAAAACAGATCTTATTCACTGTAAGACAAGAAAATCTTGTATTTGGTCCAGTTTAAAGTCATGGGTTCATACTTTTGGAAAAAACCTCCAATTGAAAACAAAACAGTTGTTCAATGTTTTTGATTTTCAGTTACTCAATAGTTGATGTCCATTCATACGTCTGCATCTTAAAGTCGATGTTTACTCCTGGACTCAAACGCAGTACCGTTTGATTCAAACACTATCGCGTTATCCACCTAACTATTGAGTTCAGATTGTCATTGACCTGCTAAACGGGTATGTGTTTCAAATCAATTTAATATGTATTTGGATTATTCCATCCAATGCGGATTGCCTCGGTAAAGCCATTATAATAATTTGTATCGTAATAGTTTTATCAAGGCAATCTGAATAGGATACACATATGTCAACCAAGACTAATCAATAATTCCAGTCAAAATGTTAACAACAGGATAATACAATCCATGTCAAAATGAATCAAAACACTTATCTCTACTTTCGAGTTGCCTGATCTGCCAAGGGCGATGGAACAGTGAATGATGCTATTGTTGTATGCTAGGTTCAAAGACAATTGTATGCTATATGTATGCCAATTAGCCCCGTTACTGTTCCTACATATGATTCCTTCTACTATAACAAAATGTCATGATGATATAACTTATGTACATCAGGTAGGAATAAGACAATTAATTTCCAAACTATTCAAAGACAAATAAATTAACTATTTATAAATCCGTCAGGGAGTATCAGTTCCCTCAAAATTAAAGGTACACCTTGTTGACAAGTGCCATGTAATATGAAACCTAGGTTCAGGGTTTCCTGCTGACTACCTCCAATCAATATCTTATCTCAACATAGTGCACGTAATGTTGAGTCACCTAAACTAGTGACTATATTGCAGCTTGGCCGATAGGATACGATCTGCACACGCATTATACCGATCAACAATCAGTGATCAATCAATTGTAACTATTTACAAATCTCTGTAAGGAAAAACTTCATGATAAGAAATCTCAAGATGTAAAAATTAACTTCGAACTTTGCTTAAGCCACCAAAGTGAATCATTAAAATTAGAAGATTGACAAATAGACTGATAGGTCCTGGGGTCGAATCCAGCGGGACGGGGTCGTGGATGAGCACTGCTGAGGAGTCCTACAATAGAACGAAACAGTTGTCCACTGCTTCCAGGTTTTCCATGATGGTCTAGCTTCAATTGACTCATGATCTCAACTATTGAGATTGGTGAAGCTTTGAATGTATTCCATAAGTACACCATTTTTACCAATGCTTCATCTAAACGATAAACATTACGATACGTTTAATAATAATAAAATTAGATTTATTTACAAATTAGAGATTGATTGAGACCATGAATGGACTAATATTAGGCCATCTGGAAGGACTTGATGGCCATTTCGTTCTAGTATGGGACTCCTCAACAATGAGCATCCACGATGCTGCATCGAGGGGATTGAAACTCAGCACTCTCAGTCTCGTGCATGAACGCTTAACCTTTGAGCCACTGGACCGGCCTCCATCCAATGATGTTAATGTCTAACTCCAACCAATCCACAAAATTGTACAACCGTCCTCCATTGTCTTCAGTGAGTGACTGCCTCATACCAGACACAGTTGAATTCCAGTGGTCATAGCTTTTCACTGAATTTGTGATGGGCAGCTTATGCTCCTTCACAAGGGATAACAGACGTCAGTATGTATTATTGTTGTTTTGTTTTTTCTATTTTTAACTTACTAACAAATAAACATTGTGAAAATGTTGTTTGATAAATTTCAAAATAAAAAACAAATCACTTAGTTTATGTTAAACAATTTCTTTAACTGTCTAGATCAGACAATACACAAATGTCAAAAATAGTCTTCAAAATCCATCTTCATTTCAATACACTTGTTATTGTTTACATGAATCTTCCCATTAATGTTTAGGTCTGCAATTGATCAATCTCTTACTGACATATTTGTATCCTGTACAGATTTACTTAATATTACCTTAAATCATAAGCATTATAAGCAAAGGTGAATGTTGGTTGACAGTGCAATTCATGATGCGTGACACCTCATCCTATTTGAGACCGTTATATACTACTTGTGTGGATATAAGTAACCCAAACCACACCAATCCTAATTCATAATTTATTCATATTATTCTATTATACATATTACATGATTCTTGACAGAATATTTATTTTGATTTGTAATTACACTATTTGATGGTTGAACTCATGAATCGATTTAAGCTAGACAACTATGAAAAATCTGGAAGCACTAGACGGCTTCTTTGTTTTAATATGAAACTTCTCAATAGTTCACATCCACAATCTCGCACAAAGAACTCAAACCTAGGAAATTCGGTCTCGCGTGCAAACGCTTAACCTGTCGACCACTGAGCCGACCGGCACCCAACGGTATTAATGTCTAAATTCAACCAATCCACGATATTGCGCAACTATGTTCTATTGTGGGTAACTGCCTCATATCCACCCCACATGGCTGAATTTCATTCGTCACGGCATCTCACTAGATTTTCTAGAAATACCTCTCTTTCTTTCATGCGAGGTTGTGGATGCGTACTTCTGAGAAGTTCCATACTAGAATGAAACGTCTCTACAATCCTTTCACGTTTTCAAAGGTGATCCAACAATAATCAATTCATAATTTTAATTAAAACTCAACAATCTCCACAACCCTGTACTGACATTCAGAAATGTTCGGTATAAAAAAGGGGAATATCAAAAATCTTCCATGTATCACACATTCCACATGGTTGAACTCTATCCTATCCTCACTATTAGTCAATTTCAAGAGAAGGAATTCCTGGAGTTCTGCTGAGGATATTGTTTAACCATGTTAGGTAGTAAGATTTCAAAATATTTTTTCACTGTAGATTAAATGTCATAATCTTCAATACATTGATAATTTAACCAATATTTTAATTGATATATTCTGTCAGAATAAACATTAACATAACATTATTAAGTATTTCATTCATACTACTTATAATGAATGAAAAATTAAGTGTTTCTTTATCAATGACATCAATTTACTTAGTATCGTTTGCTTGTATCTTCCCATTGAGTGAACATCAACTATGGGATGCAAATACATCCAATTGACGAGTCCCAAATAGGACGAAACGTGAATCCTGGATTTCCACTGATAGCCACTATCCATCTTTGCGTATAATGCTTGTGATTTAAGT